ATAAAGAATTAGAGGCTCTTAAAGACTCTATCTATTTCTTAAAAGTTCTTAGATTCTCTAAATAGATTAACTTATTAAAATCTATAGTATAGTTTAATATATCTATTTTAGTCTAATTATAAAGAACTCTTAACTATAATATTCTATTTAAAGTATAAAATATAGTATTTTCTAAGTTATTATTAATAATTAGATTAATGTAAACTTCTCTATATCTAAGTAAACTTTATAACTAGTAGAGGTAATTATTACTAACTTTATTAAAGATTTTAATTATCTAGTTTATAAATATAAACTTAAACTAACTCTATAACTCTATATTAGTTAGTAGCTTTGGGTTTAGTTTCTATAAAAACTAATTTCTTAGATCTATCTACTTCTTAAGTATATATTCTAAATAACTATCTATTTTAGATTTTAAAAGCTAGATTAGTATATTCTTATATCTCTAGTTATTGTTATAATATAGTAATTGTTATAATATAGTAATTTCGGACTTTAGTTAAAATCTTCTAGAAGATTCTAGAAGATTTATATTAGTAATTATAGATTATAAATTCTATATTACTAATTATATATTAGTAATACTATATTACTAATAGAAGAAGGTTATAAGTATTAGGTAATAAATACTTATATTATACTATAGTACTTATAAAGAGTCTATAGTAAGTATAGAATGTTCTAGAAAGATATATTACTAAGATAGTAAAGTTAATTTCTAAGCGAATATTCTAGAATAAGGATATTACTAATATTCTTATTAATATTAATAATAGTAACTAGTTGATTTCTAATAAATAGAATCTTCTAGAGTTAAGGTTTCTACTATATAAGGGTTCTTTAGTTCTAAGTAGATAGCTTCTCTCTCTAAGTAATTTAAGTCTTTTATATTCGAACCTTAAGTCTCGCGACTACGATAATTACCGCTATTCTCCCTACGTTATATCTATATATACTTTATGTTTATATACCTTATAACCTAATAAAGGTTCTAGAAACCTATTCTATAGTATATATATCTCTACTTCTAAGACTCTTAGAAGGTTAAGGAGTAACTTAACTCTTTAATTAGTTAGACTTTCTCCTTAAGAGAAAGTAAAAATAAAAAGTAATTTAAGTCTTTTATATTCGAACCTTAAGTCTCGCGACTACGATAATTACCGCTATTCTCCTTACGTTATATCTATATATATTATATATATATATACCTTTTAACCTAATAGTTATAATCTAGATCTTCTTACTATTTAGAAGATATATCTTTTCTAAGTCTATTATTCTCTTTTATAGTATAGTAGTACTTACTTAGTAGTAGTCGAAATTAAGCGAGAAATTAAAGAGTAAATAAAGAACTAATAAAATTTCTTCTAAATATTTACTATTAAGTTAAAATTAATTTAAGTAAATTTAGTATAGATTCTATAATAAAAATTCGAATTTTTTTCAAATTATAGTATATAGTTATTAAGTATTTTTAAAGTACTAAGTTTATACTTTAAAGTATTCTTAGTACTAATTAAAGTACTTTAGGTTATTACTAGTTAATTAATTAAAGCTTATTAATATTATAGAGTAACTATTCTAGAGACTCTACTACTTTTCTACTATACTCTATAGTCTTAAAGTACTTCTTTATAAGTATACTATAATATAAAGAAGGTTTCTAATCTTTTTTCTTAATCTATAAGTATAGACTAATTAGACTAATTAGTACTAGTTTACTATAGTATTATAGTACTTAACGTTATATATTAATACTAAGCTAGTATATAATTTTATTATAGTAGGTTAATTATATAAATAATAGAGCTATAAGAACTCTATAATAAAAGATATAGTATTATACTATATAATAAACTACTTAAAGTAGATACTCTATAATAACTTATAGTATAGCTAATATAAAATAAGCTATATTCTAATACTTAAGTAAAAGAAGAAGAGAGTACTTAATACTATCTTATATTCTATAATTCTACTACTAGACTACTTTTTATAGTATTATTTTTTAGTCTAGAGATTAGAGTTTAAAGCTATAAGGCTAATTAAGTTAATATCTATATAGTAAGTTTTAAAGCTACTATTTATAGTAGTAATAAAGAGAGAGATATTAGAGTAATAGAGACTCTATATACTTTATCTCTATATATTTTAACTATATTAAGCTCTTTCTTATTAAGTTTAATAAATCTATACTCTTTATACTTAGATTAAGTAGAGTAATTATTATAGTTTACTAAGAATAAACTATAGTAGTTTGTATATTAAGATTTAGTATTATAATTATCTCTAATAAAGTTAATATATAGGTCTACTCTATCTAAGTAATTTCTATACTAAGAAACTCTTAAATAAACTAGTATAAAGTAGTAGTCTTAGTAGTTTAAGTTATATTATTTAAACTATAGTCTTTTCTTAATTAATATTAATAGAGTACTTATATTAACTAAGTTATATATAAACTAGTTAAAGTCTAGTTTAGAAAGTAGTTTTCTTTACTATAAAGTTCTTAGTTTAAATAATTTAGTCTCTAATAAGTTAATATAGTAACATAGATATATCTTATACTATATAGTTAAACTAAGTCTATAGTATTTTGATATTAGTAGTATTTAATACTTTAGTAATAATACTCTTATTTTATAGCTCTATAAGCTTATTTTAAGTAGTAAAGTCTAAAGAGAGTAGTATTTATTCTATTTAAGTATAATTATTAGAAGCTTTCTAAAAGTAAGCTCTATAATCTTCTAGTAAAGTTTCTACTTTAGAGTAAATAGTTATAGTTAGTTTATAAGAGCTATAGATTTTATTATAATAAGAATTCTTCTATCTTTCTACTATACTTTTAAGGTATTTAATAAGATATCTCTAGTAGAGTTACTAGAGCTTAAGCTCTTAGTAGTTTAAGCTTACTTAGTTTTAGTACTAAGAGTTATCTCTAAGTTTTTTAGAGTTTTTACTATATCTTTATAGCTTTTAGCTATAGAGAATAAGATATTAGTATCTTTTAAGATAGATACTAAGTTAGATTAGCTTTATATATAAATAAATATATAGTTAATACTATAAGTATTAGTACTAGTATAGAGTACTACTATAATAAACTTTATAACTTATTCTCTAAGTATATAAGTAGCTTTTCGCTAGTTTAGTTATTTAAATAATATAATAAACTTATCTACTATTTATATAAATTTACTCTAAACTATATACTCGGTCTTAGCTTTATCTTTATATACTATAAGTTAGCTACTAATAGTCTTTATAGTAAAGTAGTTATTATATATACTACTATCTTTAAGTTTAATTTAAAGGAAAGAAAGAATATTTATATTTCTCTGCTATCTCTTAGTAATATATTAATTAAGGTTTAAGAAAATATAGTTCTCTTATAGATATATAAAGTTTAATATATTAAGTTAAATAAGACTACTAAAAGTACTATATTATAAAGTTAAATTTAATATTTTTAATAATAACTATCTCTAAAGTACTAATATAGCTATAGAAGAGCTCTAAATAAGTATAGAATATATTTATAAGACTTAATAATAGATTATAAGTAATTAGAATATATAGAGATATTTTATAAAAGAATACTTTAGATTTAGAAAATATTATAAAGATATCTTAATCTCTATAGAGCTAAAGATTTAACTATATCTCTAATATTCTTTATCTCTTTTTCTTAAAAAGTCTAGTTTATTAGTATCTTCTTTTTTAAGTAAATATTTAATTTTCTCTTATCTCTCTAATTATTCTCTTTAGAAAAAAGAAATATTTCTTTATTATTATATAATATAATCTATTTTTCTTCTTTAAGTATATTCTTTACTTTATTCTACTATTTCTTAGTTAATATAAGTATAGAGTACTTATAGCTATTCTTTTTTAATATATTATTATATTCTAGAAAATAGTATTAGTATAACTACTAAATTAAAACTACTTATCTAGTTTAGACTAAGTTATAATCTTATCTACTTTAAATATCTATAATCTCTTATTCTTAATAGTTTATAAAATCTATAGTTTATTTTTCTTCTTCTTATATATTACTATAATAATAATATTAGAATACTTATTCTATATATTAATACTTTTACTTTTATAATAGTTACTAATACACTTTAATCTCTATATTCTTCTTTTCTATTAGCTTTATTATAACTAGTATTTTAGATTTTTACTATAAGACTATCTACTATTTCTAACTCTTCTACTATTTTTCTCTTCTTTACTCTTCTATTTTATATTAGAGTTAATAAAACTATCTATAGAGTTCTTCTATTATCTATATATAGTACTTTAGTTATATTTTTATATACTATATATTAGTAAATAATACTTTTAATACTAAAGAAGTTAATAATAAGTTTAAGAAATAAAAGAAGTTATTTTTATTATAAGTTATATAAGTTATATAAGTTATATAAGTTATATAAGTTATATAAGTTATATAAGTTATATAAGTTATATAAGTTATAATATATAACTATTACTATTTAATATTACTTTTAAAAAAATTATTTATTTATTTATTAATACTATTTTAATTAAAATTACTATATTTACTAATAGTTTAATATTTTATTTTAAATAAAGTTACTTTATTTACTAATAATATAATAACTTCTTATTAACTAATAAAGTACTTTATTTACTAATACTTAAGAATATATTAATTAATTAAGTAACTTTATATATAACTAAGTATTTATTTATAAATAAAGTAATTTAGTTAATTTATTAGTAAGTAAAGTAGTTATTAGTAAATAGAGTACTCTATAACTTAATTCTACTCTATTTATAAATAGATTAAAATAAATATTTACTATAGAATATCTATATTCTTTTAAACTCTCGGCTAACATAGTAGACTATAGTAAGTTCTCGGTTATAGATAAGGCGGTAATAAATATAGATAACTAGAAATATTTTATACCTCTATATAATTTACCTAAACTATAATACGCAAAGAATATACTAACGCCGCCATGGTAGATCGCGACGTCACCCCTGATAATAGCCTGCTTAAACAGATCTTCACCACTAATCAACCAGAGACTATCTCAATCTTTTTTTAGAACTGGGACAAATGCGTCTTCAAGGCAGAATTCTCTAAGGGTCTCGAGGATCGTCATTCTGCATTTGTAGTCCGACTAGAGGCTGAGAACAACAACCTCAAAACATTTACTACGATTACTACTATACAACAACTCGCTGCGACCATTATTCCGGAACTTGTTCCACAAACCCTTCAAGTCGGCAAGGCAAAGAATGCGCAAGGGAGAATGTTCCACTTCTCAGTAATTGAGCTTGTGGAGGGTGACCTCTTAGAAGATGTGTGGCAGCAGATGAGCGCCGAGGAGCAGAGCTCTGTTGTAGTAGAGCTAGTTGAAGCGCTCGAAAAGTTACACTCTGTTCGGCTAATTGATAGGAGGGTCAAGGAAATTCTAGGCAAGGCGCTTCTTGAAGAGGGTGACGAGGTTCTCAAGAAATTCGAGCAGCCTAGTGCCCTCGGGGGCCCTTATACGGGATTTTTGAATGACGGGCCTGCCTTGTTAGACTCCATCATGAAAAGGCGAAAGCTCAAGAAGCCATTCTGTACAATACAGTCCATTGTTGACTCGCAGGATATCAAGATCCAGTCTCCTTTCAAAGAGCTTTGGTCGACAGTCATTAACAATTCCGATATTAACAAATGGCCAGGAGAAGCTGTACTTTGCCACAACGATCTCAATCCACGTAACCTAATTCTTCGATCACACGTCTCTGAGGGCGGTGAATCCAGTACAAGCTGGCCGGTATCATTGATTGGGAGCTCGCTGGATTCTACCCAGCTTCCTATGAGCTGAGTCTGCAAGATACATACCTGAGCGGCGCCAATCGACATGTATCATTTTATCTGCTATTGAAAGAACATATGAAGAATATAGTACCACGATCTTCGTCACAGATTGTGCTTCTGCAGGCCATGGAGCTCATCTTTGAGTCCCAACAGAGATTGTTGTCAGACGGTACTAACATTCCGGCTCACATCCGGAAGAGGTTTATGGAGAACTCAAAGTTGTCTCGAGACAATGATCCTTATGTCGGTTGGACAAGAAGCCCACAGGACGGGCCATTTCCCGAATATTCTAGCGCTGCTATTCAGAAATTGGAGGATGACGTGGTTGAGCAAATAGTCGCAAGAAGGAAATCAAAGGCAACCCTAAATACAATGGCAAAGTGAGTGGACTGACTGTATTACTAGATACTATGATATCCAAGATACATTGCATCTATGTCCCACTTGCATCATTTCACCGTGCCATCTATCTTATCCGATCCGTTGATGGACGTTCCTCCCTCTCTCATTGCTCACCTCAACCTTCGTTCTACATCTAGAGCAGATTTACATCCTCTTCTCATTATCTTCTCCTGTCCATGGAGCCTTGCTCTTCTTTGGCTTTCGCGGTGCTTGACGCATCTTGGAATGTGTAACAGCGTCGTGATTGATGTCCGATTATTTTAGAACATATCGGTAAGTGAACGTGTCATGGTGTTCCGAGTTCGATGGCAGTTGAGGTAAAGCTCTGAGGTGTGCTCTAGGGAGGTTGTTCAACCGGAGTCACGGCAGGCGCTGAGCGTGGCTATCGTCTCTTTACTGGCCGCTGATCCTCGTCTCTTGTACGGCAGGAGATACTCCCAAAGTTTGTATGGTTATAATCCGTGTTCACGGGAGAGTGAATCAACGTTGCGGTGCAGGATATTTCTGCATGCGAGTTTTGGACGCCCTCGCTTTCAACCTGCCATAACACAAGTTCAACCCCTCACAATAGATAACGGTGTACAAGACTATGTCCTCTCCAGAACGCGCATAAATACAACAATTGATAACTATTCCGAGTCAGAACTCACCGTAAAGGTGCAATCTCTCTCTTTCGCAAGTTGCGCATCAGACATTCTTTCAAGAACAAAGCCCCTACGATATCTAAGGGGGTGTTCGTTGCGTATGAAATCCTGCCCATCGGCGTTAGGCAGCGCTATCATGATATTAAAGCGCGCATGTTTCGTGGTCGTTTGGTAGAGGTCGACTTGAAGTAGACTCAGAGAGCGTACAGAAGAGGAATGGATCTGTTGTTTTATGCTTGAGATTTAGAAAGTAATGGCAATTATTTTCTTGGTCTCCGGTCAGGTACGTAGGGTAGCGCGGGTAGATACATCAAGTGGAAGTGAGCCGGGCAGAAACCAATTGATAGTACAGTTCTACAGACGAAGAGTATTGCCTCCAAGCGGTTCCAGGGTCGTGTCTTGCTCCTGATAATGTATTGTCAAATGTCAAAACGATAGGTTGACCGTAGGATTCCTTTTGGGCAGATGTGTGACATTTATATTTATACAGAGAGTGGGGAGTAGATATTCACGGTTTTTTTTTGTCAAAAACACAAAAGTAGGTAGGTGGGTGGGAGACAAATCGTAGAGTAGATTAGATTGAATCTATTAAAGTTAAACTGCCGGCAGTATCACACGTGACTATTTCACGCGGATCCTATTGGCCCCCATTTTCCCCGGGAGCCTAATTTCCGAAGCGATTCTCAAGCGAAGGAGCAGACGCAGAATTAAATGTTTCATCATCATGATGCCGTTGACCTGGGCAAATAAGCAAAATGTATATGTCAATCCTTCTTTTGCTGATGGACGTTTTTCAGTCATTATCGAATTAGACATTCGCCTATACATATGTATCCTAGGTACATGATGACGAAGACGTCATCTATTCGAGACCTCGCGAGGTCTGCGTTTCTTCGCTGGCTTAATATAAGGGTGCTGGCAAGCCACCATCAATCTTCACTTGACTTGACCAATTTTTTGACACTCCGGTAAATACGAATACTTTGAGACGATAATTTATTGTCAACGATGCAGAAAGTACTCCAGACAGGTTTAAGTGCGGGCATGTCGGCAACGGAGGGATTGCACTCGAGCAAACCTAACCCGGTCGACCCATCGTTCAATGGCCTCGAGTCTCTTCTCCCTGAAGGCTTCATACCCAAAAAGACTACCCAGGTGATTCTTCGGTGCAAGGAGGGAGAAATCAGGGCACCATGCATGAACATTGGAGGTTGGAGCTGGGGAGATACTGCAACCTGGCATTGGAAACCAGAAGAGCTGCCGGGTTTGAAAGAGGCCTGGAAAATGCTCTACGAGAGTGGAATCAACTGGATTGACACGGCCCAAGCTTATGGAAGCGGTGAAAGTGAACGAATCTGTGGAGACCTCGTTGAAGGCTTGCCACGGGACAGTTTTGTTATGCAGACGAAATGGTACGTGGTACCAAACGTCGAGAACATCCTCTCACCAACACACGCTCCTACAAAGATGCTGAAGGATTCTCTTGAGCGCATGCGGCTTGATTTTGTGGACGTCTATCTTGTCCATGGCCACATCCACGCATCATCGCTTTCCCAAGTTGCCAAAGGATTGGCTGAGTGCGTTGAACTGGGCCTCACGAGGGCGGTCGGCGTTGCCAATTACGATGAAGATGACATGATCAAGTTGGCAGATGAGCTATCGAAGTACGGGATTCCACTTGCAACAAATCAATGCGAGTTTAGCGTGTTGCGTCGCCACCCTGAAGTACATGGCCTCATCAAAGCTTGTAGGGAACGTGGCATAGTGTTTCAATCGTACTCTTCGGTGGCCCAGGGCCGACTTACAGACAAATATACCGTTGAGAACCCACCACCAAGCTCCCACCGATTTAGTAGTTACGATATGAAGGATATCGAGGGCACAAAACAGGTACTGAGTTCTATTGCGCAGGAGCATGGGGTCAGTACTGCTGCAGTTGCGTTGAACTACAATATCATTAAAGGTGCTGTGCCCACCGTAGGAGTAAGGAACGTCAAACAAGTACAAGAGAATTTGAGAGCATTTGAATGGAGACTCAGCAATGATGAGATCAAAACGATAGACAGCGTCAGTCTCGAGGGAAAGAAGACAGCACTGTGGCAACAGGGTTAATACGACCTTGAGACTGAGCGATGTGGAATGTCCACCGGTTCGCTGGGCACCTTATTTGTATAAGTAATTAAGCGAGTTTCAATTTGAATCGAGGTTCTAAGTTTCAACACTTCGATTCAAGCGTGGTTTCTTTAACCCAACATTCCAAGTCGACAGTACCCGCTGCACGAAGAATAGTCGTGAAATGATGATTGAGTGGTCTTCTGTGTATGAATCGTATATCCTTTATCATTTTGAGCAGTTATATCATGTTCTAAGTGCAGGAATAATCTTCGCAGCACGGGAATCTCCCCTCGATCTTATTAGTTTGCAATAGTATGTTTCATGAGTTCTTAACCCTTCATGGAAAGTTCATATCCTCCAGGCTGGGATATTATTCAAACCGATACGGAGTCCGCAGAGTTTACTTTTCAGGTACAACGTCAATTAGCATGAGGGGAAGATGAAGCACTTCGCCTTCACCATTGTAATTGTCAACGCCACACCCTCCTGTTAATCAAATCCTCCATGTTTGCCTTTATTCACCTCTATTTGATCGACCTATCAAATCTGGTTAGCTCCTAGAATACTTGCTCACCACTGGGTTTAAGAACTTCTACCCTTCCCCCATGGAGCCACAATTCTTTTCCCTCAACAACAGCATCTCGTTGTTGAAAACAACGCCATCGCTAGCAGTCGCTTCTTCAGAAGAGTTGCTCCAAGCCCCAAGCCGCGTATCGCCATCATGAAGATTCCTTCTATCCCATTCGCAACATTTGCGTTAGTTTCTTTCGTAACAACTTCACTTTTCGGTAGCGTCAGTGTCGCCGTAGCATCACCAGTCAACGAGCTTGTAGATCGGGATACTACTTCTACGCAAAACAAGGTAACTCCTCTCACCTCGGCACAATCCTCGTGTCTCAGAACCATAAGCTTACTTCGTAATAGAATGGAGTTCACTGCTGCATAGACAACGGTCGAGGCTGGAATTATGTACTAATTCACCCCAACTTCGATCCTATGTTTAATGCCTTGGCTGTTGACGGCCGTATCGAGTCCGTATCTTCCTTTATTCCTCCCTTCAAACTCTGATTACTAGTGGCCGGGAGCATGTTTGATCTTTAGACACGGCTCTCGGCTCGGAGTAAACAAGAAAAACGTATGCTAATTTGTTGGATAGAGCCCAGGCTGCCAGTCATTGCTAGGGTGCAACCGGGCCGCTGAGGTTGTTTTGTGCAACGACGTAAGTACTCTTTCTATTTCTGCTGCTCCTCAAGTCGTCTCTAATCTTTTATCGATAGAAACCATACACCATCAACCCCAGCAAGCAATACCTTCGTACATACATGGATGATATTGTTCGTCAATGCCAAAGAAACATCGGAGGACTCAACACGGTTTGCGGGCAAAACTTTGACACAGATGGCTACAATGTCATCATGAGACAATGTGTTTAGGAGCTGACAACAAACCTAGATCTTGCGACCAGAGCCAAACTTTTGAACTGATTCTTTCATGGGTGTTGTGATGGAATCAAATCACAGGGTATGGAGTGCACCACGAAGGGTTGTGATCAATAAGCTTTCAGGTAGCATTTGATCGATGTTTTCTAAGCGAATGAGGTGCCAAATTCATATTGAACGTTGAACAAAGCCATAAATCTTTTATACAAGTGACAGAAATCCGAGCATTAAATTTTACTCATTTGCCCAACGATACGATTCCCATGATACTTCAACTAACAGTTATCTGAAATGCCTTGGCCACGCTCGGAACGCCTGCCGAGTTCGAAGCAAAGAACATCCAAAAACCGGGTAGAGCGACGCCTGAATCATCAGGAATGCTGAAAGTGTACGTAGTTCCCACTGTATTTATGGGGCTCAATGAAATCCTTCGCTGATCCGTATTCACCGTATGTGTAGCGGAGCCAAAGCGAACGATAGAAAAGCTCGTCACAGCGGAACTGGTTGTGATTGAAATGGTGTTGCCAACTCCAACTGAGCTAGCAGATATACTACTAATGACTGGTCGAGTTGCAGTTGTTCCGTCAGCATTGAAAAGGTAGGATGGACTGTAGATCTCAGCATTTGGGTGATTGGTCGAACAACCGCCACAAAGTCCACCACCGCCGGTGAAGACTCTCCCGTCAAGCATCAGAAGCGCAAAACTATGGTATGTTCTAGCAACTGCATGAGCTGGTAGGACTATGGAGGCTAAGGTGGCCGGATCCCATAGTTCCGGAATTAATATTGCAGTGTTATCCGAAAAGGGGACTGCAAAGGTTTGGCCGCCAGTAATCATGACTTTTCCATTCGGCAATACCACACTGTTAGCAAAAGCTCGTTGGTAGGTCATAGACGTAAGCTTGACGACAGTGGGAATAGATGGCGGCGTCCCAATTGTAATGAGGTGAACGTTGTTAGTGGCCGTCGACTGTTCGTAATTTGGAGAACCCCCAAAAGTTGCGATTTTCCCAGCAACAGCATCATACATAACAGCATTCCCATCCATGGAGTCCGGATCTGAAGCTCGCAAGCCTGCGCCTATTTGCGAACCGCCTCCGGTAGTACCATACCAATTCATGGCTTTACTTGGTCCACCTTGGAACACATATCCGTTCTTCCATCCGAATAGCCACGCATGATTATCTTGTCTGAATATCCCACCAACATCAGCTGTCAACATTGGAAGCACAGGACAACCACCAAGTAACGTCCATGAATTTGATGCCGAGTTGTAAATTTCACCATTTTTCCCACCATTACCACCACTCCACGACCCTCCTATTGTAAAAATCCTCCCATCAGAAACAGTGGTAGATGATTGATACCCACGAGAGATCTTCATATTGGACCCACTGCTCCATGTGTTGGTAGCATAATCGTATATGCTCGTTTTTGCCGCATCGTCTCCTCCAGTGATTATTGCACGACCATTGGGATCGAAGGACATCCCAGGGCAGAACATATCATGTCCAGTATTGCTTACATTTAACTGCGAAACCGTCGAGTCCGCAGGATTATATATTGCAGTGAGGGTATATCCATGGGGTCCTCCAAAGGTGTCCTTGGCGAATGATGAAAATGTCAATATCTTCCCATTAGGCATTACAAAAGCCGCTGCTGGAGTAAGAGGTAGGTTGATTATGGAACTCCATGATCCTTTGCCTGTGCCGCCGTTTGTCGGTGTGACTGAGAGTTCAGAAGCGCTAGACCATTGCCCTCGGTTCCCAGCCTCAGTAAGTGCAACAATTCTAATATATCGGGTACTTGTGCTAGTAAAAGAAACTGTCTTGAGACTGGCATCGTCAGAAAATGTGCCTGTTGCAACAGTACTCCAAGTAATATTATTTGGGCTTAGCGAGATTTGATATTGGCCAATATTGCCGTTGCTGTTGCCATCTTGTCGTGGGCGGTACGCAAAACCATTGATAGCTGTAGACACACCTAGATCAATTATCGCCGAGTGAGGTAAAGCTGCAACTGTTGGTGTATAACGCGTATGCCAGAAAGTAGCAGTGTTTCCGTCGATGCCTTTGGAACCTTCGTTCCCAGATTGAGAGCTATCAACCGAAATCGTGGCTGCAAGTACAAGACTAATAAAACTAGTGCCATAGATCGCAGTGCACAAAAACATGATGTGTATTTGTTAGGTACAATTTGAGTTTACAATGAAGGAGCGCAGAGAGACGACACAAAAGGCATCATATTTAATGAGCCACCAGACAGTGGCTTCGAGGGAATTTCAAGGAGAAAACTATTTCTAGAACAACTGCAACCAAAACTTATGGTCCTTGCATTCTTAAGCCAATTGTAACAAAATATCAGGTGGCCGTCCCGTCGGCGAGATCCATAAAAGCCAAAGAGCTGTTGATCATGAGCTCTTCAAAAACGTAACTTTGTTATTCGATGCAAATTCACAGCATCCCGTCCCTGCATCACCAAACTATCGAATTCATGTAAGTTCGGCTTGTAGGATCCGACGTCCAGTCAGGTATTGAGATATCTCTAGAGGCGTCGGTTCTGCATATATTGCGTGCATAATACCTGCCAATGAGAATTACGGTATCTTCGAACCACGAACTCATCGGTTATCGAACCGTCCCTTGGCTGCAGCTTCCCGTACCAAAAACAAGTAAACACTCCTGCTTAACATAATTACTAAAGGGCATACGCAGATCTAGCTAGAAAGGGACTGTTTTCGATGGCGCAGCTCGGTAAAGGTGCAGTAGGTGTGTGGTAAATCCTTCAGTATGCGAACATGATGCAATCTATCGAGCTACTGCATGCTGATCCTAATCTGTTATAGAAATCACTCGGATGTATAGACAAAGAAAGCTTTAGGTAACCTTGATGCTGGATTCATCAGCCGGCACACAATAATTCGATGCTTACCGAATAAGAAGACGAAGTTCAGGGGCAAGGCACCAGCCTTAGTAAAGTTCAATGTAAAGTTGAGCGAGGATCGTTCTAACCCGCTCCTCCAATCAGTCATGCTACGAGCCATGCGCCCGAGGTGAACGTCTGATACAGTACGGCACCACGCAACTAATATTGTGCATATGTATCTCGTATAATGGCTCTTACGTAGTCTGGAATTTTGGTGGCCATATTGGAACACTGCTGCAACGGTTCATGTGGTGGTAAGATACATACGATTTATTTCTCACCCCATATACCTCCAAGAACTGAAACTGGTTTAATACTATCTAAAAAAAGCCCCACTACTCTGGGGGGGTCAATTATGAGAAGGGAACCGACGAATGTGCTCATTAACAATCGTATTAACTTCACAAATACTAGAACGAGCTATCATCTTTGACTAGTGATATAAAATCGAAATAGTAAGTGGGAACCGGGGCGAAGTTTCCCTTCTTACACTATATCCAAGCAACAAAGAGAAAGGTAATAATATTGTTGTTTGAACTACCATAAAAGCGAAGTGTAGAATGTTGGCACATCGTGCGACTAGTTGCAAAGATTTACGACCTAAAAATTGGTGAATATACTTGTGTGCTTTGTATTGTTATATACTATTAGAATGTACAAAAATGATGAATACATCTTCAACCCCATCTAATTAAGGTTGTCAATTTTACCTAGTTCCACAAAAGAAAGTCCCAGCATGGGGTTCAGAATCTATCTACCCCCAGTTTAGGACCCAATAACCCCTTTCTCCTTGTCTTGGGCAACTGTGGCCATCGACTATGAACCAAATGGCCGCTCTATAATAGTCAACGAGCTAGCATAGCTGCTAGTTTGCCCAGTGCCATTCGCACCCATTATCAGTCCTCTGATCGAACCCTCCGTACTGCTGGTGCCATCGGTAATGCTTGCACATGAACTGCCAATCCTAGGTGGCATGTAACTAGACGCGGAAGACGTGAACTGCGACGTTTTCCCACCACTATGCACATAGCTGGAAAGGTCAGATAATGGCCGCGGTTTCTGCCGAGAATTGTAAGAAGGCGCTTGGTATTTCCCGACCCACAGCATCTGCTCGTGTTCCCTCAAATATCGCCCTTCAGAGAAGGAATTGAGAACATTGTCACGACCCATCATACCCAGGCGTCGTCGTTGCTCTTGTTTTTCATACATACGCTTTTGTATGATTGCGACCTCTTCTGCTGTTGGGGTGAGAGAAAGCTTTGGATTGAAGTCTGGGGGGTCGTCGGCGTATTTAGACCACTCATCCAATAGTGCAAGAACATTCACTTGTGCGCGGGCAAGAGACACAGCGTCGTTCGGTGCCACAACGGCAGAAAACCGGTCCCACGTCACCGGGTCTGTGACTACACGAAAGGACGCACCAACATCTGTGCAGACTACTGGAACACCGGTGAGGGCCGCTTCACCCATTGCAAGCGGAAGACCTTCAGAGACCGATGAGTTAAGAAACAGCCAGGCGTCTTCGAGAACCTTGGATGGAGATCCAAGTCCTTTTAGAACAACATTGTCTCGGAGAGATTTGGCTGCGATAATTTCTTGACATTCGACAGAGTAAGCGGGTGCCTTTTCCATATCTCCATAGATATGTAACTGATAATCTGTAAAACCCCAGATATTGACAATCATATCAGCTGCGAGGATAGCTGTCTTGATGTCTTTGACAAATCTACAAAGGTCAGTATTTGGTGAGTAATTGATCAGAAAGTACGTACCGGACGTGAGACAACATGACCACCGTAGGAACTTTGGACTTGATCTTCTCGATGGGTTGGAAACTCTCCATGTTACAGATACCATTGACAACAGGGTCTATCTTTCGAGCAAACGACTTGCGATGCTCGATGGTGTTCTCTTGAGTACCAATCTCTACCTCCCAGCCGGGATTGAAGAAATCAGCGCAGGGAAGCACAACATCCGCGTGGTGTAGAATAAGTGTCGACGCAAGTCTAGAAAGAGATATGAGTGAGTTACAAACAAATGGCGAGTCGAATGACATGGAAGAGGACAAGAACACAGTGACCTCCCGCCAGCTGATACAATGATCCCAAACATGGAATGTACAGTTGCGTTTGACCTTGCATACTATTCCATATGATGCGCCTGCAAAATGGTGTGACGCTTGGAACACATCTGGGATCTTCTCAGGGACTGGGATTGAGAAGATAAACAAGTATCGGTGCCACATGTCTAACGCATTATCCAGGTGTAACAGGGTAGGGATTTCCGCATCTAGCCATTGCGAGATAGGCCTGCAGTTTGGCATATCCTCTGTCAACCAAAGTTCTCTCCATGCTTGCCGGACAATATCACTCTTCCAAACTTCACCCCAGTGGCGTGAACTTTCAAAATAAGTATTGAGATCTACCAGAGCCTTCGTAGAATCTTCGATTAACTGACGATCGATGTTGATTGCTCTCGATCCGCGAACTAAAGTCCTGAGAATAGGAAGAAATCTCTTCTTGATGTCGTCGTCACGAAGATTATGAATCTTGTGTTGGATTGATGAATCAAGGCAATTTTGGAAAATACCATGAGTAGGTGTGAGAAAGTCCATTCCCCATAAAGGTAAGACGGTTAGAGATTGAACGTTCTTCTCGATCTGGAACTTCGGGACGCCGAAATCATTAGCGTTCTCGGCGAGGATGTGCCACCTTATAGAATCCAAATTGTTCACCATATCCCTACGGCAAGCGGAAACACCGCCACCTTCATTGGGCCAAGTTCCAGTATCCATGGCAAGGATATGAAGTTCGGTGTCGGTGTCCTGCATTTGAGCTTCTTGAGTTCTGGTGTTGATTCTCGCATCACCCCCAGTACCAAAGCTTACAAGATCGCTGATCTTGAAAGCAAGTGGCGTCCACGAACTGATTTCGGGGTCTATATCAACCCTTGCCATGATTGTGTCGGCTCTCGAGTTCAGGTAATTCTCACCAGCGTCGAGACGACTCATATCCCTAGCGTTCCAGTAGGGCTTCAAATCTTTGTCCTTCCTCAATGACCACTCATCCAACCACCTTGCGGTACATGCATCAAGCTCCTTCCCTTCTTTCCATGACTTCCACAAATGTGTTCTAGCCCGAGATGTCGAGATTGGATGCCACCTTGTATTGAAACCGAGAAAGCGCGTTAAAATATTAGTTTTGACTGATCTGAACGAGTGCAGCGGATTCTCATTGACAAAACTTGTGCTCTGAGGCTTTTTGAGAACACCAAACCAATCATGTAGAACCATCGCAGGAGTGGCGACTTCTTGTCCGTTAAGAGTGGTGTTGATGATGGGATGAAATTTGTGCTCGTAGTGCCACTTGCATGTGTATACTTGTGTACCCTGGGTATAAACTGCTTCGGTAACCTTAGTGTGGGGGATCCATTTGTCCAGTTTTTTCACGGACTGGTTCGCTGGTGGGGCACTCCATACAACCTGAATAGCAATATGAGGAAGGATGTATTCCGCGCGAAGCAATTCATCATCGAATTTGGCATTCTTGCGATATTCGAACTTGAACTGGACCAGATTGTCGTCTTTCATGAAAGATCCGGAAGCGATATATCCCCTCTCATCGTAAAAAACCAACTGTCCAGTTAGTAAACCGGCAGTACATTGACGTTCTATTGGCTGCTTTGAGCCCCCAAGGCGACTAATTCGTCCATTTCTATCGCTTGGATACTCATAAGCAAATCTGCTGACAAGGGCTTCCTTTGCATACTCCTCTCTTTGAATGAGGACCAGCTTTTCAGAGTATGTGTTGATAGCCATCAGCTGATAAAGCCCGGTTGGATTCTTACTGTGATGTCCTGCATATTGGTGAAGGGTAAAGGTTTTATCAGCATTTGAAGTCACAAAGCATGTCGAAGGACCGCTGAGACTCTCCACAGCAATATGATTTTTCCGAATTGTGGTAGTCATGCCTTTCATGTTGCGGTGGGTCCTAGAGATCCCCACGCGGCCGTGAAAGATTACCAGAGGTATGATGATGCGTTGAAGCGATTTCGTATAAATCCATACTGCGCTTAAGGCAAATGTTACAGGCCCACTGACAATCCAAGGAACATCTCTTAGGGTGTACCTTAGCTCTCGTTGCATCTCTGGATCGGCAACGAGAGCAACGCTGAAAAACTTCACAAAGTGTTTGAAAGCATGGCGGAACCGCGAAAATGGCCGTTTCAAAATGTCAACGATCTTTGTTTGTTCGTCAAGTGTGGATGGTGAAAGTTGAGTTTCGATGCAGTGCTCGTAACTGGAATCAAGTGGCTCAGGTAGATCGCGGTGGGTATAGTCAGTCTCGAGGGCTCCTGCAAACGAGTTTATCAAGACAGTCAGAGTCGCTCCAAGATTACATCGAGCAATATATCCCTCGATGTCCGCGCTATTCATGTCACAGAACCTTGAGCTGATCCACTCAAGCTGACTGTCAGATACATGACAAGGCTCGCCACATGCTCTTTTCAGAAGAAATGATCTGATGTTCTTAGGCAGAAGGTCCCAATCAATGTCGCAGTCCAAGCCGAGAAGGAGATAGCTAAGTAGGGTCTTGTCTCCACTCTTGATGACTTGATGTCGTTCAGACGCAGAGTTTTGGAGTTGGCGTTTGACCCCTTCAGGCAGTGATAGTCCACTGTCGCTTTGCGAGCTAACGGCTAGGACTTCAGCAAGGATTGAGTGCTCATGGGAGAGGCCAAATCTGAATTCGCATGTGGCCTGAATGATGGCTTCTGCAACGACTTTGCAATTACGACGAATGTCCATAACCCATTCATCTCCAACAAGGTCTAGACCGAGGAAGACGAACACATGTAGTCGGTTACCATCCATGCTTGTGATGGATCTGATCTTTTGCTCTGCTTGTAGCAGATGTCTCATTGGGACAAGGTCAACAACCGTATCGCCCTTTATCCAGAACTCTGCTGTTTTTCTAAGGAGGCTAGCAGCATCCGGGAAAGCAGTTTGGACAAGCGTGGAATGATATGCACCGTCACCAGAAGTCAATATCCGTATTACTTCTACTCCTGGATGGGTAAAGGGATCAAGTCTATATCGCAGTTCTTCTGGTAGAGCACATATCGATTCTACAGTTTCCTTTAATGCATTCGGTGAAGATTGGTGGCCATGACCTAATGTGGTGCTAGCGTGAATCGCACTCCCGCTTTGGAAACCGGTGTCAAGTAATTTTGGTTGTGGACCACCTAAATGAGCTGTCCAGGCCGAAAAAAGAGCAGCCGTCCACGTGGCAACAGCGAGAGATATAACACTGTTGAACGAAAACCGAGGCTGGGTGCTATGGAGCACGAGACCAACCGTGAGCCCGACAGCCACTGCAACAAGCGGTTCTTTGAATGCAAGCGGTCCGGTAAATATTCTGTTGTACTGGTACCAGAGCAAACCCATATACGCACCAACATAGGCCATGTACATGATGGTCCCATCTCTGGAATTGTCAAAGGTCCACATGAGAGCTGAACTGAAAGCCAAGCCCCATACATGCATGAAGAAAAACCGGAGGAAATACTTCCAATAGAGTACTCTCTTTGCAGAGGCATCATTGATTGCAGCTTGTCTAAGAAACTCCAATGATGTAATGCCTTGGTCGAGATTCTTTTGTGCAAGCTGCCATAAAGGCTGCGACACCCCATCCAGGGAGACTGCGCCGATAAGATAATAAGCGAGACCGAATCCAACTGCAAGACGGAATTTTTCGCTACTTGCATCAGACAGACCAACGATGGAACCGCCAGAGAGTAACGCAACCCATTTGTCAAGCAAGGCGATGACGAAATAGAGAACACCACCCCAAAGTTCGTCACCAGCGTTGCGCCAATGAACGAAGGCGTTGTGAAGCTTGACACCCTTCTGCATGTCCTGTAAAGTGCAGACCGCAGCTTTACATTGAAGATTCCAGGTTGGACTATAAGCGTAGGTCATCTTAGCTCTTGAGTACTTGCAGTACCAATCCATCATGAATATGGTCGCCTCATAACCTTGAGCCAATTCCTGAACCTGCTTGTCAGCAGTTGCCTTCTGCCATGGACGTCGGTTTTTCTCTTTGAGGACCTCGCGAAGGAGAGCTTGTCGCGGGATAGGCGTGGTAGAAATGTCTATGCCTGTGCTGAGCTTTTCAGATGTTGAGTTGTCAAGTCCGTATGTTTTCTGGTACCAATTCGCCACATCCACATCCGTAATGCACGGAATATTCAGATACCAAGTGCTCCACTGAGACATCACGGTACGGGCACCGAGAAGAAGTGAGATGACGAAGATCGTAAGAGTGACTAGGTAAACGATTAAGTCGTGTTTGTGGATGAAAAGTGTCAAGATAGGCGAAATAAATAGGATAGGAATTCGACTCATGATGATGAGCCGTCCCTGTATTAATGAATTAGCAACTTATTCTCCTTTCTAAAGAAGTCCCGAAACTCACCGATTGAAAATTAAATCCTGGAAATTGATATATCGCAAGAGTAGCTAAAAGAGTTAGATAAGTGGTAAGAATGAAAAAGTAGATCATGAAGATAAAGCCGGCGTAAAATCCCTTCGTAACACCTATTATCACCAAGGCGAGTGTACCACCTGTGAGGCATATACACCAGCCAGCAATGAACCGCGTAAGTACAAACATGTTCATGGCGGAAAAGGTCATGGAATAAAGATAATAGCTGCCCCCGGAGCTGACCCAGGTACCTGTGGCACCGCACAAAAACAGAGAGATCATGAGGGCCGTCGTGGCCATCGTTTTCTCCGTTTCGGCCATATATGTTGTGAGATATAAGCCGCGGCCCGTAGTGGTAAGTAAAAGAATATCGATAAAAGCAGGAATTGCAAAAATGCCGAGGAAGGTAGCATGATAGTAGAATGGAACCTTTCTCTCGCCCGCATCTGAGTCCAAATCTATCAATTTGGACGAGTAGGCAGTTGGTAGCTCAGTAATGGAGTCGTCTCTTTTTGGCGGCTGATTCTTTTTATAATAACTCTGAGACATCTCTGTGAGGATCTTTCCCAATGCTGTCGGAGTCATATCAAAATACTGCTCGCACCCAGATCCCAATGCAAACATTTCCGCGAAACATGCTGATTGGTCCGACTGAGGATTAGGGAGAGGGTTTCGATCGTTGATTTCCATGTAGACTTCGTTGATCGCTAACTTGCGGAAGGCGCAGAAAACTGACAGACAAAAGAGGTCCGCACTGGCGTCGATTTCCTTCTGTTTAAGAATTGTCTGCAAAACAAGTTCCAGGCGAGCAATAATCTCGCTTTCACGACCCATTAAAATCTGGGAGACGCGAATTTCGATTTCGTTGAACAGAGACACAGCAGCGGCGGTGTTAGGCCGATAAACGCCATTCTCGGTATACCAATTCAAACGGGACAAGACAAGTTTTTCGGCCGTAATTTTACCTTCGAGATAGGTAGTTGCATTCAAAGACCTCAACTGTTGAATAGAGGGAACTTCAAGAAGCTGATACTCGCAACATGCTCTAATCCGGGCCGCGAGGAGTGGGAATTCCTGAACGTCTGAAACAGCAAGCCTTTGCATAAACAGAATCGCCTCGGTTGGGGTGAGTAGTTCAATGTCTCTCTGCAGACGAGCTGAAAGCATCCAGTCTCCTACTAGACAATTAGAATATTCCGCAAGAGCAATTTCAGCCATAAAGCACTGAGCGCGAGAACATTCTCGACTAGACATGAACGTGTGGAGGATAGAGCCAGCTCGGTCCTTTGTTTTGCCAGATATGTAGATGTTGATCACTCCTGTACTGATATCGTAATCGTAGAGACCCCAAAACTGACAGAATCGAGCGGTTCCTGTCGTTTTGAATCCAGAATCCAGCCCAACGTAGATCTTTATTCCATCATCCTCGCCCCCGTTGGTAGCGGCAAGCAGCGCCAGCAACTCCTTTACGGCAAGTGATTCTACTGGAGTGCTTGCCCATAACTTTTCGGTTTCGCATAAACCGCGCAAGGCCTCCCCAAAAGCATGAAGCTCCTCTGACTGTAGGCATTCTAAAAGCCCCAGGTCTTTCAGGCGATTTTGCTGCCCAACGAGGTTCGTGTAGTCGTCTGATGAACAGTGGAGGCCAAGTTGAAAGCACCCTAGTTCGGTAATGTCGAGACCGTGGGACGAGAACTGGGGCAGATTTGTTGGCGCTGGGTGGATGCTCCACGGTCGCTCGATATCTGTGCCATCCGCCGTACTAGCTCGGCTGGTAGCTTGGTTTGGCCGGGTAGGGCCCAAGGCGACTTTTGAAGCTAAGTCGGGGATGAAGTCATTTAGAACGCTATAAATTTCATGATCACCGGATTGTGTTTCTGTAATCTGCAAGGTAACACGTCAGTTGAGGCAAGCCTTTGGAGGTGGGGTTATCAGCAAGGAAGGTAGGGTATCAGGTGACGTACTCGGTCATTGGTCCTCCAGATTTCGTGCGCCTTGATTGTAGCGTCCTCTTTCAACCACATCATCGCACCTAATGGTTCACCACTGATTGTTTTTTCGATGGCAACGTCAGCATCGACTAGGGCGCTTTTGGGGCCAATCCAGCTGAGTGCGCTGCTAAAGTTACACCAAGTGAAACTGCGCTTCACCACAGCATGCTCCAGCTTTACAGCATCATCAATTGTATCCCACATTATGACAGTCGAGGTGACCATCGCTGACTTGGCTGCCAAAGCCCGCAGACTGTGTCGCATCTCAGCCATTTGGAAGTAGTTCCGTCTCTCGCCATTGGGAAAGATAGAGCCATTGCGGCAGACGATTCCCCGAATAGGCTCCATGTTGATAGCGCGAGCGACGTCTTCGCTCAAGTAGCTGGGTGGGGAGACTTCCAGATATACGTCGAGGCCAATAGTACCAAAATATCGGATAAGCTCGTTGCACACTACCGGTGGGAAATATTCTTCCCAATTCGCCATCAATATGCCCGTAAAAGGCGTATACATGTCTTGCGTACGCTTAAAAGATTGGACCACTGCTCGGGTGACAGTATTAAGAGATCGCAATGCCTTCTTACTTGCTACGACACTCCCATCAGCCGCCGCCAGCAAGGCGACATCCACTCGCCCAAGAACATGCTTCGAACTGCACCGATTTGTTGCCAAAGCGTCGAGTACGCCCGCTTGAAAAGGGTCTAGGACAACAATGTCCCATTGCGAAAGGATAATGCATTGAGCAGCGGTCGGCGGGGTATCGATCTTGCCCATAAAGGCACCAAACGATTTCGAATCTGTAGGATACTCCCTTTCAGGGCAGAGAGGGATGGTGGTTTTTCGAAGATCTTTCAGGTACCGTTCAATGGATTTCGGTAACTCTGTTACTTCGTGTCTTTTCTATAGAGGACAAACATTGTGAGTTTCTCAGCCTTAAGGAGGCCTAGTTCGGGGTAAAATGTATAAAGAGCTTACCTGCCAGTACAGTCTGATTTTTTGGTAAAGCAGAAGCGCAATAAAGCTCGACCCAAGGGCAAGAGAAGCAACCAACATATAAGCCAATGCCTATACAACCAGATTAATTAGCTATGAGCCTGCGTTTGCACAATTTGACAGATACTGATGCAACATACCAAGTCCCACCAATTCTTCAACATCTCCCGCCATCCTTGCGCCGACAGCCCAAGGTATTCCGCTTTAACATCCACCATGATGCTCTTGGAACGAACCACCGATCAAAAACGAGTGAATGGTACGGGCACAACAACTCCAAACTAAAAAGAAACGGACTCAAAGAATAGCAGCGGCCATGAACGACGGAATGTTCGACCTTATTCAGAGTACCGAGTGAACGAAAACAAAAAGTATTTTCCTACGAATACTCAGATAAACATATCTGCAGTGGCTAATATGTGTAAGCCGGCCTGGGGGACTGATCCATGTCATTAGAAAAGAGGTGACCAGCCTCAGCCTGCTGCTGCTGAAGAGCTAAGCTGATTTCAAAAGAGCAAGCGGTAGAACGGGTTGGCTCTAGGCCAACAGCTCCAAATACTCTTACCGTGCTGTACATGTCTCATTAGGGCCACCCGAACCAGAAGCCTGGCGGTCGAGCGTCAAAGGTCGACGCTGTGGTCCACGTCAGAGAACACCTTTGCTAGAATTTGTCCGTGGGGTAGCGATTTGCGGAAAACGCCAGCTAGCGCAGGGAAGGATCTGTTGGCTACTCCCAATGTGGGAATCCTCTAGAAGCGGGTACGGTATTTTGCACTTTCCTGCGGCTGTATCCTTATTTAGGTGCAGTGAAAGAGGCCCATGGGTGGGCGAGCATGGTTAGCGGTGTCAACATATGTTCAATCAATTTTCCCTATATTGAAAAACACTTGACCACAGGTAAGCGACAGCTTGGCACGCGAGGGCATTGGGTAGAACTGTGCAAGTAGACTATCGACAACAACCCGAGGCTGATGAGTACCGTCCATACGGTGATGGGCAAACATTTCGTATTGACGCCCGGGATCAACGCGAGTCTTGGAACGAGACGAACAGCGGCTGGAAGCAGCAATTGCAAATGTGGATATGGCAAAGTTTTCCAAGGAGATGCCGCTGGGTACGAGCGACATGTGGAAAGCAAAAGGCGGGACTGGGAAGTTAGTGACGGAAGGACTGGTTAAAGTCTCACCTTGCCGTTGATTTATTGTATAGCTGTTCTTTTGGGTGCAGCAGGCCTTCTCGGATGGGAGTATTGGAGTATTGCTAAGCAGGGGCGGTCGACAGGGCTACGAAATATACCTAGGCAGGTAGGTAGGTAGATAGGTTGAGCTTTGTTTCCGAGGAAAGCCAATATCCTGTGCACGGATTTACGGTACCTGATGGTCACTCGCTTGGCAAGAAGATGGTGGTGGTGCCATCGAGCAACATGGCCCCCGTCCGACGCAGCTGCTAGGTTTCCCCCAACGTGGGCGATCCCTCCCCCCACTTCAAACATCCATCACTCCATCAAAGGGCAATCGGTCTCTGGTGGTGGTACTCGAATTGGAGGAATTACCCCCCGCGAACGTTTCGGAACTCGGAAGGACGTCAAACAGCGGCAACAGTGTAGGTGCTACGATGAGCTGTTACGCCGTTCCTGAGTACTTGCGAGTCGATCGCCTCGCAGACTCGCGCTCGCGGTGCCAGCATGTCAAGACCGTCGTGCCGGAGCAGGCTGTACCGTCACCGTCGATGCATCGTTGTTGAGTGTTGGACGACGAGGAGGCTGACGCCGTTGGACCAAATCCCGTGGCAACCAACGACTAGCTGCTGTTGGTAAGGTCAGATCGCAGGCGAAAGCGACAGGAAGCATTGAAGCAGGCGTTTCTTTGCATCGCGGGTGCATTGGCAGAGGGGTGAGCGATTGGATGGATGGATGGAGAGGTGGAGTGTGGATGTTGACAGCGGAGGAGACACAGAAAGCGCGAGCAACGAAGAGTGAGGTCTGGGAAGTCTGTTGTCGCGTAAATCGAGGGCTTGGCAGGGATCTGCTTCTCGGAACAAAGGGGGACGGCGGACGGGATTTTGTGGCTGCTAGCCCCGGAGGACGACCGTACCTAGTTCAGGGCTGCCCAGGTGTATCGAGGATCCCAGCGGGATCTATTTTCAGGCAGCCAGGCACGACAAAAACAGGCATGCGCACGTAATCCGTCAGGGCATAATTAAGTGGAGAGGCTAGTCCGATTTACACGGTAAATACCCCAAAGGCCGGACCACGCCAATCTCCACGCCATCCTCTGCTGTTCTCCGACGACCAGACATCCCAAAGCTCAACACGCAAAGCCTTCTCTCTACCCTTCCCTCCTCGAGCATCGAAACCGCGCACCGCCGTGTAGCACGACCTACCAATATCGGCCGATTCTGCGTCTCTGCGTCTCTGCCCCTTCGCGCAGTCTTGCTTAAGGTTATATACACCCTGTCGATGGCTGCCTCCGGCAAAAGGACCTACTTTACCTACCTAGGTGTGTACAGGTAGGTAGGTATGCATGGAAAATGAGCTTTCGCCCATCAATTCCTCAATCTGTCCTAAAGCTTGAATCGCCTCGACTGGGCCCTGGATAATGACCTCTGTTCCTGCTTATCAGATAGCGTACAGTGTTTAATATATCCGCCCATTCGAGTTTGTTTATTTTGCTTGGCAGCACTGGATCAAGGTAGCATCCCAATCTTTCTCTAGCACTTCGGTAGCACCCTCTGCGGACAGCTTTCGCGTGAAGGCTCTTTCACTCTCTCAAGGCGTCTCCGTGCCTTCTGGCCAAATCAAATATATTACTGATCCCGTCTTCCGGGTTGCGGGCCGGCTCAAGTCCATTATTACGACGATGCATCCTCCCGACGACAGAGGTAGGCCACGTTCACGCAGGCCGTCGAGCTGACCCAGCCACTCGTAACGCCAGGATCCATCCAGTCAATCTCTCGCAAGCCGAACTTCGACATATGCAGCACCATTGCAAAATTCCAGGACAGCTCTGAATTCTGCTCTGGCCGGCTTGCGGCTGTGCAAATGGGTTTCCTTCATGAATTCTCTGCTGCGTCTCTTCGTTTCACATTTGCATCTTCGTGGAGGCTGCCTCGGCAGATTGCTCGATGCTAAGAAATTGGGCAAGCCTCACGGACGAGACTGTTTTCCACGCTCCTCCTTCAACCTATTCAGCTTTTCTCTTCGCCCGTCTTATTTTCTTGCCCACCTTCCAGGACTGATACAATGAAGCTTCCCGCCGCCACTACTCACCTACTTCGTGGAAAAAGTAGACGGCTCAAGTGGTGTACTGCATGCGTGGTCACCATAGTTATCATTGCTATAATAGCTATCCCTTTGGCCGTTATCTTGCCCAGGAATTCGGCAGCTGCGAAAGGTCTCAAATCAAAAATACTCGTGCCATTGTACATTTACCCCGAGCCTGGTGCCTGGGATCCGTTGTACGAAGTGTAAGTCCCGCTCTCCTACCTTGGCCGTTGCCAACGGACTTCCAATTGACTCGCACAGTGTCACTTCACATCCAAATCGACACTTCATTGTCATCCTGAACCCGAATAGTGGACCCGGTTCTTCTTCATTGCCAGCGGATCAGTATGTCAACCAGATCCAGAAACTCAACGACTTTCCCAACGTCCAGTCTGTAGGTTATGTCCGGACAGGCTATGCGACTCGAAACATCTCTGATGTCCTTGGTGATGTTGCCGTATATTCCGGTTGGGACACCAGTGCGAATGCTACCATGGGCAGCGGACTAGCAGTGCATGGCATCTTTTTCGACGAAGCGCCGAGTGAATACAGCACGGCCAATGCCGAATATATGTTGACCATCAATCACGCAGTTAAGAACTCCATAGGAATTTTAGGAGATAAAACAGTAAGATTTCCCAATCATCGGCAGTGGAGACTTTTAATGAATTTCCTAGATCATACAAAATCCAGGAACGATCCCTGACCCCCGCCTAGTGGATTCAACAACTGACTACAGTGTTGTCTTCGAAGGCAGTTACAAGGAATTTAATGAGCGGCAATCGTTATTGACAGCGCTACCTCTCGACAGAAAGAGATATAGCTTCGTCATTCATTCTATCCCGGAAAACTTGAGTACGGCAGACATCAAGAAGTTCGCTGCTAAGGCGAGTCGGAAATCAGACCTCCTCTCGCTTATCGATCTGGATGCAAACTTCTATGAACGCTTCAGCCCAAATTGGTCATCATATGTCGATATAATACCATCGTGAAAGACATCATGGATCAAGTAATTGTATGAACACATGCATTATTCTCGCAGCTCTCCGTCACACTTGCAGCGATGAGAAGTGTGTGAGGGCTATTATATGGATACAATATCAAACTATAAATCTAGACCTATTTTCGTGCCCGTGGTACATAGGTACCTTTTTACTTGCTGTTGATTCAGATCCTGCATCCGGCAGCTAAAAATTCCGACGACTGAAGTCTGATTCGTCTTGTTTTGCCTCACTTTCTGCATAGACTCCAATTTTTATGTGACGCTAGAGCGTTCAAACACATGGTACCAGCAAGCAATGAAGTACAAAGTCGATGGCGGTGTCATACCAAATACTTCGAAGGCTATAAAGGTGCAAACCCCAAACTCACCACATACTCCTTTATGAACACCATTGACGATTCCTCAACAATTCCGACCTGTGCGGTTTAAGCCAAGTTTCCAAATCAATTTCTCTGAGAACAACAGAATCAAAGATTTACAAGCACGTTGACGTGTTCGAATGACTCAGCTTATCTGCATTTATCCAAGCCCAGGTCTCCAAGCAAACTACCAACTGCATAAATATTTTCGACAATCATCATGGCAACTCCCAAAGCAGATATATTGCTACCGTTATACATCTATCCATTACCTGGAGCATGGGATGCACTACATGAGGCGTAAGTTGATCTGCCTTCCGTTTCGTCGTCCCGTTCTACCCCGCTTGATCCGCACATGGATTCCACATGACCAACAAACCATCTCATGCACACAGTTGATCGATATTGACCATGTATCTCATTCATAGAATCGCGGCATATCCATCACTCAGGTTCACCATCATTGTCAACCCTAACAGTGGCCCGGGAGGTGCATCCTTCTCACTGCCAGACGAGCACTACGCTCGTGAGATTCCTAAACTGAATGCTCGGCCTAATGTATGCACCGTAGGGTATGTACGAGTTGACTACTGCAAAAGAAGCCTGGGCGAGGTCTTCCAGGAGGTAGCAACTTATGCAGGCTGGAGTAGGAGCACCGATCGAGAAACTGGTGTAACTCTCGGGCTGCACGGGATATTCTTCGATGAGACGCCCAACCTGTATAGCAGGAACGTGGCCTCGTATTTGGATTCAGTGAGCGCGCGCGTCAAAGCGAGCGAAGGGATTTTAGGCCATCGACTGGTAAGTTCCAATGCGTTTTTCATTGCATGCGCCCTTTTTCCCGGTGAACGAGGTGTTCCCGCGCTGCTGCTGTGGTTTGATGCAATCAATCCGAAACAACAGTATATGGAACGATATCCAGCTCGTAAATACTCGGCACGCCACGCCTGTTATGGAATACACCGTATTTTCATTATATTGACACGCTCATCCAGTGGTGTGCTAATGGCTGAGACAGGTGGTTCACAATCCAGGCACAGTCCCAGACACTGGTCTCGCTAATCCAGGGCCTGACATAACCGCTGTTTTTGAGGAGAGTTTTGCGGCATACCAATCAGACGGGTTGCAACAGCGGCTGTCCAACTTACTACGCTATGATAGAACAAAATGTTCTTTTATGGTACATAGCGTGCCTCGAGAACACGTACGGGGCTTGACGCAGAGTTTGCGCTGGCGAGGCAAATACCTGTTTGTTACGGATCTGAGTGAGAATTATTATTGCCGCTTTGGGCCAAGTTGGGCGAGTTTCTGTGAAGCCATGGCAAGAGAATAGAGTGGTTCGATAGAGAGGCATGCAAGTGTCAACTGAACTTGATTATGCAGAACATGGTAGCTGGGAAAATGCAGGTTGCCATGTATGGCAAGGAGTGGTAGCAGATCAATGGGTGCCTCGGAAATCTAGAATTGCGCATATGAATATGCACAGCAACGCACCAATATCTTTAATTATCCTTGGCCACGACATTTTCTTGTCAGTACGCTATTTTTGAGATGTGTGGGGGCAGATGGTGCGAATCTCAACTCTTCGGGTTTATTTACAGCAGATGAATGGCCGAAGAAACTGATCTTCTTACAATCTCGCCTAATCTAAAGTAGATGCAGGAAAGTCCATCTTCGTTAAGAAGCATATCATTGATGTTTAAGTTACTGGTTTGACTTTCTAGGCACGAGCATGAGCAAATCTTAGTTACTCCGACGTCAGAAATCCGAGCACTAGCTATATTCGTTCCTTACGAAGGGTAGCAACGACAGCATTCATTCCGCTTTGAGCCACATATCAAGACAAGTACCTTCTTAGTCAAAGTGTATTGGAATAGAAATCTACATTTGGCTGAACTCAGCTCCACCGTTTCATCACCAAGGCGTGCCTTATACGCCCGGTCTCAACGCTCCCGTCGGAGCTGACAATACAGCGGGTATATCCAACACAGCGGCAAGGCAGATATTCGATTCCTTCATAGCTCTTTAACGTTTTCATCTAGATTTGCTTTAAATTCCTGGAATAAGCAATTATTTGGTTGGAAAATGGCAAGACGGCCGGCCAGATGGAAATCATCTGGACCTCGGTATGGTAATCTCTTTACGCTCATTATTTTCGCTGTCCATCTGGAATTATGACTATGAGGCAACCGGTAAGGCGTACAGGTAACTACATGTATACACACCACCGGAGCGGAATTATGCAAAAGTGCAAAACCTGTCATTCGACGATGGGATTCCTCTGGTGCCGGACCCTGATTCACACTCGACTGAAGCGAAAAGCCAGAGGTCTAGAAGTTCAAGAGAGCGGGTGAAGCCAACCTCCCGCATTCATCCAGACCTGCTGTGGTGTGGGCTGACACAGACTCGGTTTCTGGTAATTTTTAGCTCGTGCTGTTGTCCTCCTCTTATTGTTTGAAACTTTCTTGTATGCATCGTCCGAGAGTACCGTTCGGCTTGTTGGAGCTTCATATCTTCTCATTCTAACCAAGAATTATATTGGTTTTTCTTCCCAGAGCACACTTCTTCTTACTCATATCAATCTATTTCCACGGCACTCAAATCTACCACCACAATCTCGCTACTGACTTGAAGACGTTGCTGAGTTTTGAGACCCGTTTAGGTTTCCACCATAATGTCATCCTCCGGTCTCAGTACGCCAACCTCAGAATCAGATTTATGCTTCTCAGGGGTCTCAACTCCCGCAACTGAGCATTCTGTACTTTTTGATGATGACTTCAATTTCACGACATCCGCTCAAGTCACAAAACCCATCACAGACGACTTCATACTGGTTGTTGGGGGACTCGGCTATATTGGCTCACACACGTCTTTTGAGCTGTTAAAGACCGGTCAAAACATAATCATCATCGACAATCTCTCAAATTGTAACCTACAGGCTTTGAAAAATCTCGAAATTCTCAGGGATAATCACTTCAGAACTCAAGACGCTCGGCCAACCATTGATTTCTATTCAGCAGACTTTCGAAATCAAGTCGCAATCAATACGATCCTGACCAAATATCAAAATGAACGACCTAGACATGCGGGACCCCCATATTGTTCAAAATCGAAGATCAGTGGAGTAATTCATTTTGCTGGCTACAAATCTGTTAGTCAGTCTTTCCAAAAACCGCTGGAGTACTACGCGAACAACGTTGCTGGGATGGTCGAATTTCTGACCACACTTTCAAAATTCGACATCAAAACCTTTGTTTTCTCCAGCTCAGCAACAGTCTATGGCGAACTTGCCAACAGCGGAAACCGCCTGGTCGAAACTCAATGCGATGCTACGTCCTGTTCTGGGCTCACCAATCCATACGGTCGAACCAAATGGATGTGCGAAGCCATTCTCAATGACCTAGCAGTTTCAGATCCAGAGTGGACAATCATGGCTCTTCGATACTTCAATCCAATAGGTTGCGACGAGTCTGGAATGCTAGGAGAGAATCCCAAGGACACGCCTAATAACCTCATGCCAATAGTGGTTCAAGCGATGAAAGGCGAACGCGAACATCTCGACATATTCGGTACAGATTGGGATACTCGTGATGGAACGGCAATTCGGGATTTCATCCACGTCAGTGACTTGGCATCTGGTCATCTCGCTGCACTGCGAGCTACGAAGAGAGAGAATTTTGGACCTGGATTTCATGTTTACAATCTGGGTACCGGAACCGGCCATTCTGTCATGGAGATTGTCACTGCTATGCAAAGTGCTTCTGGTCGCACGATACCGACTAAGTTGTCACCGAGGCGAGGAGGAGACGTGGGCATTTGCGTCGCAGAGCCCTCAAAGTCTGCAGTGAATCTCAATTGGAAGACAAGGAAAACACTGGAGCAAGCTTGTTGGGATATATGCCGGTATATTGGAAAATCGAGGAAAAAGACTTCTGCTGCTGTCTGAGCACAAATCCCTGTTGTATTGGTTGAAATGGAAGAAAAAGCAAAATGCGCGGGATGTAATTGGGGGGCTGAGGAAAATTCAAGCATTATAATTATTGTTTATTTCACATATATACAATCTCCTATAATAATACCATCATTTACTTTTCAAGAAGTCTACGATTCCTTGGAAGAAGGTCCCTACCTTGTGGAACGCCAAACGAGGTGCCCCTACCGGTAGACTCTGTGTAGTTCTGTGATTCGTTGGTTGGACGCAAAAGCCCAACAATTCAACAAGAAAAACCCATCCAAATGCGCCTCATCAATATTTCCCCTCATGTGGCTGCAGTCATCGTCTTGGACTTTGTAGTCGGTCTGTACAGTTGCAGATGAAAGGTCAACCCCAAGTATTCCAACATGACAGAGACTTCGTAGTTGTTGGTGCTCGTATCCTGACGATAGGGCTTGGATACTCAATGGTAACACAATCATCGCGATATACTTCGGAGTAAGTGAGGAGAAATGTTGGTACTGCACGAGCCTTCAGGGTTGTGGGGTTACTTTGTGGGTGACAGAAGAAGTTCTTCCACGATGATGGATCTGACATGCATGGCGCATCGGAGATCATTTGGGTTTCCCTGTTAAAATTCAGCCTTCATTGGTCTAGGTTGATACGGACAATAATGTCCAAGCGGAAAGTTCCTTTCCGAGGATAGCTTCTCTAACTTACCGCTTCGCTTGATGCCTTTTCAGCCCCTTCAAGGCGACAACATTAACGGATTCAGATAGACGATGGTGACATTAACTGTCGAGCCATCAACGGAAAACTCCCAGGCTTCGAGAAGTGGATAGGGAAGGTTTTCATGCGTCAGAATCGATAAGTCCAATTATTTCAGCACCTCGCTTGGCGCAGTGTCACCAACCTCGTATTCAACCCTGAAATGTGCACCATCTGTTACCAAACAACAACCAACACTTGACTGTCTGTAATTGGGCGGCCCTATGCGGGAAGTCGATCCACCAGTACGCCATCGCTCCAGCCTTCCCCTGGACCCTGAGCTATATCCCACATAATAAACGTGCATGCTAGCCCCGAAAGCGTGAAGGAGCTGGCCCTTTCTTTGCTAGCGTAGATTTGCCCCAGCCGGAAATCCCACGGTCTGTTCCCATACCGCCCCTAATTCGCCAGGTGTTGGGCCGTTCACCGTTTGCGCTACGGGAAGAAAACGAAATACTGGAACATAGACCAGTCCCTAGCTCCCGCCACAGCCAGCCAAGCTTTAACGACATGTGTGAGACACAAAAGGGGAAAATAGGTCTTACTTGGTCACATTTAATACTTCATTCGGGGCAAGAACTACAGTGGTGGAAAATTGAAGATTTCTTGGAGAAAAGGGGCTTGAGTTTTCAGGGCCAACGCATTGAAAAGCAACAAGATCGCTCGATTTTGCCCCAAATGAAAAACAAGATAGTTAGCTCTGTTTGTTGCTCCACTCATTAGAAACAATTCAAGTAGAACTCGATAGTAGGAAGCAGTAAGCTTTGCCAACGTCGGGTACATAAAAGTAGATCACTTAGTAAGAGCTTAATTTGGAAGTTTTTCATGGCTACGGCACGAACAACGACGCATATATGGCGAATGGACCCAATACCAAGTTTTTGGTGTCCTTGGCTGCGGTTCGGGATTCTTGAGCTGAAATACGAGTAGATGAAAACGCATCAGACACTTCAACGTGATGGCAGCAAAGAGAAACGCCTCAATCAGGTTGGAATCCCTATTTGGTTGCAGCTGGCAACAGGCATATTCGAGACCAGTCTTCATCACGGATGATCCAAGCAGTACCGAGACAACACGCGGTGATGTCAGCCAAAGATCAGTAATATCAAGAATGCACACTTCTCAATGTGACTGACTTCATCATGGATTACAACATTTAATCAGTCCATTTCAAACCTGTGCCGTAGGTCTATACTAGAGATGCTGTTTTGGAGATGAACTGACTCATATCTCGCTCTCCCAATTCAATGTCCATTTACGCCAGAAAGGAATAAATGGTCATAAATATTTGCTTCCTTCAAGAGATTTGTCCATCTACTGTATGAACTTGTGACATGTCTGCTCTAAGTTATCATCCTGCATTCTTTAACGTTATCGTGTTCTGATCCAATGCGACATGTAATTTTGAGATCGTATTGCCTGAAAGATTATCGTGTTCACACTTCACAGCCATTGTGACTTGTCGTCTTCGATCGTGGCATCACTTCCCGAGACGTTTCAGTGCCATCGGAAGACCAACTGGTTCTTTTGAATGGTGACACGAAGTAGCAATTCAAAAATTAGATCGACTTTTGAACGTTTATGACAGAAAATGGGTAGACTTTATAAGGTTGTTTAGTGCTGATCTGCGACGCCTCAAGGCGTTGGTGTGACCACACCTTTAGACAAGACCGTTTTCTCGGCGATAGCTCCTTGAACCTACTACAAATTAAGTCGTTCTCGAGCTTGTTGCTCTAAGAATTTAACAGAGGAAATTATTGAGCTCCTGCCCAGCCTCTTATGGTAGACTGATGTTTCTGCCCAACGTCGGTCAAATTTTTACTCACTGACGGAAGGGTCATCCTTGAGCACAAACAGCGTGGAATATCAGCCATACTCTACTGGTATTCAAGCCAGGGCTTATTTTTAAAACTCTCGTATTTGCGCTGCATGGTCGTCAGTAAAGTCTCAGTAATAATATTTTGCCTTGACCGCACTTTCAGGTGCAGCTAACACCAGGGAGCTTCATTCTAGATGAAAATTGCTGAAGAATATGCATGTGACGAAAGTTTTATCGTGCGTGTCTCTTTCTGAAACGTACTTCCCTTCAACTTCCCGAGATCTGGCCATGTCGAGGATTCTGAATGGGACCAGCGACGCACAACCAAATACCCCCAGGTAAGCGCTTTGAAGGCAAGCTCCAAGAATTACCATAAATTATCAGTTCATCATTTCCGTCCACTTTTTGTTTCACTTGCGTGAGACTTTGAGGCGGCAATTCTGGAAATTTGGCATACTATACAAGTTTGCAGGTAGTTGTCACATCACAGAGACACCGTGCATTGTATTCAGCTTGTCACTGGATAGACAAGACTACTGGACTGGGCAAATAAAATCTTGAGAAGAGTAATGTTGTCTAAATGTAGGCGATAGAATAGGGGGAGCGTTAAGCGATTCGCCGTAGCACCTAATTCTGCTCCTACTCGCTTTCACAACACTTCAACTTCAAGCTGAGCCAGAACATCCGAATGGATATGCCGGCATTGAAGAACCCTGTTATGCTAGGGGCTGCAATCGAAAGTGTAAGTGATTTGACGCCTGATATGCACTCCCCACACCCACTTGTATTTGGTCCAATTGAGCCATTATATTTCCATACAAAGAAAGCTTTTGTTGTCAGTGACAGGTGACTGCTGTTTGCATTGTCCTAAGTCTAATGACATTACCAATTGCACTGTAAGATATTGTGTGAAAACAACTCAGCACATGACAAGATGTTTTGGCTACCATCCCGACCCCTTAGTCCAACTAATTGTTCGTAGCCTAAAAGCGTTGGTTCCGCTTTTCGTCGAACTCAGTGATCAACGAGAATTCTTATGTATAGTAGACTTTTGGGGGTTCTATCATTGACACAAAGCTATAGTGAAAATCGGCCACCGGCGGGTTGCAAGTGTGATGGGACATCTACTTACATTAGGGTCGCGATAAACCTTAGCTAAAAAGTTCTATTTACTCATTCGTTCTAAGTGAATATACCATGTTGTTTCTTTGATTAAGGGAAAATATGTCTATTAAGGAATGACCGTTGGAATTATCTTTGACGCGCACCATCGTAGCATGTTCGCAATGACCCGTTAGAACGCCCTCAACCGACCCTCAATCTTCCAACCCATCACGGGATCGAAATGCGTGCTCTTCAGTAAAGTTTAAAGATACCCGAAAAGAAAAATCATGTAATGATTGGAGATAAACTTGTCGCGGAAACCTCCAATATACCTGTCTTTCCTCGTTACATTGGACGATTGGTGTAGTTGGAAATCGTAACCGCACCCAAATGGGGATTGCTTGCATAAGAGAGAGCCGCTTGCTCTGCAGCATCTTCAAAGAAACGCTCGACGTTGAAATTTTCCGCACATTGGTTTCGTTGTAACATAGTTACAGCTTCCCTAACCCAGCTGACACAGTTCTGGATCGGGTTGGGGATTGTACAATGGCAGCGGAAGGTTTTTGGGACTCAGCATATCGCCCACACCGTGTTCGTCGATATTTGGCGGAAGCTTCCCGATCATGATCTTGGCAAGCATAGATCCACTTTGTTTTACACCGTATCTCGTGTGGTAGGCCCATCCTCCGGCGATACCTTGAGCTGGAAACGCATCGTCTTCTTTGACATCAAAGCAATTTGATGGCTGTCCCCCTTTTGCCTCCACAAAGATAGCCCAATGATAGGCAGCAAGCCCGTACTGCTGCACTAATCGTGGATCGCTCGTGATGTAGTTACGGAAGTAGAGCGCCACGTAGACGCGGTTTTTGTTGCGAGCCATCTTGTAGGGTTTCGCTGGATAACTCCGAAAGCTATAAACCAAATTATTATCGAGACGTCGGAACAAGAAAACTTTCAGTGTACCGATGCCTTTATCGAAGCATACCGACCTAGCTCAATCTAGGGAAATCCAACTTACCGATTAGCGCTGCAAACAAAATTGACTCGTGAACTGGCCAATGTCCTTTGATAGGATTTTGTCGCTGTGAAATGTTTGTTGGGGATTTGAAACACCCAAGGAAGGTCCGAATTGCAATCATGCTATTCCAAGGTTGGTCGAGACCTGCAGTAGTTCCGAGACTAATAATAGGCGCGCGCGATCCTGTCCATCGATGGCCGGTGGACAACATAAGCACACGATATTTCTTCGATCAATGTGACACAACCTCGCGTGTTGTGTCTATCACTTTCAGTAAATGGGATATCTCCGGATTGAGATGGACTAAGAATCAGAATTCCTTGTCCCCTCTGAACCATACTGTGAGCTAATCAAATAGTCAGGAGATTCTGCGACTTCTTCGTCCTCTACGAGCGCTGCACTGCCGTATTCAGAGTTGTTCACATTGACCGGCATCTTTGCTGAGAATGGAGGACCGCTGAACTGGGCCATTCGACTTCTCATGCGCGTGTCCCATTCTCGCCACTTTTCTTCGTCGACTGATCGCCTTGGCCTATCAGTGTCATAACTGAAGAAGTCATAATGTTTCAGAAGAGCTTTGTCGCAAGCAAGCTCCTGAGGGTAACTTGTGAGAACTTTGTCCATCTCTTGATAGAAATCCTTGCGATATGGCCGCCAACGGAAGTGCATCTTTGTATATTCCCAATACTCTGGAAACCATCCGCTGAATTCCCAGTCGATGATAGCTGTGATCTTGCCGTCCCTGACTATGATGTTCTCTGGTGACATGTCCGCATGAGTAAATTTTGTGGTGTAGGAGTCGGATCTACTGTGCACATCGACGACGTCCTGCTCAATAGCCCATAAATCCATAGAGTCCCCTCGACGCACAAATCTATGGAAGTCCTCTATAGTCTCGAAGGGACCAAAGCGTCTGCTACCTAAGCGGCTGTCCCAGCCGGATGCCAACCCAATCGACCCCACGAACCCTTTCTTGGTAGGTTCAAGACTCCGTAGTTGGGAAATATAGGACCCAAGCTCTTTGGCTACATTTATTTTATGCTCTGTTGTCAACGTTTGCCAGGCCACACCCAACTCCTGTCCTGGAACTAGCTCCATGACCAAATCTTGATATCCGTCGGGACGGCTGTATACGCCGAAGACCTTGGGTACCGGAATGGAGGTATTCCGACGGACAAACTCCATTGCTTCATACTCAGTTGTGTGGCATCGGATCTTAAGCAGTTGGTTGTTGCCGATGTACCTCACCTTCGCGCCTGTTTCCCTGATACTCTGATATGTTTTGTTCCTTTTCCAGAAGCGGTCCCAGGTGCGAATTCTGATCCAGAGAGGAAGATGCTCATAAGTCATCTTTACCTATGAGTTGCGCTGTGGAAGATGACAACCAGATGATTTCCGTCTTGAGGGAATCACAGGACATGTGTTGCATTGTTTGGAGCCTGCCTTTGAAGTTGTAAGGACAGATTAGTTTGAGACCGGTGGTCATTGTGTCGCAGCCCAACAAGCTCCTGCAAGCCAGTAAGTAGAGTTGTTGGAGGTCTTTCTACGCGCCGAGGAATTTACCCAGGTAGATTTGAGAACGCGCATGGACCTTTCAAGTCTTCCCTGCTCGGAGCTCGCATTTTTTCGATGACCATTGCTTCACCGAAGCGGAGCCGAGCGTATGCCGGGCATCCCGAATATGCCAAGCGGAATTTCGACTCAACAACAACACCTGTTCCCTTTTGATTGATTGCTAATGGCTTATCTACCAACACTATAATACCGATATGGATTCAACGACAATACAAATGCAGACTGGTGCACACTGTATTGCATCCATCATTACATATGTAGCAGATTACCTGCTGGGTCCCAACTACAACCGCATGGTGCTATTCGGTGTCTACCTCTTAATTTCGAGTAGAGCACTGATAAAGGGTGATTCTAGTAGAGCATACGCTCTTATTAGTCTGAGCAGCACTTTATTCGCACTCATAGGTCCTTCGCAGCGTTGCTTTACGAATTTCTTCGGATTCCGACTGTTCATGAAACATGTTTTTACCCCTGCCCTAGGCTCCATTGACTACCGCCCTACAGACAAAAGCACTATTCTTGATATTGTATACGGCCCTTTGCCTTTGGGTGGGTATATCTGCACATTTTGGCTTACTCGTGCTGTGGATCTCTATGGAGGGTCCGTTGTCTATTTCCTGACAGACCCTAAGGTGTTGCCCTGGGTGATATCTTTTTTTCTCGCTGGGAACTATTTCAATGCGCCCATTGTCATAACAGACTTTATGAAGGTCTTCGAAAGTTCCGCTGCAACTCAACTTGCCTACGTTGTGTCGAGATTGCCCGATGGACTTGCTATTCTCGCTGCGCAACTAACGAGCCTCTTTGAGCAGGCAGATTCAGTTTGGGCAAAGAAGGAGGTCGCAAAGCAAAACGCGAGCGCTACTCTTTACGAGTATGAATCACTTACAAATCCGCGTCAAATACGCTTGCTGAAGATCTTGAGGAGAAAACCTGGGTGTGGTCTCCAATGCGAACTCGTTCACGTCGAACTCGAGGACCGGCCATCCTTTGAGGCAATCTCTTATACCTGGCAAGGCCAAAGCTCTACAGAGAGCATTATTGTTGATGACAAAAGGCTGGCGGTGACCCCCGGGGTTCTGGAAATTGCGAAGTATCTTGGTTCATTTTATGAACCGAGATATATTTGGATTGATGGTGTTTGCATAAACCAGCAAAACCTGGATGAGAAGAACGTACAGGTGCCTTTGATGAAGGAAATTTATCTCCAATCATATCGTGTGATTCTGTGGCTAGGACCTCAGTATCAGGTCAAGGATGCCCACCTCGCGCGGCGGCTATTGTGTCAGCTGGTATATGGCAAGGTCGAGTATGATGCCGACAGACGCAAGTTCTTGGAAGGTTTGAGGAAGAAAAGAGATCCAGGACTGTTGGCAGCAGTCAAATTATTCTCACATCCTTGGTTCAGCAGAACTTGGGTTTTGCAAGAGATGGCACTCGCGCGCAAGCTTGCTATGGTTTATGGAACAATCTGTTTGGATTGGCCGCTTGTCGATTCTGGTATTCAGATCATGTTGGATCCATACACTGTAGGATTTACTCAGATGGAACACCGCTTGATCGGAATCACGGGCATGGAACTCCGGGAACGGTTTCGTAATCTTAATACTGCTTGGTTTATGACGGTCGTCCGACAACATGTTCAGTCAAAACAGAGAGTGTCATTGGGTTTGCTCCTTGGGAAGTCCATCACCCTCGAGGCTACGGACTCAAAAGACAAAGTCTTCGCGCTGCTAGGCTTGATTACACTCGATCTTTATCAAAATTACACCCCTGATTACAAAACACCAATTGCGGACGTCTATCTCGACGTGATGTGCCGGCTTTTGGGCAGTAAAGATCCATCTGATGGAAGGACAGCACTTCAATTTGCTGGTATTGGATATGCTAGATCTGCTGCACTGGAAGGGCAGAACATCCCATCCTGGGTGGCGGACTGGAGCTGCGACGCCCCTGGCCGAGCACTTCGCCTTGAGGCAGGATTTAGCATTCCCGATGATGCTCAGGAAATGGTCTATGTTAGGTCTCGTTCTTACGATGATAAGAGGCTGCTCGGATTACAGGGTGTAGTGATTGACATAATACGTTCGCTCGGGTCTGCGTTCGATGTTTCCTCGGTCACCGGAGACGTCGACGAGTATACGGGACGCCTCAAAGCCTGGCTACACGAAGCTACTGACATGATAGGGAAACAGCTTGGTTCGCTAGAATTTCCATCTTCCCTCGAACGGAACATAGAAAAGACCTTGTTATCTTTTCTATTATCCAAGCGTTCAAGCATTGAAGCAGACATTGGATTTAAACCGAATTCAATTGCCTACTGGAGAAGTTTGGGGGATGGAGACCAGATTACAAATTACCTAGCTCATCTCTACGAAGGTCAAACCAAGATCGAATCACTTGGTGCTGCAATGGAGTTTGTTAATTCTACCGAGATAGCTGGGAAACGGTTCTGCATCACGCAAAAAGGCAGACTAGCACTCGTGCCACCTCTTGCCCAGGAAGGAGACATACTTTGTACCGTTGTCGGCATGGAATTACCGATTGCGTTTCGTCGGGACATTTCCGAAAACGCACTACCCACCAAACCTTTTCAACTGGTTGGCTCTTGCATATTAGATAATATTAAGGATGAAGCAATAGGGGTGGAGCCACAGTGGATCATTGTCGACTGATAAACATCTTGTTCATTCCTCGACTCGAGTTCGGGCTTGTTGTCTCCGGTATATCAATGAGATGCCTTGGATGATGTCAAAGACCTCAAAATTTCGATAGCATTGCAGGCGTGTAAGCGCAGATTGGAGGTTGCTCCAAGACATGTCTGGCTGCTGGGAATTCAAGCATTTCGCTTTTCATACATCTTGCGGATACACTATTTACAAACTGAAGGATCGCAATAAGAACGCCATATAGCTATGTCAATTTCACCATCTATTCCCCTTCAATGTGCCTTATTAGGACTTTGAGCAGACTAGGTCCCCTTCAAAACAAAAATCTCACCACTACTATCACTAGTCATAAACAAACGATCCTTACTATCAAATGCCAACCCAGAAGGTCGGAAACAACTACCAGGACAACTTCCCATGTTGTTGTTACTCATGACATGAAGTCCTGATTGAGTACTCGTGGATGGCTCTTTTGGTTGGCCACTGGCGAGAAATTCTACACGGTCTAGACGGTATCCATCTGGTGGATTTCGATCCCTGGTGGTGGGTCAGCACGAACAAGAATCAACTGCACCTACAATCTAAGCTGAGGAAAGCAGATTTATACGTACCATGATCCGTGCCAAGTCACGTAAGCTCTGCTGCCGTCTTTGTTGAATTTGATATCTGTTTGGAAATTAGACTCCTTCGGGTGCAACGAGGATATGTCGGTTGATGTGAGGGGTACTCCTTACCAATGGGGCTGTTATGCGCTGGAAACACCAATCTTGGTGCAATTCTACTTTTACAATTCGCATCCTGAGTCGTAGTCTGAGTAGTTCCCTCCACCCAAAACATCTCACCAGTTTTGATTCCACTTATACCTAGCACACTAGTGTCATATGCGGGGACACATTCTGGGTACCCATAGTTTGCACCAAAGAGCGGACCTTTGGTGTCGCTTACCAGCCCGTGGAAATTGAGTTTCTCGCCAGGATTAGTGTTGTGAACGTCTTTGCCACTTCGTTTGATATCGTCCTCGCCTTGATCGATTGACCACTGCATGCTAGTCAGTAATATACTTCGTGGTAGAGGTGGAATGGCAGACTCACAATCTCTCCTGTAACAGGATTCTCTCCAATACCAACTGGGTTTCTGAGACCCCAAGCAAATAGGGTACCGCCAGTGGCATATGCAACAGGTGTAGCAGCCACTTGAGTCAAATTGAATAGACGAATCTGACTTCTCCCGCTGCTGGTTTGCTTTGCACCTTGGTCGACGTTACCGTCTGAGCCACGTCCCATAAGGATGAGATCCGGATACGCTTTCGGGATGAGTAGAGTACGTGTGAGATGGCCACCACCATTTTTCATGGAGTTGACCAAAGTCTTCTTGTTTGTAGCTGTGCCTGCAGCGGCGTCGTAGGTATATTGATCCAGGTTATTGACGCTTGAGACGTAAAGCGTTTTGCCATCTGCTGAGAGTTCGATGCCATGATTGAGCTACACAGCGTCAGTCATGGCTCTGGTACATTGGAGCTCGGAATTGTGTATGAGTGATGAATTGAAGAGAACAAACATGTTTCGTCAAACTCCAAAGGACAAACGACAAGACTTACAGTATTATCGGCAATAATCTGCTTACTACTCGCAACACAAACATTCGTTCCATCATCAGTAAGCTTGATCTGCCTTACGCCAGCACCACCTTGCTCAACAACCAACAAATTTCCAAGAGTATCGAATCTCAAACTCCTCGGATTCTTCAATCCATTGATGAGAACTTTAGCAGATAATCCACCAGCAAAGGTAGCCGGATACTTCGCCGCTGGAGAATTGCATGCTTGTCCATTGGCGTGAGGTTGAACAAGTAGTAGGACCGTTGTAACGCCAGAGAGGAGAGATAACACCGGGTTAGAAAATAAAATCATGTTGAAAATGATATCACTCCACGCCAGAATTTAATACCAAGCATCAATAAACTCCAAAACCAAGACTCCTTCCCATAGCAGAATTCGAACTAATAAACACCACCGCATCGGCACCTCCCCCAAAACTGCCGTGCACCCCCTCAATCGGAGCTGCCATGCCAAGTACCAAAAGTTTGGCACTCGGCAATCTCAGTGGAGTGGGTATTTCCACATTTTAAGCAATGAGATTAGATTGGGTTGTGGATGCGGGGGATGTGACAGGCTGAATATGGCTCGATGAAACGATAACATCGGGGCCCAGCGAATGGGTATTGAGCGTACTTCAGGCGGGTTGGGGATCTCGTCATGTGCATATGGGTTGGTCGCGGTAGTCGAACCTTCGTTGGGGTATCAGGTTGTGGGAGGAAAGTGATGGGGGATGGAGAATCCGGGTATTGGTTGGGTAGGAAGATGTTTGGAAAGTTGGTGTCACAGGTGATATATCTTAAGTTAAGACTGACTGCTAAGTCAGTGGCGGTCGAGTGATAAGGCTCTGTGACGACAGGAAGAAATATATTACTATCTTTCGAGTCAACCAAGGCTGTAAATACGCGAGGACTGGGAGGTGAAATAGCCTTCCACAGCTTAGCGATCGTTTTTATACCATATACTACCCCCGTCAACCCTCACCCACTGCAACATGAACGGCTCGCCACATGCTCTGAAACCTGGTACATCCCGCAGATTTCCAGAAACATGGTGCATTATGGTGGTACATAGCTTGACTTCCACGTTATGCGGCAGGCCTTGTACCTGTACGCTTGTGACGAGGTACAAGTAATGAGGACGCAGACCACTACATTTGCCTGAGACCCGAGTCGGGATTCTTTTTGTGCTACATAGGGACAACTAACATAATCAAGTTTTAGTCCCTAAGTAGGAGCTTGGAGGTATAAAGCTTACATGATTAAATCCAGGCATCCCACTGACGACTCCTCATCACAGAGCTCCAGGAACAAACGAAATCCAGGTGAGAACAAGAAATTCGATTAGATTGTCAAAATATATATAATTTTATAGCTCAAATTTAAATGCCTTGTCGAAGATTCAAACGAAGTTGGGTATCCTTATAATACAAAATAAACGTATAGACATAAATGCATATATTCCAACTCCTGCGCTTGCATGACTCCCAAATGATATTATCCTGCAAACCATAATTTGATTGAAACGCCTCTGATGCTTCGAAAATGCTCCATTCCGTGGTCGTGAAAATTATGTAGGGCAATAATCATATGAACTGTACTTTCGACCATCCACCCACTCGGTCAATCTATCGACAACTTTTTGGTTCGTACCTCTATTCGCTTTCGCAAATATGGTATCAAAAGGATGGATATCGGTTCCGAAATAACTCCCTTCGTATAACGGATCCGGATATGCCGAGCATTCTTCTTGAAAAGTTTCGCTCGAGTGTGCTGCAAACATCATTGCATCGACCGTATAGCCTGCGGCTTCGATAAGTGGCGTAGCGTGTACCTCGACAGTAACAGCTTTCCAATATTCATGCGGACAATGGTTGATACCCGGAATCTCCATTGGTGGAACGGGTTCCCCTTCTCTGAATGGCTTGATGCCTGCCTTGAATTTCGCTTGTAGCTCCTCGGATGGGAATAGGAGAACTTCGAGTCCGACTCGGTCGATGGCCCAAATCATGGATTGCACGTGGTTTACCGGCTTACAATTTAATGTCATACCGACAAGCTGCGTCACGTAGGTCAGCATCAGTCTCAGACATTTCAAGACAAAATTCCAGAGCTCCAGGAATGCACGAACCTTGTTCTTCTCCGTGAGGCGGGAGAGATACATGTCGCTCCAACATCCCGTAGCGTAGTAGGGCAGAAATGGTCCTCGAATGCTCGCATTCATGGTGATGAATCTGTTGTACCTTTTGTACAAGTCATTCTTGGTCAAGACTTCTGCGAATGCGCCCAGATCATAGCAATCGTTTGCTCTCTTAACGAATTTGATGTTGTCCGCCTTTGGAAGCCTGTCCTCGGCCTTATTTTCCCCGTTAAGAATAAACAGAAAATCAGCGCCTGCATGCAGACCGTGTTTGAGGAAGAATTCGAAGTTCGCGCGTGAATTGTCCGTCTCAAAGTATGCGTACAAAATTAGGGGCCGATCGGTCTCGACTCGCTGACTCGGCGTAAATGGTGTTATGGTCGACATGGAATAAGGACGTTCCTCTGTGGTCCCAGCCGAAGCAGTAGGTCTTGGAGAGCTTGTACGGGACATTGGGGATGCTGAGTGGGTTGTGATTCGCACGGGGGCTGGAGGTTTGTCGTTTATGTATGGAATACTATCGGTAAGTGCATGTGTATGTTTTTGCAGAGCCCAAAGCGACCATATTAGAATAAGGAGACCACACGAGGCTATCCACAATGTTCGTGGTTTTGCGTTCACCATGACGGACATTTTGGATCGAGTTCGAAGACCGGAACGAAGGGTGGGTTGAAACAGCGACAATCGAGATCGAGCGCAATCGTGTCGCCTTTCAGACCGAAATGAATAGCTAGTACATGGGATGCGAGTGTATAATTCCCACGTCGGAGCCTTGATCTTCGTCCTCGCGCGAGGAGAGAATAGCTTGAAGATTGAGCAGAGGTGAATGAGAAGAGAGACTCGACAACCAGAAAGACCAACCGATCAGATCCGCACGGTCAGCCCGCTCACTTATGAGAAAATGGCCCTATTGCGGGAGCCATTTAGGGGTTCTGCCTCTGGCCCCATAAATGATGCCAAGTTACCCGGTTGCACCAATAAGAGCAGGTCAATCAATCATAGGGGGGCATTAGGGGGCATTAGGGGGCAGCTAACGCAGGCGCAAGTGTCTTCGGGAGGCGCATGGATGGATGAGTTCCAGGGGCTTGGCGACGAATGAAGAATTGCTTACTGAGATGGGAATAGGGCCGAAATTCATTAGGCAGCTCTGTATGGCACCTTGAAGACATTGTCTATACTTCGTAAATTGAGCGCAAAACTCGTTTATCTTCCTCGGGTCTTTGGAGTATCTGCTGCTCATCGTCCTTATGTTGTTACGATTCATATCATGTAGTCTTTTCAGCCGAATGCAGCCGGGCATTGGCATTTCGCTTACTCCATGCTGTGATTCGAATGAGCCACGAAGTTGATCAGCGGCTCTTAATAATCACTTTCTTGGTATCACGCTTGTACCGAGGTACGGTATTCGTCATCTATGATCAAAAGAATTGAATATATCGTTACTAATGTATTAGAACATGCAAAATACGGGCATGTAAACAGTGTGTTTCGGCTGCACGGTATCTCCAGCAAATACTAGTGCTAACACTACAGTTTAGCGGTACGCCACGACGACGGTCGCTTCTTAATGTCCTCCGCTAGATCAATCTTATCCTATGGCTGGCTAAGGTTTGAGGGTTAGAATAGCCGAAGAAGAAGATAAGGCTTCTAGAAAGTCACCTAACCCGACGGACGCTACAACGATGTCATCGAAAGCGCCCTAAGCTCTTTAGTTAACCTCAGTGCCTTTAGAGGCGACGATAATGAGCCTCACAACTTGGAGGTATGCTCTGTTTTGCCAGAAGACCCGTGCCGAAGCCGAGGAGATAACAACTTAGCGCTGATGTTTCATCGGGATGTTTTGAAATATGGAATTTGAATAATGTGTGAAGAATAGCATACCGATGAATATCGAGATTGTGAGGGCTACCCGAAATACGACCAAAAGTCGTTGGCAGCTTCCTTAACACTTCGAAGTACAAACAAGAAGCTTTTCTATTTAAGGAAAGATTGTCTCGATGCCTACAAGTAATGTTTAGCTCTACTCCTCAATTTTCTGAGCCAATTGTAAAACCCCTCCGTTGTCACCTTCCCAGAACCAATCCTCAGATGCTGTGACCAGATTTTTGTCGCCTTTGGATGAAATCGTCTCTAACTTCCCTTTGCTGTTAGTAAAGAGACTGTTCATTGTGTCCATGGTTTCTGACAACAACAGCGCACACTTGGGATAATGCAAGCTAAGTTTCCGTAGCAGTCGAGGCGTTTTTAGGAAATATCTTAAAAACAATATGATCCATCGCTCGTTTGTAAAGATCGTAAAATGGAGAGTCCGAAGACTTCTTGCAAATACGAGCTTCCACAGTACTGAGGAGGTAAGCTTGCTGCCCTCATGCGCCTCCAGGTCGGGTCTTTTGTCAATCATACCCCTGTTAACACATTAGCTTGTAGTGTATAGAGTATTGTAGTGTTTGTTACGAGTAATACAACACCCTTATGTGTTGAATATATGCTATAGTAGACGGCTTGAGCTCAAGACGGTAGACATAAGATGTGTTGGTGACTGTAAAGGTGTTTACTCCGTAATAAGCGCGTAGTGCTTCGTGGTATAATTCTGCGTCACCACGAAGGGCTACCAAAAGGGTGGGTGTCGGGGCAGGGTCCTGTACTGATACTGTACAATATTCGAAGTGGGTTGCCCTGGGCGCTGGCGGTATCAATAGTAGAGCATGCTTGAAGATGATTTCTCTGAGCTCTGTGGGGAACATCCGGAGCGTCAACAGGTGAGAGTTGTGAGAACTTGTCTATCTTACAATTAGTATTACGGCACGTTTGATGATTGCACTCGAATTACATTTAGTACTGGAGCTGTGCGAGGAGAGACTGAACCATCGAAACCGGCTGATTCCATTGACATGCTTGCGAGTCGAGTTGTGCTGAAATAGGCCGATACTGTAGACAAAACTCGAAAGGAGCTCAAACAGCTCTAGCAATTCTGGATCAGGACTAGTCTTGTGTATTTAGCGCGACTGGAGGAGGTCGGGTGATTTGCAAAGATGAAGGCTGTAATATCAATAGGAGACGTGGGATATATAGGTAGCGATTTCTGCGCGACTATGTTCAGAACGAATTCATGCTAGAAGTTGAAAGTGGTGAATAAACCAAGCACAATGTGAAACTTTCGAGGCTTGTTGCTGGGTGCGCTCCGAGTAAATTCTTCACCGATACATTCGCTGTACTCATTAGATCAATCCAATACCTGACTTCCCAGCAATCTTTCAATTAGTGCTGATGGAACTTGCTCAAGACCTAGCTAAAGCGCTAGATGTCTGGACGCAGCAATTGTTGAGCTTTTTACAGCTGTAAATCCAACAGTACCTGCTACAAATTCTTCTCGTACAAGGTAACTACTCACCAGTTTCCAAAATCTTAGCGTCGAAGGACAAGCACACCTTATTTTCAAAGCCGACGAGAAGTTGGCCGCAGATATTTCTGAGCAAACAAAGACGGCCGCATAGACAGGGAAAATGATACATCATTTCGACACTAAGAACAGATCATGAACGAGCTTTGCATATTATAGGTAACATGTTGTGTCTTTGATCAACGTTTGAAAAAAGTACAAGATACAAAACGTAGTAGCTACTCTCTCACAGCTACACGCTTCACTGTGTGACAAGACATCGGTCCGGTGCCTTAAAGTTCAACTGCCCAGAATTTCCAATTGGCTCTCCGTCTTCTCATCGTCTGTACTGCTTGTGGGTTTACGACCCTTTACGGGGGTGGGTGGGATTTGTTCAACCGACTTCGAAGCGGGTCGTGGAGAAGGAGATCTGATATTTTCAAATAACGGGTATCTGTCATCCAACCATTCCTCGACTTCAAGGTAATGGCCATATCTGATATACGTTTTGGAGTTTCTGTAGCCCCATGGTTTATAACTGACATCGTTGCAATAGGTAGAAAACCCAACTTCTGCACACTCTCTGACGACATCTTCTCCCGTCTCCAACAAAGTTCTCCAAGTTGCACGTTCTTCTTTTGCGTTGATCATTGGGTGACCAAGACGTTTCGCTGATAGAGGACCTTCAGTAGCGATCAAGTCGTGGAAAAGACTTCTCAGTTTTGAGCCTGGTAAGGTGTTTTCAAACACAAACTCGACTTCCGCGGCGCTGTAAAGCCTGGAACGAAGAGACATGATTAGTTCTTTCATCACATAGTTGGTGAAATCCCAGGCGAGTAATTTGTCGCCTAGTACCCATAACTTTACTAGATATTTCTCTGAGTCTTCTCCAGCTACATCTTTGTCTATTCGTACATTTGTGAGAGTTTTGGTATCATAACTATCCTCGCCGTGGGGGAATGATTTGTAAAGTTGACTGTCGCGTCAAGGCTGCCTGTATATGTCCAATTCACAAATGACTGAAAGTGACAGGGAGTATCATCAGGAAGCAGTAATTCTTTCTGATAAGCTCCTGAGAATCCCCCATACAGCGCTGAGTCGAAGAATTTGGAATAATAGCCTAATGGTGCTTTATGACATGATATTGACGTTTATGATTCTCCCACAATAAGTGAGATCATGTGTGGGTCTTCAGTGATACTACATGAGTTGTCAGACTTATTTCCAACCAATTCTTTTCTGCGAATTCTGTACGTACAGTTTCATCGTGTTGTAAGCATGGGCCGCATCGTCCATATTCTTCTCCTCGAGATCCATCGAGAAATCACAGGTGTCACATCTCTCGGTGAACTTCTTTCTTTTGGGCATATTGCACAATGCCACCACACCGTGATGGCTTTCTGGATGATGCGTCGAGGTCGAGTCGTCGAGTAAAAGGTGTTAATTGAAGCCCAATTTCGATTTGAGCAGAACTTGCTCAACTCTTCAATATAAATCTGTTACACAACAGTCACGTAACTGCGTTTGCACACCACACATTCCGCTGGAAACAAGTGTAGGTAGCCATGAATATCGCGAAACGCGTCTCGCCACTCCCGAGGTTTCAGGAGGTAGTCGCTCGCTTAGACCCCCTTAGTGAAAGTGTCGTGCGTCGCGTGAGCGACGAACGATTCCGGACAAGTTCTCCGATGAGAACTATGGGTGCTGAAAGTTAAATTTGATTTTGATAGAGATCTTTATCCTTGCGGTGCTTTGAAAGTCTCAATTTCATTTGTGGGGCTTGAAGCAAAAGCATGAATTTTAAGCGAGAAGTGTGTTGAATGGGAAAGGAGTTGGAATATTGTTCTTTTAAAATATACTCGATCCATATGATGAAAGTACGTTACACTGTTTCACTTCTTCTTCCTTGTTACTTCTGGCCCTAATCTCAAGAATGTGTTTTGCTTTGCCTCGCATCCACATGGGGTTTCTCTACATTTCTATGTACAGTATTGCAAGTCAGTATCGGACATGAATTTTCTGTTCTCAGCTTCGTTACAAGAAATTGAAGGTGTAAGTCTGGAGTAACTTAGAGATAGTATTTTCTAAAGGAGCATTATACTAGGTGTACTCGGGCCTCAAGAAAAGAGTGTCAGTACCGATCTTCCTCCGGAATCCAAAAATTCCAAATCGCTTCAGGACGATATTGAATTGTATAAGGAAAGGAGCTAACGTTGTCCAGTAGTGCCGTTAACACGGATAGCTATCAGGACAAATTCATCATTAGGAGGTCGTTGTCGGTGAAAGTGAACCTAAGAAGGAGATAAATGAAAATAGCGTTAAGTTTAAGACGGTATAAAAACTTATGAGTAAAGCATGAATAGGAAGCCCGCGAGTTTAACGGTTTAAGAACTTCGAAAATGTGAAAAATACTAGTAGTCGACTAGAAATCACGATGGTGATGAAAAGATGAAACCTACCGCAAGGTATTTTGGGTTCAATACGTGAGTTCACTTTCAACCTAGTTCTTGGCATCGGAACCTTATAAAAACACTCTTTGCTTTCTGGCGTTTGTTCGAGCTTCCACACTTCTTTTCGGATTGTCAGATACGGTCCGCCGAATCTTATCTGGATCTCGACGTAAGTTCATACCAAGAATATATTTCATCAGCTCTTCACAGTAGCCGCTTGCCAACTCACTGCTAGCCAGTCATCATCAGCTTTGAGCTGTACTTCAAAGTTTATCACACCGACCGGGAAGCAAAGCGTCATTTTCAAAACAACAGATCGGCTTACTCGGGTGCCATATACTCAGCAGCTCCCACAAATCCCACTTACCCATCGTTCGAGGAGAAATTATCCGAATACACCATGCCCGGCAAACAAAAAATCATCAAGGGATGCGGTTAAGATTGTGCCCTTGAAGATGATTGCAAAGGCTGTGAACTCATGAAGGTGAAGGAGGAGTTGCTTGACCGCAAAGACCATGGAATGGATGTTCACACGCTGTAAGTTTCCAACTAAATTATTCGAAACATTACTGACTTGTTTCATAGCATCACGGGGTCCTCCGAAAAGATTACACTGGCCGTAGGAGAAAAAGCCAAGCCCATTTCTTGCCACAAAGCGCTCCTAGGGTTCTTTTCAAAGTTCTTTGAGTCAGCACTATATGGTAGTTTTGCAGAGGCATCGCAGACTGAAATGCGACTCCCCGAGGATGATCCAGAGTTAATGAGCGAATTTGTTGCTTGGCTGTATAGTGGGCAGTCGCCATCCCAGATCGATCTCGAAGAAGAAGAATATTGCGAGCAGGAACCTGAACCAGCGGCAGATTGTATTTTGGTACGAGAAGATATCGAGCGAGAAATGCGAATGTTATCGTTGTGGATTCTTGCCGACAAGCTCGGTTCTCCAAGGTTGGCTAACAACACCATGAGGTGTATTTTACATATGTACCAAGAATCTTTCTCCACATCATTTGAGGCGGAGCTTGTTTTCAATAACACAGCGCCCGGGTCAAAGTTAAGGCTGTTGTTTCGGGATATCATTGCAGCTGATGGACCATTGTTGTTGGGTAGGCGAGGTAGTGGTAAGGAACACCAGGATAAGAGTGAAAGCGAAAGATGGTTGCTTCTATTAGCAAAAGGTGGAGACTTGGTAAAAGATTGTGTTATGACGGGCTTTACAACTCCTATCAAAGATTATGAAGAGCAGCCTTTTTGCACCCACAATCGTGGAAAGTACATAGAGAAGATTGAGTCAAAGCCCAGTGCCAAAGACTGGCTCAAGCAAAAACATCCACCAGAGGTTGCAGATGAGCCCTGGACAGAGATAACCACGAAGAAGTGAGCGAGAGAGGTGGATAGAAAAGTAGGACATGATTCGCGACCGATGTAACTACCTAAGAAGTGAGCGAGAGATATGGATAGGGAAGGAGGAGATACTTCGCAGGATCTTGTCTATCAACATCATGAATGAGTAAATTAAAAGCATACCCCATAGTTGATTTCAAAGGAAAGATCTCCTAGCAATATCTTGATGACGACCCGAAATCTCCCAAATATCCAACAAGCGATCAGATCCCGTACAGAGAGAGTTAAGGCGAAAAAAAGCTTGTGAGGTAGATACCTACTTATAGTCAGTAGTGATTTGGTGGGATTACTTTGATAACCCCTTAAAAACCAGCAACGAACTTACAAACCAGACATCCAAAAAATGCAACCACATTGCACAGTAACCATTCCTGGCCCCTCCCCCCCTCCACCCTCCACTATCCCAAGACCGCCAACTCATTCCAACAGCAACCCTTAATAAAAACACCCATCCTCCTCTCTTTCTAATCACCATCTATCTCTCACCCCTCCAGCACCACCCCATAACCAGTGTTCTCCGCAAGTAACAAGAGGACCCTCTCAGGAAAGAGAACACAAGTGAGAACCCAAAGAAATCAAGTCGAGCTTCACACCAGTTCCAACTTTGCCCAAGTTCACAGCATTCGCTCCCATTAAACCGTAAATGCCGAGCTCAGGGAGCATCAATTCTTTGTCAGATAGCATTCATCGAGGTACTTGCAAAAATGATAGAAGTTAAGAAAGGAAGGAGTGTCTGAGCCGCTGGGTGAGGGTGAAGATGAAGAGAGAACGAGATCGAGAATGAGTTGAGCTTGCTGGTTCCTAAGCACCTCTTCACACAAGTTGAAGCTGCCAATTTTCCAGGAGCTTAAATTGCTTTCCAGATTCCAATGGCCTATTACGATGTGTAGGCTTCACCCTTTTACTAGACCCATTTGCAAAGTGGAGCAAAAAGGTTGAAACAGGTTACCGCAAGGACTAAACGCTTACACACAAATACTGGGACATGAAATCGTAAAGGTAAAACTTATGATGATTGATGAACTAGAAAGATCAACCATATTTAAAATACTATCTAACTCTCCATGTCACCGCTTGCGACAAACGTGATTTGGAACACTACCCGGTTTTCATTTCCATTTTGCATGAGAGTGATCAGATAAGCTCAAGAGATTCCCACCCACGCCCCCGCCAGCCAGCTAAAAAAGAAGAACTTGCACATATTTTCTTCGCTTGCTATCCGAGTCGTTCCCAAAGCACCCAGACATATTTTGTAACAAAACGCAGTCGAACCACTTTAAGAGATCGTATGTAGGTCTCATATATTGCTTGGATCTATCCAAGTGCTGGGAAGGCGCTGGTATCCTCCGTGTTGATGGATGCGGATCCGGCACCGCCTCGTGGGGCACCTCGGGCACCTCTGAAGCTTCCATCACCACGTCCACGTCCACCTCGGTCACCACGACCTCTGAAGTTACCGTCACCACGGCCGCCTCGGGATGGTCCATCACCACGTCCTCGGCCACCACGGAACCCACCTCCACGTCCTCCACGGTCAGGAGCCTCGACGAAGCGTTGATCGATCTCGACAACTTCCTTCTTGGCGCGCTCACGAACACGCTTGGTCTTGCCACCGGAGCCAGCAACGAAGTCTTCCTCATCCTCCTTGGCGATAGGCTTTGCGTTGGCCCATTTCTTGTCCTGCTTGCCTTCATTTGGCTTACGAGCCTCTGGGATACCGGCACCAAGAGCAAGCTTCTTCTCAGCAAGCTCAGCAAGGTATTCTTCGTAAGACTTGCTGTTGTCCTCTGGCTCTGGCTCGGCGACGGGCGCATCATCGGCTGGTGCATCACCAGTCAAAGCATCCTTTTGGTCTGCCTTTGCGAGAGCCTCTCCAGCAGTCTCGTCAGCGAGCTCGGCCTCACCCTCGTTGGCGCCCCATCCATGTGCGGCTTGCTTTTCGGATTCGCTGCGAATCAATTAGAAATTGCAATCATAACCAGAATTGTAATTTTCTTACCCTCCCACAGTACGGCTGTGTCGGTCAAAGGTTCTGGCTCCTCCACGGCCTCTTCCGCCGTAACTTCCTGGGGTACGGTCGTTTCTCGCTGGGCGGTCTTGTTGTGCCTCGCCAGTTGGCTTCGTTCGGTTGTTAGCACTGCCGGCTTGACGATCACGGAAAGCTAGAAAATATCAAAGTTAGCGGGGCGACCTCAATTGAATCGTATTGTGTATCATCATTTCACATTGGCAGAAAAGTATATAGGGACCAACTAACCTCCTTCATTGCCTTGGGGTGCGTTTCGGCGAGTGTTATTGCCTCGGTTCTCGAATCCAGCAGTCTTTGCCGCAGGAGCCTCTCCGCCAGCATTGCGCTTGGTTGTTCGTGCAGGAGTCTTGTCAATAACCTTTACAGGTGGCTCGGGCTCTTTGTCAGAGTCTTCATCGTGAGTGTTGCCTATACATCAATTTCGGTCAGTCGCGTGGTGGAGTACCGCAGGTGATTTGGGTCTAAAGCCATACCGAGAAGCTCGTACGCGTTCTGCAAAACATGTTGTTAGCTTTCAAGTCAATTGAGCCAATTCGCATAAAGCTTGTCACGAGTCCATTGAAGCTAAAAGTGCTTGCTCTGCGATCACGGTCGAGGACACTTACTTTCGAAATGACCGACATTTCGTCCACCTACTCAAGCGCCTCCGAAGAAGGCCTTGCTACCGAGGGAACAATTCGAAGAGGAAAAAAGAGATAATTCGAGACGGACAGGTTCCTATACGTTAGGAAACTGTCTCTCGGAGAAGTTTCGTTGGTGATTCTGGGAAGAATTGATGCTTGAGCCAGACCAGGTTTCGAGGACGTTGACGAAATTTACAAGTTGCGCCTCAGGATGGAGGTCCACTAGCGTCGAACCTCGCAGATCTCGCTTCGCTTACCCACACAAAAACATTGTGTTAGGGCTTGAGCAAATGACCGAGGAGGAAGAGGATGAGGGACTACAACTTTCGATTAAAGATGATGGAATTGTTTCTTTTCACGTTTCGTAATAATTGCTCGGCGTCCTTTTCCAAGTTCCGTCGGAGGCATAGCAGATGGAGTGACGTAGAAAACTTTGAAGCAGTAAAGTCAAACGGCCAGAAAAAATTCCACAATATCTCACGCTGTTTGCCGTGAGGAGGAGAGTTGCTTCACCTTGTTGGATCCAGCTAAATCCATAAATACGATACCTGCACGGAATTGCAACTGGGTGCCGGTGTCAGAGCTCCAAAACCTGGGAAGAAGCTAGAATCGTTGACATGAACATTCAAATTCGCCTATGTCGAAATTCAAAATACAGACCGAAGCTCTCACTGTCTCAAGCCATGGTAAGGTAACGTGTGTTTCATTTTCTGAATCGCTGTTGAAGTATCTGAAATTTGCGCTATATCACGTCTTTCTGACCCATTCACTTGGACATGAGCCCAAGGAGTCGATGAAAACGAAAATCCACGTATAGCCAAAAGCCTAAGATATACACTGCGTTGATTTGCCCTGTCTCTGGAGCAAGTGCACATGTACAAATTGCGATGGCTGGCGTGCAACAGCACTTGCTCAAAAAACCTCAATTTTGAGTTCCAAGACAAACCCCTGAAACTCAAACCCCTGCAATTTAGCGACGTACCTCCTACGGAAAGCAAAAGTAAAAGCATTGAATGCATACCATTATTCGCCAGCTCCATCGCCATGCCTGAACGCCAATATACATCTCCCAATCGAGCCGTGCCTGGGTATCAAAATGCTTTTCATCTCATTGAACTCGTATCGAAGGAAAAGGAGGATGGAAATTGCATCGAAGCAGAAAGTCCAAACGGATCCATGTCGAGCATGGGATCGTACGGATCGAGGAGTTGTGTCATCGAGCTGAATTGCTGAGCGCCAGCGCCGAGGTTAATACCCTGAGCTTGCCCGGGGTGGTTAGGTTGTGGTGTATTCTGCTGCGGCTGCTGAGGGTGGATTTGCTGATTGAGGTGCCGCGACGGCGGTTGAGGGAGGGGTTCGGGATATGGACCAGGTCCAGATTCGGCTGGTTCTTGGTCTTCGACCATATCGGCTTGGGCATCGTACTCCTGTTCTGTACTCACGGAATCAATCTAGGACGAACATAGCTCTATAGAAGGAAAATGACAATAGGGGGCGGGAAAGCTTGCCGAGTTGCTCATAATGATTCTGAAAATTTGGAGACGCAAAGTACGTGGCCGCTGTTGGTGTGCCTCCCGTACTCGCTCCATTCCCCCCTGGCTTCGGGGCCAGCGGAGCTCCAGCTCCTGGATTTCCTGCTAAAACGTTGGCTCCTATCAATCCGTGAGTTGGTTGCTTCGGCGCGTGTGGTCCTTGAAGACGCTGCTGCTGTTGAAACTGCATCTGAGAGTCGGAGCCAGGCGGCGTCATCACCCCAGGGTTGTGAAAGCCAGGAGATATGGCAGTGGGAGAAGAGGCATGAGACGAGGGCGTTGGCCGCGATTGAGGTGATTGCATAGACGCGCCTGGCTCGAGCTTGGGTGCGATGCTAGACTGAGAGCGTCTGGCTTGGTGATGTCGGTTCATGATAGCACGCTGAACGGTAGGCGGCTGTGCCATGTTCTGTGGCATATGGGTTGGTCCAAGATGAGGACTTCCCGTTTTTGCGCGCAACTCCGCCTGAACATCGATACCTGACCATGTTAGCATTGCCCTATTCCGAACACTCAAGAGCTTACCCTTCTCTAGCAAGATTCGTTCGAGCAGTGAGTTCTTGTATCTCAACATCAGACACTCATCGGCCGCACTCCGATGAGCTGTCTGTAAGTTATGCAGATTGGTTTCATGGACGCGGATCGTCTCTTCCAATTGCTTGATATACTCTGTGCGACGCTCTCTAAAAGCTGCCTGCGCTTGACGATTGCGTTGCTTGCGTTCTTCAGATGTCGCATAGATCTGTCACACATCAGTTCTTGCAACCTTTAGCGGGGTAATGCATCAGTAAACATACGGGTTTGCGTCCACCTTTTCTCTTTTGCTGGCCAACGTTCTCTTGAGGAGCCCCCGTCTCAGCCTCTGGCGTAGGAGAATTGAGATCCATTGAGTCCTCGGAGCCTTCCCTGGTCGGGTCTTTCTTGTCAATTGACATGTTGTCTGCCATTGTTTGACGGCGCGAAAGATTTTCTGTGTGTCAAGTACCGCCCCACCGTAACCCCAGCATCGACCACCGGCAGCAGCAGAGTCAGACTGTGAGTTTGTCTCGGTATCCCACTGTTCGAGACTGAATGCAGAGGTAGTGACGTCTGCGATACCTCGATACAGTATCTCAACGGCGGCGGTTACGCGATATGTGGTAATGCGATTAGAGTGCGTCTCTTATCTTGTCAGATGGAGCTTTTCCGGTACTGTCAATTGGATGGCGACCCGGGGAGCTGGGAACTGGGACCTGGACGGCTTAGCTGGGACAACGGTTAAGGTCGAGGCTGAGCGTAGTGTCAAGATAGGGCAAGAACTGGAGAGAGATTGGGGGGGTTGCAGGAAGGTTTGAGGTGAAATCGATATGGTAATGGAATGAGAGAAAAATTGGTCATGAAAACTGTGAGCAGGTGCAACGGGGTATTTGAGTGTGCAAGTCTCTTTTGGCTGCGCGAGCGGAAAGGGTGGATCAGTGGATGGGGAGGGTCAGATCTAGCAGGACTCGCGGCGAACGAGTCTGTGAGTGGCTAGTAAAGCAGAGCTAGCTGTTGGAGAACAGGAGAAGCCACGACGAGTTCAATAAACAATGAAGGAGGTGGCTTCCATGGGTGTTCGTCTGGTACTGGCACTGGCACTGGCACTGACATTTTGGGCGGCGTGCAATTGCTGGTCAGAGGTCGGTACGGTAGCAGTGCCGTGTCCTCAAACCCGTGGGTGCCGTGGCATGAGATGCCGCTTGACTGGAACGGGCAGCAAAACTGGACGTTCGCTACACCATGAACTTCTTCGCGACAAAGTTACATGTTTCGCGTAGGATCACCCTAGCAGGCGCTAGCAAAAGTAAGAAAGGGAATCTCAAGCAGGTCGGGCTGATCGCTGCTGATTGGACCCCCCGCAAAGTGTCGTCCAGCTCACAGACTCGATGTGCTGTGCTTCTGCTTCCAAACCTTCCACCGACCTTCGACGCCCCATAAAATTTGCGCCAAGGAGGCACCGAAAAAGCATTCCGGAGCAGGGGCATGTTCTCGTTTAAAGAAGGGGGGGATGATCTTTTGGATCGGGAGAAGAATTTTCACCTCAGCCTTTGCTCTTGCGTCCCGGAGCCTTCTCAGCCCTCCAGTAATGCTCGAACAATCATGCTCCCAGCTGGTGGCCGGACATGATGAGCACATTATGGATGTCGAGAATGTTGTATTCAAGAGGGGTTCAATGGCTTACCAGGAAGGTCTCGACAACGGATCAAAGTGTGGTCTGGCGTGGTGACACTTGTGCTCCTCGACGCCAGCTCCCTCCAATTGAACCTTTTAAAATTAGCCATGATAGCCCGTGTTGATGAACGACTCCAGGAGCCGTAGTCTTGGAACCATTGTAATTGGAAGGTTGCCATCTTTAGATGTCGACTTGCTTCTTCCATCCGTTTGGACCGGCCTTCTGCTTCACTGGCGACCGCATTCTGCATGCTTCAAGCCCTCAACTGCCAGCTCCTCATCTCGTTCACGCCCGCCTGCAAGCCATGTCGACGACCAGGTCACTCAACCATGTCCGGATGATGCAACACGTTGCAGAATCATCTTGCTAGGCGACGGCCATTTCCGAACTGCGAAGTTCGAAGTCACCTGCCGCACTCGCAATTTATACAAGGACGGGCAACATGCCATGCCCACATCGCAGCCTCTGCATGGAGGGGACTTTTTTTCTCCATGCGGCATGATGTCCTTGGCTGGCCCCCTCCACTATACGTGCTCCTGACTGGTCCATCCAGCTTTGTTGAGTATCCACTAACCAGAAGAAGCCTTCAAACAGAACCTACACCTCGCTTATGATTGTTTGAAGATCATAAATAAATTGTTTCCAGCATCATCAGCTATTCTGGTCAGATGAAACCGTAGATTGTAGATAGGAGAAGCATATTACCATCTCCATGAAGGACGTGAGACGCTCTTCTCCTCTAAACAATCGTCGATGAGGCACTGCAGCAGAATTCAAACTGTCCCAGTGCAGCTGTCCCACACTCTCTCGCCGCCAATGAGAGACCGGCCCATGCATCGTCTGACAAGGGCTGGTGGAGATCGATTCGAGCTTCTCCTCGGGCCCTTCAGCCTCGCTTCTTCGACCATCAACTTTCTGTAAGGCTGTACTTTTGGCTATGCAAACAGTTGTAATGATGTGATATCAACCGGGAAATCCCCTCAAAACCACAGCCTTCTTCTCTATTTCGTTTTCCTTTCGCAATTCTGGAGTACTAGGTACCCCGAAGACGTCGGCATGAGATTCCAACGAGGAAGACCTGAAGATCAACGATGCGACTCTTCTGAGGTGGTAGAATTGGGCGGCGTCAACACAGGCATAGTCACATCGTCACATTGTTGACGAATGCAGAAAAGAGAAGAGATCGCATCACTATTGACCGCCGTTTGGGTCGCTACCAGCGTTTCCAACAATGGAACCCAGGTAACGATCTCGCAAGCAAACCGCCATCAAGAACAGGCAAATGGGATCCCGACGTTCGTTCCCCATGAGAAATCCTGCATCATTTGCAGGCGAGTTGATAGGGCTGCCGTCTCCAAACGAGATCCAATATGCATAACGGTCGGTATAAACGCCAAACTTAACCCAATTTTGGAGACGTTACCAACTTTGGTTGCACGAAACCGGCAACCTTTGCATCCCTTCGTTCACAAGTATCAATCTTCTTATCTTTACTTATCGACCAGAAGTGTTTGTGCCGGCGGGAATGCCTGCGGCGAGATAGTAGATTCTTAAGACACGATGATTTTGCATTCGTTATCTGATCGCTTGATCTTCTCTCTCTGAATATACATGCCAGTTTGAGTTGTGCCTCGACCCAAAGTCCGCGGCTACGACAAATTCACAGTGAGCTTCCTCCCGTGGTCAAGCTTCTTCAAGTCACCTGGGTATGAAAGATGGAGGGACCCAGGAAAACCAGAAGCGAGTCAATCACGTGATGCAGTCCGGACCTAGAGCTACTCTAGCGCGGCCTTAAAGCTCAGGTCGCGTACAAGGGTTCGAAGTAAACAATGACAGCATTTTCTAACTCCATCCCGACCACACTGTCGCTATTGCCCAACGCAATTTCAATCCCTTCGACCCACAATCGTAGACACAGGTTGTCAAAGTCTCTGGAGACTCAAAATGGTACCTCCACGTCGTCGCTCGTCGAGAATTCGGGGCGGCAGTGCTGCACCTAGGGTAAGTAAACAATAAACAGACGGCTCCCAACGGTACGATGTACACCGCTAACATTAGAACTTATATAGACAGCGCATTATGGTTCTACTAACCTTGGAGCCGTCACGGAACGCGATGAGACTCCTACGGGCGAGAATCAAATGAATCTTGATTCAATTGTATCTTCCCCAATGGTCCCCCGAACTCCAGCGACCGCACCTCGTCCCAAACCATCCCGCGAAGACATGCATCCTAGCAAAGCCCATCAGAGTACAACTAAAGAGCCCGATTCTGGCCTACGACTCGGGTTTTCCGACATCAACGGAAATGGTGGGGATCAACCATCGGGAGTAACACAGAAATCGCCGTCAAAGACAGGAATCTCTTCTTCTTTTGACTTTCGGTTTGCTCGACCTGGTCCAGAACTCGGAGAGGATGCTCAGCGCCTGATGGATGAGCTGCGCGAAGAGGCCATGAAGATCAAAGCGCACCTAGCGAAAGAGAGAGAAGATAAGCGCCAAGCTGAAGAAGAAGAACAACAGCAGAGGGCTGATGAGGGTCAGGCTGTCTCTGGCCGGAGGATTGCGCAACCGAAGGGTAAGGCAGGCCGTTACAGCGACGTCCATATGGCAGAGTTTAAGAAGATGGACTCTATCGCCGGTCATGCTTCTGCATTCAGGGCTCAACCAGGCCGATTTGCACCAGCGGCCCAAAGTCTCAAGCGAACCCAATCGAAGGCAAACCTGGACAGCAGGGAGGAGAGCAACACAAAGAGCATGCAGCCGGCACACAAGCCAGAAGGTAGCGAGCGCCTGGAGAATACTGCGCCGGCGAAGCGAGCTCGTAAAGCAATCGCTGATGATACCTCGTCAGCTAGACCCATCTCTAGAAGTGGTGTGCCAGTTCCATCTACTCCCAAGCAAGCTCGATCCTCCGCATTTCTTGATGCTATCACAACTCCAACGCAAGCTTCTCTTGCTAGAACGACGAGCACAAAAGGCCCCACTTCGCAGATTCCTACCCTGTCCAAATCTCCTTCGAAGCCAAATCTGCTGAACGGGACACCTGGACGGCTACAGAAGTCTGCTACCTTGAATAATGTGTCAAGTCTTCCAAAATCCGCTTCAAAGATCGCCTTAAAAAGCCCTGGCAGATTTGAGCGCGTTAGGTCGATTCTTAGACACGTTAGCCCGAGCCATAAGAAGTCGGCTGCCAAGCAGTCATCAATTCCCTCGTTGAGCAGAAGTCCCAGCAAGCCAAATTTTGACAAAGCACTCCCATCAGTCCCAACAACCCCTGTTGCCGCAAAGACAGTCAAAAATATAAATTTCACACCAGATACCACAAAAAAGACATCCGCCGCCGCGTTTCAAAACTCTCCTTCGCCCCAAAAATCTGGAATTCCTCGATCAAAGTCGAATAGGAGCATGAAGAGCTCTGCTTTACCATCTGACTCCAGAATCGCTTACCCCAATATCGCATCTAACCCGGATGTTGTGACAAAGCGTCCAGAGGTTGAGTACCCATCCCTCACCGGGGTGCGACCTCTTCCTCCTATCCCACATGCCGAATCATCGCGTCCCCCACCTTCAGTTCCTGGCACTTTCACATTCCGCAGTGATCACACGATTGATTTCGGTGCTTCTCCTAAATCTTTTGGCTCATCTTCCGGCCAAGCGAGTATCCGCCAAGTCCGCCCAAGCGTTTCTCATTCAATGCCTGGGAGCTTTCCAGGAAGCAACAAGGAAAACACCGAACCCCTTCCAGCAGTCCCTCATGGTATAGTCAACAAGAAACGACGCCGTGCAGAATCCGACGACACAGAGGACGATGCTGATCGCTCTCCAAAAAAGCAAAAGGCTCAGGTGGCTGAAGGTGCGGCGCTCGTGGCACCACGTCTCATTGCTACACCTAAACCAAAGCTCAGCAGTGCCGCAGCGTCACCAAAGAAGGGTGTCCTGAGTATGAGTCGTCTGAACATGCTTGCCCGGCCTAAGATGCGAAAGTAGAGTCATATTTCGAGCATGGTATGATGATCGTGATGCATATATCTTTTTAATGATTTTCTAAGTGGCGTTTAATGGATTCATCATTTCTGTTCCGGACGTTTGGCGTTGGATTTCGAGCTTTGATTAGAGCTCGGATTTTGATGCACATGATGGATTGGATTCGCTTGATGAATGTATGTCTTTGATCACGAAACCTGTTCATTCTCACTATGACAGTCAAAATTTTCTTTCTTGTATGGTTGATAGTTTAGCTCACGCATGTGTAGTCGAAAGGATCGTGCCTTCCTCCTTTAGTATGTAGTCGAAATAGGTAGGATAATAACCTTAAACAAACACTGCCTCTCTCTATCACCTGCGATTTTGGACTTATCGCGCATCACTTATCATCAACATGACAGCTTATTAGAGCTGGTTACATTCGTTTCACTCGACCATCAGCATTCTCTCATTCGTTGAAACATAATTACCAAACCAAACCGACTTTGCACCTTGTATTTACTCACATCGAACAGAAGACGAAACGAACAGATTTTCAAACGTTACAACAATATCAGATGTTAATACCAGCTTACTTTTCTCCCGCCCTCTACATTCGGCCGTTAAATTTCCAGAACTCATTTTTCCTCGATCACTTGTCCCAAACATGTCCTACGCCCCAACCCATCGCGCTCAAGTCCTCCCAGTCGCCTCCGTCTCGCCATCTTCACGACCGAAACCAAAGCCCGCCACCCCAAAACCAGCAGAACCATCATTCATCTGCACCATATGCTGGCAACCGCAGCATCCGCCCCAGAAACCAAAGCTCCTGGGTACTTCGGCTCGCATCACATGTCGTGCTTGCTGGCAAGCTGTTCTGGATCTGAGCATCTGCTGGGTATGTGGCGAGTACATTGTCCGCGGTGATGAGGTTGTTAGTCTTGGGTGGTGTTTCTGGCATCGTGCTTGTTTTGGGTGTTTGGTTTGTGGTGCCGGGTTAACTGTGCCTAAAGGGTTTGAGGACGACGAGGAGGAGGATTCAGGGGTCGTGGGTGAGGTTATGGGGAATAAGGGACAGTGGGGGAATTGGCAGTATGAGGAGAAGAAGGGGAGGAGAAGGTGTGTAGGGGTTGAGTTGGAGGAGATTCCGCTTTGTAGTGTTTGCGAGATTGAGACGGCTGGAGAATCAAGGAACCAGGTTCTGCAGAGGGGGATTGAGATGGTGTCGAAGTTTGATGGGGGCTTGAGTCGAGATCGTTTGCAGATGCTGAGCGAGGATGGAAATGATCTGAGGGTTGAGGATCGAAGGAGATTGCAGAGTTCGAGAAGGTCAAGAGCAAAGACGTTTGATGGACGACTCAGTGCGAAGTGTTCGAGGGAACAGGTAATCTTCCATCCTTGGTTTGTCTTCTTCGGCAATTGACACGAGACCCTGACTAATTATATCTAGCTAAGAGACTCACGCCACTGTCCTCATGGCAATGCTGACGACCAAACTCCTCTGCTTCAGAACGCTGCTCCAATGGGAGTTTCAGACGAATACGCCAATCTCGAACCTCATTATCACAGCGATTCCGAAAAACCGCATTTCAGTGATATTAAACCAGATGTGTTCGTTTCGATCCTCGACCCTGTCAAAGATCGACCCTTCATACCGTCAAAGACGAAGTCTCATCCACAATGGATGGATTTATTGCCCAACAATGTGTTTCGTGGAAGGTTGCAGCAATCTCAACGGCGCTCGAATAGCCAAAGTAGACAGGATTTGACAGAGAAACATAATTCAGAAACGGAGAATGACAGCAAGCAACCTAGACGTGTACCATCTTGGCATGGAGCTGGTATCCAGATTGTACCGCCTGATGAGCCAACCCGGGCAGTTGATCCTACATCCGGAGACACAACACCCAGGAAGCCATCAATAGAGGGTAAGCTCCCTTCGACACCTAAATCTATACCGAAACTTGACGGCCCGAGCACACCGGGAACTCCAGGAGGACCGCCGTCAATGGAAGGTCTAACCATTGGACTGCCCACCGGGAAGACCTCCTCGAGACGAGGAAGGCGGACAACTATATCCTTTGATAGCAACATAAAGAGAGAACGGTACGAGGATCTCAAAGATGCTTCGGCAACGTATCAGCGATCTCAACATATAGAGCCTGCACAAAGTCCCATCAAAGAATCTACAGCACCACCTCCACAAGAACGAACCCCATGGCCGCCTCGGGGTCAAGAGTCTTCGGTGAAACCTAACGATTATTTCACAAATATTACAACTCCTGTGGTTTCGAGGGAGTGGTGCTGCAAGTCACCCGTGAAGACAGAGAAACCCATCACAATACCTGCTACTGGCACGTTGGATGAAGTCGCATGCCCAGCTCCTGTGGGTCAATTCAGTGTGCCGTTGTTGAGCAAGAGCTCTGAGTACCTAGAGCGATATAAACCACAAACTCCAAGACCCAAGGTCGATAAGTATGTTGCGAAGCCTCCACAGCCTATATTGGAGAAATTGGGAAGAAGAAGGAGTGTGTTTGCGGCGGACGAAATTAATAGTCCTGACGCTAAGGTCGAGATTCGTTCTCTCTTTGGTGATAGAGAAGAGGGAGGTAAAACTGAAGGAGAGAGGAAAGTTAGTGATAAGGGAAAAGAGAGAGTGGGTAAGAGCCGTGAAGCGTTACAGAAGGAGTTGGAGACTTTGTTTCGGGATAGGCAGATGGGCGTTTGATTCATATGAGATTGGTGGTGGTGGTCACAGATTGTGGAAAGAAGAAGCTAGACGAGAGATTGTATAATTGTGAGAATAGACCTAAAAGGAATTTATAAATTGAGAAGACAAGACATTGAATTGTAAAACTTACCCTTATCATTCTTTGGCAAGCTCTGTGACTGATGAAGATTTGGCAACATAATGATGCAAGGCCGCTGACGATGCCGAGGTTGAACCGCCATTTTTGTCTAGACCTCTCCCACCTCGAAGCTCTCTTCCTCTACCACCACGAGAGATCCGTCCAACGAACAATCATGGCGCCAGTTCCGCCCAGCGACCACGACGTTGTTGAAAGTAAGTCCCATCATCGTCGGTCGTGCTACGATGTACTGACTCCACTCCCCAGAGCAACTCAAAGACATAATCCAAGACCTCTACCAAACCATGGTCCAAGTCCACTCCTACGACCCTTCCTCCTCCAAACCCTCAGACGAAGTCCTCAAATACACCGTCGACCTCATCGAAGACCACCTCTGCAAGCTCTACGACTCGGTCACGCCGACCTCGTCGGGCCCCGGCCGCAAAGTCACACTCCCTGATGTCCCGCCCGAGCTGATCGCGTACGTGGACGGTGGGCGCAATCCGGATATCTATACGAGAGAGTTTGTGGAGGTCGCGCGGCGCAATAATCAGCTCGTGAAGGGGAAGATGGAGGCGTTTGGGAGCATGAGGGATACGCTTGCGAGGGAGATGGAGAGGGGGGTTGGGGAGCTGAGGGGGGATGTTGAGAGGGTTTTGGAGGGGACGGGGGGGAGGAAGAGCTGATTTTGGGTTTGACGTTGGTATGGCTGTGGATGTTGACGGAATTGAGTAGTTGGAACGGGTGAGAGAGGTGGGGTTAAAAGTTCAGGGCTTGTGTTTGACAGGTTAAAAGGGACGATGGTAGAGGCACTAGGCGGTTATCATCGAAGGGAAAGGCGTTTCGGTAAAAGGATATAGAAACGGTATTCGGATACGGCTTTGCACATATGGGTGAGGGAAAGGCGCAATTGGTTATGGAGTTGAGGAGGAGAGGGTCTTTCATACTGCACAACGGCAGTTGCCCTGTTTATACCCGCTTTACGCAAAGAGAATCAAAATACGGATATCCATATGTTTGATGGTCGCTATGGTATTCGCTTTCCCAAGAAACCTGTCTCGACCAGGTGTATACGAGTTTGTGGGAGAGAATCCCTCTTGTGCGAGGGGGACTAACGGATTGGTATATTGAGGTATCGTCTTCCTGGCTTTTTACCTTCGTGCAAGCCCTGTCAGGACACCTCTCTAGAGGAGGTGAGTATGCCTCTCTTCTTCGACCCTTCTATTTGCTCGATGATGCCTGTTCTGGTCTTCTATTCGTACGCCTATACCACATCCAACTTGCGCGCGGGCTCACGACCGATAAGACTCCTCTGACTCTGGGGAAAGAAATGCCGATCTTCTCGGTACTCGACGGATCTCTGAAACTAGCAGCGGGAAGCGGGAGCGACACACGCATTCCGAAAGGTGCAAAATGCTCAACAATGGCATACAGTCGAGAAACGGACTGAGCCCAGATCGCATTCCCCAGCAATCTACGCGACAACAGGCCATCCGACGACCAATCGTCCAGACAGCCTCACTCAAATGTTTCAAATCATTTCCTTGCCTCACCAAAGTAGCAAAGATAGTCTTCGATATTCGCCAGGTATAGCGAAGGTCAAAGCGTAGTGCCGTGACCCGTATTGCCTCAATTCAGACATATACCAAAAGGTATATCTGCACATTTCTCAAAGTCACTTTGTATCTTTTATTGTTCCTGGTGTTGTTTAAGTGATAAGAATCAGGCAGACGAATTCGTGAAACAGAGGCGTGTTGTATTGGAAGTCACGACTGTCATCACTAGCGAGTAGAGGTCTTCGAATTGCTACCGGGTGCGAATCGTCTACAACATTTATTTTGGAATACGATGTATTGTTGACCAGTCAAACTGAGGCTGGGCGGTTGGCGAACAGATATCAGAGGCAGTGAGAGATATTCGTTCGGGGAAAGCGGGGAAGGTGGTACAAGAGATTGAGATCACTCGAGATTGGGAAGACTGTTAAGAACGGAGTGACTTGATCGAACGCTGGAATCGGAGAACAAGATTGTTCAGTCTTTTTCTCATATCTTACCTTCATTCAAAACTTACCCTACAGCTTCACAATGGAGTCTTCTCTTCGAAATCTGAGCGAAAGCTCTTCCGACTTTCGGCTCCAAACCACTTCTCAATCCGCTAACATTATCTTTTCATTCATCGAAAACCTCGAAATCACACCGCTCAACTTATTGGTCTATATTCCTATTCTCTACCTCCTCTACATCGTGCTTCTGGTATCCTATCGTTTATATCTATCACCACTCGCGAAGTTTCCAGGACCGAAGATTGCGGCTGCTACATTGTGGACGGAGTTCTACTATGATGCTGTTTTAGGAGGACAGTTCCAATTCAAGGTTAAGGAGTGGCATGAGATTTATGGTATGTGGTTGCTTCAGAGCTGGGTTGGAGGCTTGGTGCTGATGAAGTGTTGTAGGACCTGTTGTTAGGATTAACCCTTTTGAGTGAGTGGATGCATTGTGTTATCAAGCTTTGTGAAAAAACATAGGACACTCCTGAATGTGTTTAACCAGTAAACCTGGCCGTCTTCAAAGTTGAGCGTAGTCTCATTGGACATAAGTACTAACATTACATGTCTCCACAGAATCCACATCGACGACCCAAAAGGTGACTTCTACGGTACCGTCTTCTCCAACACTGGTATCCGAGATAAGCACGAGTTCTACACCTCCCAATTCGGAACCGGTAAGACTGGCTTTGGAACAGTATCTCATCACCTCCACCGCCTCCGTCGTAAAGCAATGAATCCATTCTTCCAACCCAGCAACGTCCTTCGCTTCGAGCCCGTCATAAAAGCTAAACTCGACAAGCTATGTCAGCGCATCGATCAGTATTCCGCTGCGAAGCTCGGAGCCATGCCAATGCGTATCGTCTTCATGAGTTACGCCACTGATGTTATAACTTCTTTTACCCTAAATCATAGTTGGAATCATCTTGACGCACCAGATTTTAATCCGTGGTGGTGGCAGACTACCCAATGTACTGCCAAGATGACAAAGTGGACGAAACAGTTTCCGTGGCTTTTACCAATGTTGCAGGGTCTACCTGATTTTATAGTCAAAGCAATGGATCCTAATCTGATTCTTGTCCTTGAGATGCAACGTGTAAGTCCTTCCCCAAGTGCCTCGCATTGAATATCGCTAAGCGAGAATAGAAAATCGAAGGCATCGTCGTTGATGTCTTGTCGGGTAAAGATGGGAAATATGCCTACTACCCTGACGGTTCACCTCGTACAATCTTCCATGAGATTCTGAAGAGCGACTCCTTGCCTGCTGCGGATAGGGATGTTGAGTATCTGTGGCAAGAAGGTCAGAACTTTCTGGGTGCTGGATCGGATACCGTGGCGTTTGTTCTGACAATGGCGACTTATTATCTTCTTGCCGATACAAAGAAGGCGGAAAAATTGAGAGAAGAGTTGAGAGTTGCTAGAGCGGATAAGGATACGGAATTGAGAGTGGTAGCTCTGATGAAGCTACCTTACTTGGTAGGTTTGCTTTCCAGTTTCCAGATTGATTTTTGTAAGTTGCTAATGGTTCCATTGTAGACTGGAGTTGTCAACGAAGCCTTAAGGTAATTTCTCATAAACCTTTAAAAAGCTTATACTGACTCCTTAGACTGTCTTACGGAACATCGTGTCGCCTAACGCGTATCGCGCCAACTGAATCGTTGAACTTCCAACACTGGCATATTCCTGCCGGCGTAAGCCCTGCTCGTACTTTTTCACATGTCTTTGCTAATTTCAATTTCAGACTCCAATCTCAATGTCATCACTCATGATGCACCATAACGAGAATATCTTCCCTCAATCGCACACGTTCTCGCCAGAGCGATGGGCAGACCAAGAAGATGGAGGAAAGGCACTCGAGCGCTACCTAGTTTCATTCTCAAAAGGGAGTCGGCAGTGTATTGGAATGGGGTTAGTGCATCATAACTGTTCAGCCTATTATCCCAGTCAGCACTTTACTGACATTCTTTCCATGTTTTAGATTCGCAAAAGCTGAGATATATCTCACAATCGCAACACTTTTTTCTCGGTACACAAACATGACACTTTATGACACGGATTACGATAGAGATGTTAAGATGGTGAGCGATATGTTCTTTCCGCAAGCGAGTAAGGAGAGTAGGGGCGTGAGGGTCTTGTTTGGTGAGAATTGAAGCCTATAATTTGTCCTAGAACCCGTAATCGACACAAATACCTAATAAAATATCATAACTCGATACCACACTTATGAATTTTCTGAATTGTCAGTACACATGTATAGCACCATGACTAAATTAAACATTACAATTATCAATATATACATTTGATTTGACTTTTAGGCTATTTACAAGGCGATATCATCACTCATCACGAACTTGTCCCACTGGGTAGCTTATATCCTGTTGAGTCTGAACGCACCAGTGACCTTGTTCTGGAAGATGGCCTTAGGATCGTACTTCTTCGCAACATCCTTCATGAACTTAACGTTCTTAGCACCGTAGCTAGCGAGCGGATTCTGGGATCCATCTGCGTAGTTGAGGTAGACCCAGTCCACGGCTCCACCCTTGGCTTTGGCATAGGCGTTCGAGGCAGCGGAAAGCTCAGAGATATATGGAGTGATGATGGCGAGTTGCTCTTCGGTTTGGACGGCAGCGGTGATGAGCCAGAGAAGTGCGTTGTCTTTAACGGCATCGAGACCCAAAACGTTTCCACCCTTGGCGTTAGAGCGGTCTTGGGCAATGTATGCTGGGATTGGTTGAAAGAGACATTGAGTAGTGAAGTCAGCGGCTGGTAGGACCGTGAGGAGTTTGGCGACCATTTCGTCGTGGAGAGCGGCGATGTGGGAGACAATGTCTCTGTCAGCACGGAAGGTCAGGGAGTACCAGACGTTTCTGTGATGATTAGCAAGAGTTGAGATGGGTGATTTAGTTGTACTTACTGGCTACCAGGTGCGAGAAGATAAGAGGTTGCGATGTTGGACATGCTTCTAGTTGTTAGATCGGCAAGAACTGTTGGTACCTTGGCAATCTGTTCAAAAGCTGGCGGGGCGACAGCGCCCTTTACATCCACGGTGACCATCGCAACAACGATCTCTGTGAACATGCCTGGGTTGTAAGTGAAGTTGACAATCAAGGCATCCTCAGGGTTTTTGGCGTTGTTGTTAGTGAAGTTGATCAACTCGGTGATAATGGTATCACCATACTTTCGCTCCGCTGCTGAGAGACCACCCCAGAGAGGAACGGCTGTGAAAGCTTGCATGTCGAAACGGGTGACGATGCCAAAGTTTCCAGATCCGCCTTTAAGAGCCTTCCATAAGTCTGAGTTGGTTTTTGCGTTCGCGTTGACAACACGTCCATCGGCAAGAACAACCTCGAAGTTGACGACATTATCTGCGCCAAAGCCCTGCATTCCAGTGTAGTAAGAATTGCCTCCTCCTGTAAGGAATCCGCCAATTCCAACACCACCATCGCGACCACCAGCGACCATGGCTCCCTGAGCTTCTAGAGTCTTGAAGACTGTCGCCCAATTAGGGCCGGGCCCGATGGAAGCGATCATGGTTTTCTTGTCCACCGTGACATCGGTGAAAAGCCCAAGATCAATGGTAACGCCATTGTGAATGTCACTGGCACCTCTCCAGTGGCCGTGTCCTCCACTTCTCACGGTGAAATTCCCGCTTGAACCTGCAATGGCCTTGACGACCTTTTGAACTTCAGCGGTGTTGCGAGGCTGCACAATACACAGAGGAGAAAGCGGTGCATTGGCGGCCCAGTAGGATGCCTCACGAGCAATGTAGTTTGCATCGGCTGGGTAGTAAATCTGAGATGAGAGTCCAGCAGCTGCAAGAGCTTGGCACTGTTTGTTAAGTTGATTGTTAGCCATTGGAGCTAGAGGGTGGAAGGGGTATGAGCGTCGTCTCTCGCGGGGAGTGACTGGCAAGAAATAAAATGACGGAAGCACTCACTCCACCAGTTGTTGCGGCTGCAGAAGAAAGACCTTGAAACAACAGAGCCGCTGTGGCCACGCAAGCTGACGCTTTGGAAATCATGGCGAGATTCAAAGAGCGTATGGGAATCTGAAACATATCAATTAGCATAACCTTTTTAGTTTATTGAGGGTTTCATACTTGGCAGCGTTTGGATTATAGCACTCGAGGATCCTGGAGTGGTAAATGGTTGGAAGCTGATGCTGGCTACCACGTTTTTTTCGCGGTCTCAGACGATTCTTATACAGATCAGGCACCTCGGATGCAGCGGACGTTATCTTTGACATGAAGTCCATCATTTCCTTAAATTAATGCTATCAAAATCAATTTCATCCAGTGAGCAGTTGCGATAGGATGGATTGTGGAGAGCTATCATGGTTTCTTCGCACCTATAGCTACCCTTCCCTTGTGGCGATTGCTTGAAGTGGCTTAGAAGCGGGCAGCAAATCAGTGGTTGCTGTGGAGTGCCTCAAAAGGGTCCAATAGCCGCAGAAAATGTAACGATTATCTGCAAGACTTGGGAGGAAATGTACGAAGTAGACCCTGCAGCGGAATGTGACGGTCGAATGAAGAGCCCTGCCATGAGCTGCGAGCGCTGTGAGTGGTCATTCATCCACGACAAGCCAATGCACCAATACTACTCGGTCTCCAAACCTGGCTTCCACCAAGGTTATTTTTATTTTCATTTCTCTTTTCAAGGCTTCTAGAACGCTTGAATGGATTGTATGAAAAATAGAAGTCTTTCCCACAGCGAGCCAAAATCAAATGATTTGGTTTGATCTCTCGACTAGGAGACAACGGGATGACTGAAGCTAAAAGGATCATCGCTGCGTGGTCTGCTGTCAAAATCGAACGGGAAAAGTTTATCCTAGTTTCAGACGAGAAGAATAAAGCCAAACCTTCCCGAGTCTAGCGTTGTCGTTCTCCACAGGACCGAGGAAAGTCGAGAATGTCGGACACTTTTGTCACGCCAGCATGCGTGGAGCATATATCGAAATTGAATTGCTGAGAGCAGCACGCATTGCTTTTTCACAACATTCGACACGGAAAAGAGCTTCTTCATCCAAGCTCGCCAAGTCGGTGGAGAAATAGTGATTTCGATCAGATTATCCCACGAGACAATATATATGCGCCTCCAGTATCGTACGAACAGCTATTGGAGACCGTGCTACCTTTGATTGTGGTCTGCGAGGAGCGTCGCATTGAAAAAGACAGCGATGATTGAGTGTCTACTATTGACAGCTATGTTCCGCTTCAAAGGTCAACCGTCGTCGACATTAACACACGGTAGAAATAGGGTTGGCTTTCTCGTTGGAGGTTTCCTCTTTTGGTGAATCACTCGAATGAGACCAAGAGCTCAAGCAATATTCAATAATTCACTAACTCTCTTCAAGCCAACTCTTGTACGTTAGACAATCAGGGTGGTCCAAGGTAGAACAATTGATCAGTTGTAATGATTCATCGTGAATCAATGTCTCAGTCGAGCTGACTCGAACCGCATTTCGTTTCATTGTAAATGCGTGCCCACTTGTGGTTCAACTTGATCGACATGTTCTGATGCTTCCACCACTTCTCCTATTCTGCCTACCTCTCCGAGTTGATGTTGGCTCAACCGAAATCACAACCAAATACTGTCAAAGTATCTTTCTGTTTGGCTAGCTTAGCGATGCAGCATTGACAGAGAGCCACTACAGTATTTAGGGCTATCGTGAGGTGGAGCGCGGCACTTTCGATCAGCCTCCAGATTGACCTTCGAACGGACGACTATTGGCACAGACTCCCGCCCGCTCCCGCACTGTTTTGACGACATACTCCATCTTTCTGATGACCCGTAGTGCTCCGAATAGTAAGGGACATTGTTTGTTGAAGAAATAGCAGGAGTTTGGCCACTGTGAGTCCAATATTCACAGGTGTTGTCGGCTAGATTCATGTGGAAAAATCGCACATCAGAAGTTTGCAGACAAAACTCATGGTCAGGCGTCGATAAATATCTACCACAGGCGCCTGTGCCGCAATTTAGTACTGCAACAGGCCAGTTTCGTAACGTTACTCGTACAATCGTACTGTTCATTTGCTCAAGCCTCATCGTTCGAGTTTGCTCGGGTCTCGACAGAGTTGGATGGTCAGGGTTCAAATGTAGATCCACCAAGTAAGCAGACGGCGAAGCCTGCAAGCATGATCCTCGGAGACGAGTATTACCCACCGTCTGGTCCGTGGTGCCCTCCAGAGAAGTCCATTGGCGGCTTCGTGCTGCATCCAAGAGAAACTGGAAAAAGGAGCGAGCGAGATGCGTTGAAATGTTCCGTACGGAGGAAAGGGGAAGAAGGGGAAGGCGCGGGGGCACTAATAAATGCTGGACTAGCCGTAAATGGCAATTGACTCGCTTAATTGCCCAATACCAGCCCCTTTTTGCTCTCACCGAAGCCTTTCGTTCAATCTCGTTTATCACTCACCTCCACTGCCCTCACATCTTTTCATCGTGGGGGTCTCTTCACAGGGTGTTTTGCTTGGGTTCCTTGCTGATAATATGTTGCATCGAATCGGCGCCTCCCGTCAGTGGCATATCCTCTCCACACTTTCAAACGCCATAGAAGTACCCCCTTGCAACGTAAAGCGCCATGCTTCTCGGGGAAGGTCTTTTGGACTTGCCACTCCCCCAGACCCTACGATTTTCCGTCTTCGTGCCTGACACTATGCTTTAGTATGTTTCTGTGGGCACTCCGAGCTATAGAACAAAGATGGGTTGTCTCTGTCAGCGTGTTTCTCGATCAGAGGGCTTCACGATCTTCTTCCGCTTCAGCAACATCCAATTCAAGTATGTAAGCGCGACCGTTTCTTTTAACATCGCCTCAGAATTCAGCTGGAAAGATTGTGAAACTTCCTTCTGATGTCTGAATGGGCTTTTATATGCAAGGAACAGCTGGAGCTGGATGGACTGTCCCAGCACCGGCCAACTCAGGCGATGCTCCTACACAAGGATTTTCCATTGAACCCAATTCTTATTCGCCATTGAATAATGCAACTCGTAAGCTCCTTGGGGTTTCGTTTCTGATCTTGAGGGCTTCAGTTATTTGAGTCTTCACGTATGCCACCTTTGCAAAGGTCGCTCACACGTTCATTTACTGCAGTTTTGATCGTCAAGATAACTGCAGTCACAACAGCAATGATATATACTTTCGTTGTTGCGGAATGCTCGCCGATAAATGACTGCATCTTTCAATCGTGATTTTATGCCTCGTTGTCGGCTTGAAGACCAAAGGGTGTCGACATCCGACTCAGACATGGGTATATGTTTTAGAATTTTGGAGCCATCTTTCTGGGCATTGGACAGCCTTGTACCTCACCGAGCTAGTACGGAGTAAACACCCAAATCTTGGAGCTTCGCTTCTCCATCGAGGGCATTGATCTTCACGTTATGGGGATCGTGGCGTTGCAACAATGCAACAATGCTACTCTTTGTTTGCAAGAGCCTTCCTAAATCTGGACTTGGCTTCACGAACAGCATTCAAGTGCATTCAGTTACGAATGAAGGAGCGGCTATGTTCTTTCACAGAGGTGCCAAATATAAATTCGTCGTGCTATGTTGTAGTTTCCGGGCTCTGCCTTGGATGGCCAACGGAGTGATGTAAATTTCTCCGTCGTCGAAAGATCTTCTCGGTGCACTAAATTCGTACAGTACCAGTAATTTCACGGCACAGCTCACGGTCCGGTACACCCAGACCCCCGGAGTCTCAGTAACCCTGACCGCCTTCAGTTTAAATGTCATATCAGTGATGACTTCGGACCTGCCACATGGTCACCAGGAAGTTGTCGTCTGTTGCTGCAGGTCAACAGGAGACTCTTCTTTGTTTTGACATAACCCAGCGCCAAACGCAACCACGAGCGTATGAAAGAACGAGTTGATCTACATGGATTGTCGAACTGTGCATGGGGAAAGGTGAGTACATTAAAGTGCCGGTCCTGTATCTTCAGAATTCGCTTCCGAACGGCACTTTCGACTTGTCAAAATCCGTCACTTCACAAGAAGACAGGTTGAAGCACGAAGACAATCAACATGTCTCTTACCAATGGAGTGATAACTGCTATTCCTGCGCCTGAGGGATATGTGGTCAATTTCGAGGATCCCGCGAGACAGGGAAACATTGCTACATATTGGGTTTCTGGTATTGGGATGGTATTTGCCTTCCTGTTTATGTTCCAACGACTCTTTGTGAAAGTCATTGTTCGCAGGGCTTTCGGAATTGATGATGGTAAGTTGAAATATCTACTTCTGTGAATCCTTCATTGCTTTTCTAAGCTAATATGTATCTAGTCTGTCTTGTGTTAGCTTGGGTAAGCATTTTGAAGAATAGTGCTTAATGGAATGGGCAAACTAACTTTATGTGTAAAAGGCATTCACAGTTGTACTCCAGGTAATCGTCATACGTTAGTGAAACTCTATGTCCTTTCTTTAAGGTTCTTACTAAATCTGGTGATAGGAGGATTCGCTGTTGGATACATTGGAACTCACGCATTTGAAATGCCAATTACAGAATTCATGACTTTTTTTAAGGTATAACTAAAACATTAGGGACATGATGTAAATTTACTAATAATTTCCATAGTTTAGTGTATACATTAACACCATCATCTACGCGCCACCGACTATGCTTGCAAAATTAGTCATTTTACTCTTCTACAACACTCTCCAGAACCAAGACAAATGGTTCAAATACTCTGTGTGGTTTGCCATGTTTGTCACCATTGGATCGTCGACTGGAATATTCTTTTCCTCCATCTTCTCATGCAAACCGATAGCGATGGGTTGGGACCTTACAATCACTGATGGTGTGTGTATTGATCGCACGGCCATGTTCAAGGCAACTGCAGCTTTAGGTGTTATTGTCGATGTCCTCATCATTGCAATTCCAATCCCTATGGTCTTTAAGCTGCAGATGTCCAGGTCAAAGAAAGCCAGTCTGTTATTTGTCTTTTCAATCGGATCAGTGTCAGTATAAAGCAACTTTCCGTCCGGCCTAGAGAAACTAACCTTGGCAAATCTTTAGTACTGTTATTACATCTATTATTCGATTAGTGTTGCTCATAACTAGTCTCAGCGATACAGACACTTCCTGGGGCGCTGGACCGATTCATGTCTGGATGTAAGTGACCTAATACCCTCCAAATACGAATATCCCAATTAACTATTCTCCCATAGCTGTGTAGAATCCAACCTTCTTATTATGTGCGCATCTCTTCCGACATTGAGACTCTTTGTACGAACTGTGGCGCCAAATCTCATGAGCTCTACCGCCGCATCGAATAACAAGTCTGGAGGATACGCAGGTCAATCAGGGAGGTCGAGGACGGTTGGAGGTAGTAGTATGCCTGGACCTGGCACCAACCCAAAACGTCAGCACTACGGTCGATTTGATGATGATCCTGAATATGGCCTGGAAACTCTCGTTGAGGCCCGGAAAAATAATTCTGATGTGAAAACGAATAGCGTCGGGTCCCAAGACGCCACCGGATGGGAAGATGGCAACAGTGATAGAGCCATAATGCAAACAACTACGACCGCGATAACGTACTCGAACAAATCTCAGGGTTTATAATCGCCGCCAATTATAAAATTCTCATTCACGCTAGGGTTTTATGTGGTGGCAAGTCCACTTTTCACCCAAGGCGAAATCAAACTTCATAGAATCAACGGAAATTACCGAATAGGGGAAACGAAAATGGGCGGCGGGCTTTCGAAAGGTGTATATTAGAAGAAAAGAGTGAAAGAGCAGGATGCATGTATGATCAAATCAACGAAGAAATGTAGTGTGGGATTATACCTGATCTCCGAGCGCGAGCGCTAATGGAAGCCGAGTGCTTGTTCCTCTTCAACAATCATTGTACAGTTAGACGAGAATTGAAGACATTCGAGACGTTCTCTCATTGCGGTTAATTTAAATGACTTCATTTACCCGCTCCCTTCAGACTTCCAACCAACGCCCGCTCCTCTTCAAATTCATCTACAATCAACAACCCTTCCTCCTCCAACTCCTTGACCAACTCCCACGTCCAGTCCTGACAACCCCAATACTCGTCTTCATTCCGAATCTTCTTGTTCTTCACAAAATCCTTCACCTCCTCCACTCGTTCAGTCTCAATGTACCCAACCGGATATGAATCCACATGATTAAGTTTCTCCTCTGGGTTTCCTTGCCGCTCGAGTTACCGATAATGAGTGCGTCGGCCTTCAATGTTTAAGACTGTTCCTAGTTTGGTGGTGGATGGGTAGGGAGCGATGAATAGGATCCAGTGCTTGAACGCTGGGTTTCCGCCGGCTGAGCGGAAGATGAAGACTTTACGATATTCATCCGGATCTTCGACTGAGTTTGAGCTTTTTTCTGGGGAAGGAGGCGAATCTTCGTATTTGAATTCGCCTGTTGACTTGTTGACAAGAGCCCAGCTTTGGGTTGATTTGTCGAAGTGACGCGTCCATTCATCGTCCATTGTGTATTCGGAGGACCTGTGGTAGGATAGAGCCAGGGTGAGTTGCTCTTGGTGTTTGGGAAAGGTAGAGGAATGCAGATACCATGTTTGTCAGTACTTTCTCGAAGCACTTATATAGAACTTGAAAATCCGAGACTTCATCTTCAGATACAGACGTCCGTTGTTGGTACGCCATATTATAGGCAGCATATCCTCTAAGTCCAATAAGAACGATGTTGGCATCCTGGTTCCAACATGTTGAGTCACTTCCTAGCCCCCCTATATTTCGAACAACCTTTCGCTAACCTGGTGTTACGTTATTCTTGGAGGACTTGAGAGAGAGCTCAAAAGGCACGTATATCTCACTTTCTTTCATGTGGAAAAACTGCATTTGAAACACAAGCAACCAGGTATTTTGGAGTTTCCAAACAATCTTCGGTGTCTACTGACGGATTCAGATACTACCTAACGTTTACGAAATGAATCAGATCAAAGACGCATCGCGATATCAAGGCAATTAGGTACCAGTGTAGTACTTGCTCGTTACGCTACATAATGTTTGTATTTCTTGTGGTTCCTGTACACCGTGATGCCTGATTGATGCCGCAGAAAGGTCAGATCCAACAACATTCCCTTAATACACTTGTGAATGCCGGAACTAACGATTCGTGCTTCATAGGACTGGTATTTATACCTTTCAGTTTACCGAGTCCCTTGGGCGCCATCTGCGTACTTCGTGAACACGCAAGGAGGCTCACCAGGGAAGCAGCCATGCTTTAAGCTCTCTTCTATGTTTCAAATGCGCATAAGTTTTTCAAGCTTCAAAGAGCTGTAAACCTCACAGACGAATTGTCTTGCAAAATTTCATAAACGAGCATAGTTCAGTCCGAAAAAAGATAAGTAGTGAAGCGATATTTCCTTGTACAGTGGAGCGATAAGCCAAATCTCGGAAGGATATAAGCGCTAAATGAAACTCGATAAGCCGTTCAGAACAGATACATCTGTACCTTAAGTCATACGTAAAGAACCTTGAGGAAGAATGAAATTTGAGTAAGATTTTAAACTCAGTGCAAAAGTGGGGGTTCCGCCGATGTTGCCGACTCACTATTTGAAGTGGCTGCCAAGCCCTTTTACTTTCAACATATTTTCTGACAAACTCATTATCATACGATGCTCAGGTTTAGATAAATACATACAGTAGCACCATTTGATTTATATTAGCTTAAGATGGCAGCATCCACGGTCGCGGCACCCGGAAACGCAAACTCCGAACCAAATGAGACGACATCGCTACTGGCGAGAAGAGATAGCAAATCGGATTCTCTAAGCAGTATCAACGACAACCCAACCGCGATTACAACACCAGGAAGTGGCAGTCATGATTCCAAATCCGATCGAGGGAGTGTGGAAGGCGACAACGTTGAGGCCGGCGAGTCGAGGGAACCCGTGAATCCTCTGTTTGAGGGAAACCCAGAGATGTTGGCCAAGATGCATTTGCTGTTTCCCGCTATTGCGCTTGGGGTATGTTCAATTTTTACTGATTTACCAAAGGTTCTTATTTGAGAAATAATAACTGATTGCCTTAAATGTAGGTTTTGCTCAGTGCTGCAGATCAGACTCTCGTTGTGAGCAGCTACGCAAAGATGGGGAGTGATTTGAACGCGTTGAATAACACAAGTTGGATTGCAACAGCGTGAGGAGTTCTTTCAGCACGCTTATCTGAAAGACATGACTAAACGTTGTTGTAGTTACTTTCTTACTCTAACCAGCTTTCAGCCTTTATACGGCAAGCTATCCGACATATTCGGAAGGAAAACAGCTCTTCTGTCCGCATATACCATCTTCGGTACAGGCTGTCTATTTTGCGGTCTGGCTCGATCCTTGAATGAGCTTGTCGCAGCTAGAGCCTTTGCCGGTATAGGAGGTGGTGGGCTTCTGACCGTTTCAAGCATCATTCTTAGCGATATTGTGCCTCTTCGAACGCGAGGTTCCTGGCAGGGCTATGTCAATCTTGTGTATGCAGCCGGTGCGTCAGCTGGTGGACCACTTGGCGGTATTCTTTCGGATTCCATTGGCTGGCGATGGTGAGTTCAAATGTGAGATAATTACTGTTCTTGCCTCATTAACACATCCGTAGGGCGTTCCTCATACAAGGACCACTCTGCATCATCGCAATAACAGCAGTAACGGTCTTTCTTAATCTCCCTAAGCCAGATGCGTCACACTGGCTCACCAAACTCCGCAAGATCGATTTCCTCGGCGCTTTCACCTTGGTATTCGCTGTCTTCTGTCTTCTCGTTGGAATGGATCGTGGGAGTAACGTATCCTGGACATCAAAGACTGCCATAATCTTTTGCGCGACCTCTCTCCCCCTATTTGTCCTATTCGTTTTCATAGAGATGAAGATTGCCTCATTCCCCTTTGCACCCGGTCATATCATATTCCACCGTTCATTAGTTGCGAGCTATCTCACCAATTACTTCGGCCTAGCTGCGAATATGGGCGTCTTTTTCTACTCACCATTATATATGCAAGCTGTCGATGGTCTCTCGGCAACAGCAGCTGGAGTGAGGCTCATCCCAGTGATGATCTTCATGGTGTCTGGCAGTCTTTTTGGCGGACTGTATATGCAGAAGACCGGAAGGTATTACAAACTAACCATCAGCTCAATTTTAATCGGCTTATTTGGAGCATGTGTAACATTCTCGTGCTCAGGATTTCTTACGTCGTCGACACCTGGTATCACTGTTGGACTATGCATATCTTGCTTCGGCGTCAGCTCAGCTATTACAACCACCCTTTTGAGCGTTCTTGCCAACGCTGATCCGGCTGATCAAGCTATTGCTACAGCATGCACATATCTATTTCGTTCACTGGGAAGTGTAACGGGCGTTAGTATTGCAGCGACAGTCGTGCAACAACGATTGCGGGTAGAGTTGAGAAATAGGTTGGAAAATGGAAAGGAAGCCGATGAGATTGTTGAACATGTACGTCAAAGTTTGGACTTTATCAAGACTCTGGAGCCGGGTGTTAGAGTCATTGTGAGAAAGTGTTACCAAAGTGCCACGAATGCCTGTTTTGCACTCAGTATCTTGGTCATGTGTTTTGCCTTGACTGCGAGCTTGTTTATCAAAGAAAAGAAGCTGAGTAGGTAGAGGGCGTCTTGATGTTGGTAAGACCTGCGGCTTCTCTAACGACGGTATACATTTGGACAAACAAGGAGTAGGTTGCTATGGAGCTTTGTTGTAGGAAAACTAGGGGCGTATCGTCAACTACACGTGGTAACTCAGAGTGTGGGGTATTGTTTCTATCTGATGTAATAACATGTCGCTTCCAAATAACCAAAGAGTTCGTATCTCATATTACTGGCTCACTGCCCAGGAATATTGTCAGGTGATGTCTTCTAAAATTACTGTCTATTGGTAACCTCATTGCACTGACAACGACATTCTGGCACTGGACATTCTACGTGCCTGCCAAACCATGATACGGAATGATCCATGTGCATGACATGCTTGCACTTCAAGCAGAATGTTGGAAAGTTAGCCATACGACGAACAGCTGGATCAGTAGATAACTCTGGTCGGTCTGATCGAGGTACACCTACAAACTCCATGCACAAAGCACATCGAGGAAGATGGGATCCGCAACGAGGGCAGCAAAGGCCTGCATTCACGCCTGAAGCAATGAGAGGATTACGGGTATCAACCGTTGTGGTCGAAGGTCCTGTGCCTGAGCTGGTAGCCCCGCCAGTATTCGCAAGATCATTGATGGTTGCGGAGTCGCAGTTCAGGCAGCGAATTGTGACTTGTCTTGGTGGTGGTTTGATGACAGGCGTTCCATCCCTCGTACGACTTTTGATCGTGGACTGTTGCTCAAACATTACACGTAAGATATATTTCTTGTTGCGCTGGAGCAGGTCTTGGTAAGCCTTTCGCCAAGATCCGCATCGAACATCACTGATGTATCGAGGGTAACAGAATGACATGATTAAGATTGGCGACTGGTAGTCCATGAATTTCTCGACGTGTTTAGCAAAGATGTCGACCATGCCATCCGTGATACCGGCCAAGAATATACCCTCAGGGTCCCCATTTTTTATCGCTTCTTCCATCTCCTTTTCGAGCCATTCCGTAAGCTTTACATCGTCAAACTTCCGAAAGGCCACCCCGACTCGATCTTGTAGTGGAAGGGAGGTCTCATTGGCAATACCTTCCCAGTCGCCAGCTGTAATGAATCCGTATATAGCCCGAAGATATGGATTCGCCGCCATCTCCGGGTGGTTCTCTAAAACCTTGTCCCAGTCAATAGCGTCAAGGCTGGAAATATCCTTACTCTTGATCTTGATGTCCAGAGCCATTGCAACGAATACCAGGTACGAACCACCAGTTTTCAGGATATCTACAGCACGCTCTGGCAAACCCTCAAAAAGCGCACGCGCTGCTGCAACAACATAAAGCTCATCTTCCAAGAGCTGACTTAACTCTCCTTCCAGGTCTTCTGGGCTTTTTAGAAGACCACAGACCTCTAGGCATAGCTGGCGATGGTTTGGCTTTTCCGTCGCGTGGCCTTCAAAGTCAGGTATTCTGTTACGTCTGTTCATTGTCCCGATAAGGCGTTCCCACTGAGAACTATCAGGTACAACGGTACTGTCTATCAGTCTGGAATCAGTCTTCTCGCCTTAGATACATTAGCTGAAAATTTGCAAGATGGCGGTTCGAAGGCATATATACCGAGCTGATTCATCCAAATAGAATACACCCCCATATAGCTCAGGTCTAGAGGCGTGGAGACCATTCCGTCGTCATCAGCGATGAGTTCTGCGTCTAAATACAAATTAGCACAAGCCGCTCGGTGAAGTGCGAGAACATCCGACATACTTTTGACCCACGACCAGGCGTTTTGTAGTCGTTCATCATCTTGCAAAAGTGCAATATTTTTTACGCAGTCGAAGAGGTACCCGTCAGTTGCCCGCCGGATCATTGTAAAGTCCCTCGTCTCATTGTTCGAATTGACCAATCTTGCGAGATCGACGGCCGAATTTTGTCTTTCAGGCGGTGGACTGTCGACAGGATTGTCCGGAAAATTCTCGACCTCGTTCTTTCTTAATTTGTTTAAGCTAAGTTTCGAAGTTTTAGCTCCTAATACCTTTACCTTGTTATCTGGATCAATATTTGCAGTCACTTGTTCCGACGTGGCTGGCGACTCAACTACGGGATCTTCCCCTGAATGGATTGCAGCTTTGATGTAATTTATCATCTTCTTTTTGGTTTTAGGATTTTTAAAGCTGTCTGGTCCGAAGAGTGGTACATTCGCTTTGGCGGCAGTTGCAAATAAAGGGCCAAGGATGGCCTCCTGCTCGTTCGAGTCGGCAAAATGTAACAGATTCATATATGGGTCATTCACTGGTAGTATTAGTTTTTCCCATTCACTTGCTACAACAAATCATGCGAGCTTACATTGACGCGGCGGTTTCCACGGGACTAGTTGAGAAAGTTGCCCAGCCGTCGCAGCTGGCAGCTGCAGTATTTCAAATGTACCGTTTGACCGCAGGCCGACGACACGAGGGTCTAAATCTGAAGTTCCAAGGTTTAACCAATCAAAAGACACAATACGCTCCTCTGGTCGTTTAGTGTGGTCGGGATCGAACGAGGCATATTCAAGGTCGATGGACTTCTTGACTTCAAGCAGTTCGGGACTGCCACGAATGTCATTCACAGACTCGGGCTCAATAAATTCTCGACCCGTCTTCAGTATTTGGAGCTGACCAGCGGACGATAAGACGCCTAGACTTCCACGTTGCTCGCGTGAGTACCGTAATTGTTTAATATGAACACCCTTTTCGGTCATTATCACACGATCAAGCTTTAGTGCTGCACCCCAAGGAACCTCTTCTTGATCAATAGATTCAAGATACATTGGGGATGCCGTAGACCTGTTTGTAACCCGACGATCCCACACAACAAGTCCGGGATGGTCTAAAGAGGAGGACGCAAAATAGTTGGTGTCGGCGAAGTCGATTGCGAGGTTATTGTTACATCTAGTTTGGTAATTCAGGACGCTGGAATTCGGATCTAAGATCATTAGCCTTGCTCAAAAATGTGCAGGTCTCCCAAGTCTGACCTCGGAGATCATGAATTCGCACGCTTTGGTTCTTCACGCCAACGACCAATGTCTGGGGTTGGTCCTCGAAGAATCTTACGCTCGTTATAGACACGCTGCCTTCTAGCTTCTTTCTTGGCTCGGGTATCATATTTGGAAGGCTGCTCCAACCAGGTCTTTTGGCGTCCCAGTCACCCAGTCGCTGGTTAACATCCCATATCTGAAGACAGGAGTCATTCCGAATTCTGTCCAGACCCACGGCAAGCAAACCTTGGGTGTTGAAAGCCACCGACTGGCATGAACGTTGAAGCTTCAAAGGGAGCGTCGTCGAAGCATTCGAGTCATCATCTACCCGAAGAAGATGTACTTCGCCATGGGAGGTGCCAACCGCCACCAGTCCCTGGACAGCAGGCGACCAGTCGTATGTGTTGATAGGAGGAAGCTCTGTATGTTTTGAGATACACTCATAGTCAAACTTTCCAGGTTGAGCGTGGCCTCTGGCCTCATATACTTGAACAATTCGATAATTGAGGTTCAAGACCATGAATTGGTCGCGCGAAGTGTTAGGCGACCATCGGATGATACCATCATTGCGGTCCATGGCCCCTCAATTGAGAACAGTCGCGTCTTTTATGTTAAGATTCTCCAAGCATGCTTACGCGACGAGAATGAGGACGTTGTAAGACAGGTATATAATGAGGCTACAGGTGCTATATGAAAGGTGCCGTCGCGTTTGCTTATGAGATGTGTTTTTGAAACCTGTTTTCCCTAGCATTGATTTCCATCCCGTAAATATCCTGGAAGAGTCGACAAAGTGGCAGTGACAGTTTGCGAAAGAGACAACTCATCCAAGGCACTCGATTGCTTACGGAGTGCTATTTGTTGGCGACTCGCTCGCTGCTACTGAGAGCATTCGACTGGATCGTGCTCTTGTGCGTTGAGACCCTGAGTGTCGACCTAAGCAGGCCTTTTAGATGGAGTTCTATTGGAGCTGATTCTGAGGAACGACAGGTGTCTTTCAGCTCAACGTGATTCGAAGTACAAGCACAACTCAACAGATGCCCCCACAATAGTGAAGCTATTGATACAGTCGGGGACGCGCTAGTGATTCTTTAGTGCCGATGTTGCCCCGGTCCGAGAAAAATATTTGGGAACCCGCCAAACCAGCGAGTACGAACCGCAGAGTAGACAAGTCAATCTACAACACAAAGATCGATCCTACAATCCCAGCAGCATGTCGGCCAAAAGAAAATTCGAAGAAACAGAATCGACCGCAACCGTTCACGAATCTCGCCAGTTTCAGGTTCCTGGTAGCAAGCCTAAACCAGCAAAGAAACCCCGCAACAACGAACAGCCAATCTACAGAAAGCAAGCCCACGCTTCAAGTGTAAACGCGATTAAGAAGAGGATACGGGATGTTTCGAGGAGACTTGAGCGCGCGGATGACTTGCCAGCGAACGTCCGTCTGGATGACGAGCGTGCGCTCGCTGCGTATGGACAAGAATTAGCTGCTGCAGAAACAGAGAAGAATAGACAGAGAATGATTAAGAAGTATCATATGGTCCGATTTTTTGGTAAATCCCATATCTGAGACATTTTGTGTCACTCGCTAACTTCCCCGAAGAGCGCCAGAAGGCTACAAGGGTTTTGAAGAAGCTTCGAAAGCGTCTACTTGAATCTACATCTGAAGGAGAGGTCCAGCAATTGAAAACAAAAATGCACAACGCTGAAGTTGATCTTAATTACACCCAATTCTGCCCTCTCAGTGAGCGATACGTCAGTCTTTATCCGCAGTCAAAGGACCGCGAGGAGGAAGACGACACAGCACATACGAAGCCGACAACGAAGCCTCCTATATGGTACGAGGTTGAGAAATGCATGGAGGAAGGAACTCTGGTTCGATTGAGGAATCGGGACACTAAACAACCACGAACTTCGAAAACACTAGAGTTGAGACCGGCGAAGCCCAGGCCGAAAGCTATCCCCCCTCCACCGGATACTTCTGGACTAAACCGGCGAGAGAGGAGAAGTCAACATCGTGTTCAGGACGAAGTGCGGAAGAAGAATAAATCTGCCGGGTTTGAGAAGAACCAACTGTTTGGGGCAATGCAAAGCGTTCCGAAAATAACTACGGATGATGCAGATGATAGTGATGGAGGCTTTTTCGAAGATTAGTAGCGGGTTGCTACTAATCTTTGGAGACTGATGTATGTCTATGATACCCTCTTTGCGGCATGATTGTTGTAAAAGCGATTTCTGGAATCTCAATAGAAATACCAGCAGCTTTTACAGATTCGTGTCAAATAAGTGCATCTCTTGCATTCCGAGAATCTCATGCCATCCTAACCGATGCGGCCTTGATTGTGAAAACGAGACGGCCGAGATATCTTAAAATGCCTTTGGTTGCCGTCTCGATCTCACAATCAGAGTTTTCTCTTGAGCTTTAGGAGCAAAGAGCAAAGCTTAACTATCCTTTTTAAGAGCTGCTATTCTATTCGTGATAACTCATGCTTGTGCTACCTCTGCTGTACAGTATCTACCGCGTAGGTAGTAATGGCAGTTATTTACTACCTATCCATTTCCTGTCTTTGGTTGAGGTTTTATCCCTTCATGTAATAGAGATCCACTCAAATCACTTAAGTCGTGAGCCTAGAAGAGATTTGTACACTCCACAGAAGTAAACGGTCGTTTGTAACGTGATATACTTAATATCCTCCTTAGTTGGAGTTTGTTAAACAAGTTATTCACATTGGTATTTAGGGCACGTGACTCGACGATGGACTTCTCAATCCCGTGATCTCCGTTGCGAACCGAGCAGTGACAACAAGGCTAATTATATCACAATCTTCACCACGGCCACCACAACATAGCCATGTCACAACATCTTTAAAGTCGATGGCTTCTCGCTTAGTACAATAAATCCGGGCTCTCTGGCATTGACTTAGCTTACAGTAGTCCTTCCGAAGGCTTGGCCTTCTCAAATTAGTCAAAATGGATGACCAGGCTGAGCAGGCCCCCTCAGTGAAGAGCGAGCTGCCAAGCAGAGTACCGACGCAATCTATGGACGATTTCATGAAAGATACTGGGCCAATGGATTCTGGAAGAGATGGGGCCGGGACTCCAAGACGATCTGAACAGCCTCCGATGAAAAAGCAGAAGAAAACTGTGGATGCTGACGTCCTAGCGGCTGAAGAAGAGGCTGTAAAATCGATGGGGGATACCAACTGGATTGGGAAATTGAATGGTATGGACATCTTCAAAGTCACTTTACTTAAACTAACCAATTTGAAGAATATCGAAGTGCTCACCCTCCGGCTGAGGGTCTCACATATCACGAAACAGCTGTCCCTGGCAACCCACCAAGATTCACGTGCGCGGTTACTCTACGAGAAACACCAATACGCTTTAATCAGACCGCTAGTGTTACATTTAGCAACAAAAAGCACGCTAAGCACTATGCCTCAAAACGAGCAGTTGACTGGCTCATTGGCAATGGTTTCATGCCCAAAGATGGCTCCGTTAAATTTCCCAAAGTCGCACCACCACAAGCAGTGAAAAGAGCTAAAATTCCTCCTCCGCCACCCAAAACAAAAATCAAGCATGAATTGCCCAATCCTCCGCCAACCTCAACTAATCTTCCTATTCAAGCAAAGACACCACCAGAAGATGAGGAAGGAGGTAAGGTTAAATTTACAACCATGGTGCCGGAGCTCGCTCAACGCCTTGGTTTTGACCCTCCACAGTACGAGCTCAGCAAAGTCATCCCGGACGGGCCTTTATGGAATGGATATGCGCATTTTGGAGGCGACCCTCGAATCGATGGACCGATTGGAGAGGTGAAGTCTGTGTACGGTATGAAGAATGCAAAGGAAGCAATCGCGACCGAGGTTGTCAAATTTCTCAAGTCGATCGAGAAACATAGGAAAGAGCAACAGGAGTCGGATGATAGGAAGAGGAAGCGGGAATCGGTCGGGGATTCGGTTCATGAGGATTTAGAAACGCAGGCGGCTAAATCTCTTAAAGGCGAGAATGGGAGCGCCTCGGATTAGAATCATTAAGATATGGAGGATTTGTGGATCGTGCTGAGTGGATTTGGGTACGAATTTTGCAGGACTAGGAGGACATTGGAAGATCCTAACGGCGAGCGGGTTCATGAAGTGTGTTTAACAAAGCAGCGTATTTATATATTATACGTAAATATACTTATTTCGAATATCCACAAAGTCGGTTCGAATTAATACGTCGTTGCGGTGTCCAACAAGATGCAGGCTTCAACATATTTCAGGCCGATCACATCCTGAATGATTTGGCGAATGCATGTCTCATCTTACTTTGGTAAGTTATCTCTCAGCGGTCCGGATGAGGTTGGGCGCCAGGAGATCATCCCGTCGAAATGTTGCAAGAAATGAACTGGGATTGAACTATCAAAATTGTCAGACTAGATCAAATTTACTGACAACCTTCCTCATTCAATGGTCTCCCTAGGTGAATTGTCGAATTAAAAGAATTGAGCAACAGATTAAACAGAAGCGACTAGACGATAAGTTGGTTTGCAAACAAGTCTAGGAGCAACTTCCGTATCTCAAAAGGTACATTGATCACAGTTTATCATACTAAACACAGCACATCCTTTTCACGCCTATTCAGCTAGGTTGAGATGGATTCTTCGATCCCATCCGCCAGAATCAAAGTATTTTGATGCAAATCAAGAACAATAAATACTTATGAGTATATATACAATAACACACAGTTTAAGAACCTCTCTATAACCATAAGAATTTGCGTTTAGTTTTGGTGTCCCTCTTTCACATGCACATACACAGGTCTCATCGATTGAAGCCTACCAACGTCCCCAGGCCGCAAACAACAACTCAGCCTCATTTCGCCCTCACTGAGACGTACGCAGAGTCCCAATAAGTGAGTAACAATTCATATGCCGACCGGTCTGACTCTTCATCCAACGTCGCCGAATCCGCCCAACACCAAATTCAGTATGCCGTATTAGGTAAGCAGCCACTACAACAATAAAACATGACGGACAATTCCTCCATCTACAAATCATGCTCAAGAAACTCATAACCTCCAAACTCATAACCAAAAACCCTAGGCAATTTCACCTATTGAACTCAAATCCCGTCCCACCGATACATTCACTCATTTTCTACCGCTCGATATCACGATCCATGGCGTCCTCGAAAAGTCCTGAACAGGGCCTGGATGCAGACAGAGGTGTAGAAGTCGAAGAACGGATTCACGGAAGAGGCGATAGGAGAGGAGGCGCGAGAGGGGCGAGAGGGGGAAAGGGCGGAAGACCGATGAATAGAGAGGTGGAGGTTTCGAAGGCGCTGAGTAAATTGCTGAGGCATGCTGCTGAGGAGCAGGGGATTAAATTGGATGATGAGGGATATGCTTCGTTGGAACAGGTCGTAAGTACTAAAACTTTCCATAGTGTTTTGCGTTATTTGCGTTGGGAATGATTGGGGCAATGTTTAAGAGATTTTCGAGGATGGTCTCGTGACTTGAGAGGAATGAGAAGGGTCTAATTCTATGCTGATAAAACGAGTAAAGACTGATCAGAAGAGCGTTTTTAAGGAAACATATTTCTTTTGAATAGCTTATGACATGGAAATTGAGGTTTATTAAATTGTACTAACGAACATCCAGATGTCATGGTCCCGCCTCAAATCCCTAAACGTCTCATTCTCCGACATCCTCACAGCAGTAAACGACAACGCCAAAAGCAGATTCTCCATGAAACCTAACCCGAAATCCCCTCAGCCCGTCCAGCCAGACTCCACCAACCCATCCGACTGGGTAATCCGCGCCAACCAAGGACACTCCATCGCCATCGAATCCGCCTCCCTATTAAAACCAATAACTTTGGAAGCCGGTAACATTCCCGATGTCGTGGTCCACGGCACGTATTTTGCTTTCTACCAAGCTATTGTTGACACCGGCGGACTGAAGAAGATGACGAGGACGCATATTCATTTCGGCACCGCGTTGCCGGGGGATAAGGGTGTGGTATCGGGGATGAGAAATGATGCTGAGTTATTAATTTACGTGGATGTGAGGAAGGCGCTTGAGGAGGGGGTTTTGTGGTGGATTAGCGAGAATGGGGTTGTGCTTACGGAGGGGGATGGGGAGGGAGTGCTGAGTTCGAGGTTCTTTAAGAGGGTGGTGGGGAGGAGGGAGGAGGAGTGTCCTGTTTTGTGGGTAGATGGGGAGAGAGTTGGTGAGTTGCCTGAGAAATTGAGGGGGAGGAAACCGCCTTTTGGGGGGAAGGGGAGAGGAGGTGGTGGGCGTGGTGGGAGAGGGAAAGGGAGAGGGGGGAGGGGAAGAGGTGGAGATCGAGGTGAAGGAGCTGGTGTTGTTGCCAGTACCGGGGCAGAAGTGACTGGAGGAGAGCCTTAATCTTTACACACATTCAGTTAAATGAAAATATATTTCCAGCAATAATTTTCATCAATAGCCGGATCCTTCTCGCGTCTCACATGACCGTATTCCAACCCTTTGAGTCTGATTTCGTTAGAACCTGACAACCATATTCTCAGCCTTTGCATTACAGCCAACAAATATCTGGTAAACATTTTGAAAGAGCCTCTAATTCCAAGCCAAACCAACGTCATCTACTCTTCTCACTTAGTCCGCATCCACAGTAGCAACTCATCCTCTTATCCACCCTCCGTCCACCAAATTCTAATACAACCATAAGCAACCACCACAAACTATTTTCCCCATAGACATACCAACTCAACTTAGCTTGTATCTTCCAACCCTACTCATCCTCCACCCTCGGCGCAAAATAATAAACACTTTTCTTCGGCCTATAAATATCACCTATTCCATAATTTATCAGCTTTCCTTCCTCTCAATATCTCGCATCTCATAACTCCCCTCTCCTCTCCAATTCCCGCCAGTCTTCCTCCGTCCCGCAATTAGATTCCGTATTCCAACCCCATCCTCCCCTCTCAACCACAAACCAAATCCAAAGAATAAAATAGAGGGAAAAGGGGAACTCACCTCTCCCCTCCAAACTCGACGCAAACACAAACGCAATGGCACTACTCAATAACACCGACGCCGCTACCATCGATAGATTCCAGAATAAGGTCGTTTGGATATCCGTCCATGTGGTAGTCGCTAGGTGCGTGAAAAGCTCTAACCAGCGGGACTGGAGCATAGAATTGAAGTTGAAGTTGGCCTGGGAGCGGAAGGTGGAGGAGGTTGCGTTTATAAAGTGAGCCATTTTGTATAAAGAAGGTTGTATGTTGAGAGGGAATTTGGATGAGTGAGTAAGGTAAACAGAAAAGGTATATCTTCAAGCACACACGCAATCCAGAAAACCCAACATATACCTCACACATGTAAACCACCAGACTAAAAAAATAACCTCTTATCTTAGCTCAGGCACCACCTTAACCCCATCCACTCCCATCCCATCCGCCTAACCCAAGCGCCCGCACAAAAACCCTCCATCTCTCACACCGCATATCCCACAAACCATCAAGCATAAAATGTACCAGGATACATACGCTTGTATCACAGATACTACCCCAGCCACATTTCCCATGTTGAACTTTGTACAATCGGGACTCTGCGATGTAAGGGACACCTAAGGTACCTAGTGATGCAAAATGTACATGTCATTGATTCTGCACTAGCTTCGAGCCGAGTGCGAAGCCATTCGGAAGAACCGGCCAAATGCAAAAGTCCGTTTGATAAAAAACGTGACGGCGAAATTCTGCTTAAAGGATGGGGAATACTTACCACAGAAAAGGAGTTTCGATAGCAGATCCTCTCCTCAACTATATTGTGTTCAAAATCACAACAAAAAAGCACTTCAGACGCATCACTGAAAAGTCAAAAACTGGATAAATTTCGTTTCGATTTTCCACCAGGCGAAAGATCCTGGATTATTCCCCCCCTCAATTCCCGATTCCTATTCCTATCCCATTCCCATCTTCAATCATTACTATGTTACAACCGCGGCATCATCGTGACATGCCTTCCCTCCCATCCGTCCCTTTTCCCTCCTCTTTCACCAATAATAGGACCCACCGAAATTCCACCATCGCACCAAAGCACAAAAATCATAACGCCAGGTAATGCAAATGTCTGTCCTTTGAGAATGGTTCTGCCATAATTTTGGCTCAGGGTCTTCCTATTAACCTCGATGAAAAAACGGTACAAACGCCAATGCTATGCCGTTGGTGAATTCCTCTTTCCCCCCTTTTCATGAATACGTATTATCTTTCTGCAACGTCAACGCCAAAAAAACTCGTCTTCACAAATATCAAAACTTCATCTTTGTCAGATGTGCTCTGTGGTACCAAAACATGCGGACATTTCGCTTGTAAGATACAATTCCAACATAGTCGTGTGGATAATGAATGCTGTGTGTATCATCGAGAGACCCAAATCCCCCTCGAGATATTTTGTGCTAATGAATAGGATTTTTATCATAGAAAATCGTCTATTGATCGAATTATGGGAGCTTCACCCTTGGTCGGAGGACTACGAGGATCCCTAACAACGGCAGGTGTGACTCGCTGAGGGGGTGGTGTTGGAAAGAATGAGGATTGGGGAAATTCGAATGCTCGTGGTGAGAACAATGCTGGTTCTGATTCAGCTTCAACAGAGGGCTGTCCAAATCCGGTACCAAAAGGTTCAGCTTTTGGTTTCGGGGACACGTTGAATGGATTTTGTGTCATTTCCGATACACGAGGTGACATTAAAGCCTCCCAATCATCTTCAGACGGAGCCTCGTGGCGAAAATGAGGCTGGATTTGAGGTTGCTTATTGAAACCAAAATCGAAATCCGAAAAGCGCGAGATGGCGGAGTCACTGGCAGGAACGTCCTTTTCTTTTGCATCGGTCGCTGCTTCGCGGGCAGTTACACCAGGTGTAGAATTTCCCCTTGCTCGAGATGGTGTGGATGGCAGGTCGATAGTACCTGTGGACAACGTCGGCCGGTGCCTACTAATGGTAGTCCTTTTGGCGGTTGTCGCTGTCTCGTTCTTCTTGCTGTCCAGGATTTTCTTGAAGTCGTTCAAGGAGAACAAGAGTGACATGTTCGGATTGACCCATTTCGATTTTTCTTGAGCTTTTTGGTAGGCTTGGGTTGGATTTAGCTCTGGATGGATGTACATGCCATAAGCGATGACGAGAGTTGCGGATCGACTGGCCCCTTGCTGGCAATGGATCAGGACTCGTTTTCCTTCCTTCACTCGAGTATCAATCTTCTCGCACAGATCCCATAACTCATCCTTGACATCTGTATTATGATCCCATGGCATGTGAATATATTCAGGCTCGCGCGGTTCCATCATGGGCCTTGGTGTAGTTGGGGAAGAGTCGGTGGAGCTGGGAGGCTGTGTCTCGAAAGCTGTCCTGAAAGAAAGCATTGAAGCTGCGGTATCTGGTGGAACATCTGCCGAATCAACGGGCTTAGGGTTATGAGTGAGAGTAGCGTGATTGCCAGCTCCAGCTGTCTGCTCTTTTGGTACGTTGTTGAAGGGATTCTTGACTTCCCTGGCTACGTTAATCACTAAATCAAACTCGCATGCCTCTTCGGCGTTTGGCTCCATGTAAAGATGGACGCTTGGCTCCCACATCAATATTGGGCCATTGGGATAAGACGGTGATTTCGCATCCTCCCCAGAGTTGGGTCTGTCAAAGCTATCCCCTCCCACCATTACGCCAGGTATTCTCGTAGCCATCTGGGTAGGCGGCGAGGGCTCATGATCAGCTTCTTCGCTGATTGCGAACGTATTCGTCTGGAGAGATGACTCCTTGAATCTCGAAGGCCCAACCCCCCTTGGTTTGCTCATGCCTAAAGTCATACCTCCGCTCGGACCAAAGCCAGGTGTCGTTAGCATCTGTGGCGACGAAACAGAATGCTTGAGGCCTCGTCGTTGCAACATCGATGGCATCGGTGCTAGTCTTGGTGACGCTAACGCTTCGCCCGCCGAGGCATTAGCTGTTCCGGTATTCAAACTCAATAAACTTGGCTTTTTCCGCGGCTTCAGAGGCGGTGGCTTGATAAATGAAGGGGAAGACGGTTCTGAGTTGCGAGATTCAGCCGTGGCACTTAATCCACCTAAATTCAGAGCAAGGCTTTTTGGATTCTTAAATTTCCTTGGCGACGGAGAAGTCATCGGCCGCTCGTTACTCATTGGCGGCCGTACCGGGTTCAGATCCCCCATCTTTAAGCTTTGGAATGCGTCAAGTCCAAATGATCCTCCCGTGAAAGATGAAAGTGGCACAAGAGTAATTGGAGATTCGGGAGAAGAAGACGGCGAAGGATCCGAGAGTGAAACTGAGTCTATCGTTGATATTGTGGTTGTTGGGGAAGAATCTGTGGAATCTGAAGTCTGAGTTGATGTGCTCTCGCAGTGTTGGTGTCCGTGTGGCTGTGATTTGCCGTTCTCCTGCTGAGAATGGCTTGGGAGTTGATTCGAGCCTTGATGGGTAAGATGTGAGTCTGGTAGTTTCTGCTGTGATGGCAGCTGGGTCTGATAAGACGTTGCCGTAATTTTTGGAGGCGCAGATGCAGTTGTGTTATCCCTTGGGCTCGAGTCCATGTCATAAACGGACATGAACGAAGGAATATGGTTCTCGTACATTCTTGGGCCCGCTGCTGACGGCATCTTAGAATATTTTCGGCTTGAACCTCGATATCTCGAACCTTGTGGAGCAATTTCGTCCTGGCGTTGCCTCGTTTTCCTTTCCTGTGACCCAACCGTCCCTGATATACTCGATCGATCCGTCGCTGATAAAGTAACGGCGTAAGACCTCTTTAAAACTCGATTATTAGCACTTGGTGGATCGCAGACAGATGGCATTGCCGATAACAGAAGGAAAAGAATGAGTGTGGGTATCTGCGAGGGTAATTCCCATGACCTCTCGCAAAAACAAGAAGAATAGCACAAGTACAGTCGTCGTGTCCTGACACCGACGATTTGCTCCACAGATGGTGAAATAGAAATGAGCGATGGATCCTCGCAAGCAACGTGTAGATGAGAAAGTAGACACGAAGAAGGGGAGATAGTTACCAGGCAAAGGGCAGCGGTTCGGAAGGCTGATTTGATGGCAGACCTCTACGTTTAGCGCCGCAGAAGTGACCCAGTCAACGCGCCTAACTATTGGAAAAGATCCTGATCAAGTACGAGGTGATCCTGGGCTCTGGCGTGAACGGCTGCGACTGGAAAGTGCTAGACGCTGATGGTGGACAATCACCGCCACGAAGGATGCACCGGCCGCGACTTGCAACGCAACAATGCTTAAATGCGCAAGAGTATGAGACGAGCAGTACAGGATCAAGGTCGTCCAGCAAACCTCGAGTGCTTCAATGTCAAGCGCACGCCTGGGTCGAAGGAGGGAGGGAGATGAAAGGAGGTGCGCAGGTCGACAAGTTGGTGGCCGATGCGCGGGGACGAGTAGAGAAGGTTCGAATTCGAGAATTTGGAGAACGAGACAGGACGTCTGGACGGTGGAAGTGTGGTGGATGGATGGATGGATGGGGGTGTTGGCGGAAGGGCAAGGTTGAAGACTGTTGGCTCGCCTTGGGGTGTCAGCGCATGCGAAAAGCGGGTCCAGCAGGTCCAGAAATAGCAGCGCAAAAGCGGGCGGCAACGTGAACGAATGAGCAGCGTGGTAAGATTGGCCTTGAGGGAGGGGCGCACGCCTATTGGTCTGCAAATCAGCTGGTGGCCACTTGGACGAATTCGAACGAGTCGAGAGCCGAAGGGTGATTTATTCCGGGAAGCCAGAGGGAGCCGGGAGGCGTGGGCGTCGAGGAGCACGAGAGGGCCAGTTGGGGAAAGGGTCCAGTCAGAGCGGTGCTGGTGCTGGCTGATGCAACAAAGGCACTGTCTGTTGTGCTGGCCGCGGCCTGTTGGTTGGAAGATCCTGAAGATGCGCTGAGTGGGCGCGAATGGTGGCCGGCTGGGAGCGTTGTGGTGATATTTGGTGGTCTTTGGTGGTTGATGAAAGAGCCGTAACGCCTGTGACGAGTGTCTGCCAGTCCAAGGAGCGAGGGATCGCGTGTGATAGGTAGGGCTGGGGAGCGAAGAGGAATTATCGATTAACAATTAGCGTAACGTCGAAGGACTCGCAGGAGACTGGTTGTTCGCAGGTGTGCGGCTCTGCAATGCGAATTTGATGCTTATTCTGCGGCCGGAATCCGAACCGCTCAAGGGAAATTGGGACTGTTGCGAAGATATAGATGAGCCTCCAGGCGTCCGTGGTTGGCAGTTGTCGTGTGCAGCTTGCAGTTCGCCCTGTCTGTTCCAGTTGTATCTCGACCGTGGAAGGGATTAGTCGAGGACAAAGAGAGGGCGCAAAGATTGGATGGGAATTATAAACGCGTGGAATTCGAAGGTCGCAGGTTGGAGGGCGACGGGGCGGGAAGGGCTTGACTTGAGCGTGTCCAAGACAGAGTGTCAATGCAACTGTTACCGGTCCATAACTGGTGTATATATTCTACAACAAAGATCAAAAATCAACAGATGGTGAGGATATAAGAAATAGTGGTGTTGAGCTCGAGAAATTAAGTCAACAAAGTGTGCGTTCAACGGTCTCCGTCAGGCGCTTGGATGCTGTGGTATGGATTGAAGGGTCTTTCATGCCTTAGGCCCATCGTTCATGCTTGGCTCGATGTGGTATGTCTTGCTGGCTGATTGCTGATTGGAGATAGAGCAGTCTGCTCCTTGACCTGAAACACTAGCTCTGCCGTCATGGAGTATGCTGTACTCAGTCGGTGCTCGTGCAGTCGAGGCAAAGCAGCAAGAACTTGAAAGGAGACTTGAGAACACTCGCCTAGTCGACCACCAAAGACAAAGGTTCATCTGATTCACCGCAACGCTGCTTTACCTTTAGAATTTCTTCTCACTGCATTTGCCTGCACCTGCAAGGACAACCAAGCGTGAAAAAGGGCGCCAGATCATCCAAACCGTCTGGCGAGTAAGGGACGGCAGCCGAAATTTCTTTCACAGTTGAACCCTCTTCAGAATTACCTAGGTATATCCAGAATGCTCCATCATCTACACATCATTTTTGGCGACATAAATTCGAGAGCAGCACCAAATACATGTGGCGTCGATGCCGCAAGATAGTCACATTTGCAATGGATACCTCGGAGATTATAAAAGTCCTATTCTTGTCCGGAGTGCGGGCTTTGGATCAGAATTCAAATGTGCCGCGATCAGTCTCAGCCTGTCGGAAATTTAGCAAACTATCTTTTGACTTCAGATGTCCGTGATACGAGCAGATATCTCGGTAAAGAGCAACGGGTATTCAAGTTGCATTGGGTTGTGTAAATCCAAAGGCTTTGACGAGAAACAGGTCGAGGCAACTACATAACAATCAATGCTTGCTTGTGGAGAAAGTATGAAAGTAAGACAATATTCACTTTTGAAAAATGCTGGTCTTCGCCCCTCGAAGATAAGCGTTGTAAGGCTATGTTCTCTCACTGAGACACGGTACAAGAGTGTGAGAAGTCTATCAGGAAGACATTATGAGCTCGTGTTGTGAGGCGTTGGAGTTTTTCTTCTTCCGCAGCTCTATTTGAACCGCACCTCCATAAGATAGAATACCATCGAAACAGGTCGGATTGTTGAGTCTAGAACTCATCGTGTATTGTTGCCGTTCTGAGCTATACCGCTCTTACACTATGTCTTGGTAGAGAAGATCATATTGATACTTGACAGCTGTTTCTATATCGGCTGTTCAACCAAAGCGCGATCTCTTCGTCGGAACCCTCAACGAAACCGAAGGAATCGAGATTTCTGGAATCTTACTAGATTCGTCGACTTGCAATACCACGCGTCTGCTTTCTAGATGTCAATGAGCATTTAGGTAGGTGAGTAACAAACGAGGATTGGGATATAGCATCAACAGCCTGGAAGTATTGATGTACCCGAGGCTCGTTTCCTCACAAGCTCAAGGCCATGCTTTGGAAGAACATTTGACAATAGTGAAACAATCGACAATAATCCCGAGTCAACTGATATCCCATAAGATGCAAGCCACGAACACATGACAAAAGCATGTGCTCTGGTCATAATATTCCCCTTGTGAAACGATTGACTTGATGATTTTCACAACTCAGCCTCATTCACATCAGTTCCAAACATGATGAGCGCTCGCTTGATTCGAAACTAACGTCGTAGGACCCCAGAACAATCTGCAATTGCGGTGAGTAAAAATCCGAAACTTATCCCAATCCGATCAATAAGAAAAGGACTATCAAACACAAGCCACGAGGTACGATTATCTCGCGCCTCGCAGAGGGAGGGGTCATTGGCGGGGTTTTGCCCCTCCCTCCAATTGCAGCTCTTTGCAACGTTCAACCTGGTTGTCGAAAGTCATAACACAGGAGCGTATGCAGTGAGTGATTGCTGGGAATTGTCTGACCAGTGTAGGGTTCGGAAGTCGACTTCTTCAGGGACCTAGATAAAGCAGTCCTACTTGGGAACTTTCTGCGACGTTATCACTAGGTGGCCGTGGAAGAGGCTGGGAACTTCCCAATTTGACGAGAATAAAATCTAGAGGCAGGAAGTAATTCAATAGATCAAAAGGATTAGGGAAGCCTTCTTATCGTCTTGTGATTCTCAGCGAGTTTTGCCGTATCTCTCAACCAATTTGGCCTGGACGATGATTCAGGTGGCTGGCGAGGTTGGTGATTCTACGACTCCCAAATTTGGTTGAGCCGCCACAAGAGGGACATCGGCAGGATTCGAGGTTCTAGAACATAATGATCAAGTGCCAATTGATTTCGTAAACCAGACTCCAGAGAGGAGGTTTCGATGAAATCCATTTAGATCAGCAAATTCGCAAATGAGTTACTATAGTCTTCTTCACTTACGAGGTATGTAATTATATCTGGTTATTTACCAGGGACCTAGATGCACGATGCCGATATGTTTCAGGGGCTTGCAGCAAACTGCGGAGTCTGACAGCTTTGGCGCGATGTTTTTGACTTTCATACCAATGTTCTGCAGTTGGAACTATTGCCAGCGCTGCAGATAATCACAACTAGAGGAGACCTACCAGGTACACTAATGCGTCATTTGATGTAGAGCAATTGAACAAATAGCAATAGCTTTGAGAATTGAGGCCATCGTCAAATTGACAGTTTATATGTTCGAATCATGTCCCCTTGTGGAAGTATGGTGCTCGTGAAGGACTGCTATGCCCCTCTGATACTCAGCCGAAGTGTGATGGTTCGTCTCTTGGTGCAGGCCCCATCGGAGGCTGGTTCCTCTCATTGCGGGAAAACGTGCGTGCGCTTTGGTAATAACTGTCCATTCCGTAATGGATGGCGATATGCGGAAGCCATGATCATAATCGTTGCGGAAGGATTGCTGTGAGAATATATCCGACTCGCTCCCCCGCAATTGAGGGTGGTGTTGTTGTTGTTTTCAGCGTGGTTCCTGACTCTGCATGCTGAAAACCGTCGATGGCCTCGATGATGGAGCAGACAGGCAATGACAGAGTAGTCCCTCCCCGAGAAGCGACGCAATCACGCCTGCCGACATACAGAGCGCAAGACCTTCAATTCAGTCATTTCTCAGTCTCACCTCCATCGCTGCACAGACTCAACAACCCACTTCCTGTTCCCCTTACATTGGACGCAGACCGTACAAACTCCACC